GAAGCTCTTAATATAATATATATAAAATATTAAATGTTCTTTAATATGTAACTTATATATATTATATATTATAAAGAGACCGATCGATTATCGTATTCTAAAATGTCCGAATTAAACCAATCAAAAGTTGAAGAGACTAATAGAATGGAAAACTCTATCTCAGATTCTCTACAATTGTTTCCATAATTTACTTTATATATTTTTATATAACATATAAAAAACCAGACGACCATAAGTTGATTTTGTAATATAATAAAATTTGTTCAGTTAAATAGAAGATGTCTAATATTCACTTTTCCCATCGGAAATAAGGGGAAAGGGCACTAGTGTACACCTCTCATATGCTTACACTACATTATGTTATAATTTTAATTTGTTCTCTAGATACTGAGAGAAAAAATATTAAATCGAAAATTTCTCAACTATGCTATAAAAAGGTATAAGTTGAAATTAGCTTAAAATAATTATAAGTGAATGACTACATTATCGTTGGAAATTGGGAGGCATCAATTAATTTAAAGTCCTTAATTGAATAATACCTCTTCAAAGATTCCAATACGTCAAAAGATTAATGGAAATCGATACACAAAAAGATCAGAATAAAAAATTATATAAATATGAGAAATCTGACCTTAAGTTTTAAGTTAGATTCCATTCTTTATAAAATTAAAAAGAAATAACTAACCGACAACATTTGTTCTACTTTAATAAATTACACTTAAGCTGCAATAAGTTCTCTTACCGAAACCTCAAGAACAACGAATACATAGTGATTTAACTCTGCCATTGATACTTCAACATAGACACCACTACCTTCAGAAAATAACTTACATATTAGTATTTTAGTGAATTAATTTGTTTTCTCATACTTGTCATTGGAATTGAATTATATAGCAGATCGTAACTATTTATTAAAAAAATAACTTCCCCGAATATCCTATAACAAAATTACTGTCTAAACAGGTCTTCAAAGTGATTCAAGTTCCTCAAATCTTTGTTCCCTTGAAAACTGTTGGAATCTATTACCTGTCGTAATTTTCATTATTATCTTCACAGTTTTAATGAATATAATATATTTTGAGCAATTTGAATGTTGTGACCAACCTTAGTTTTATTCTTAACATAAAACTATTGGGGGTAGAATAAGAAACGATAGAGGTAATGTTTATTCTTTTGAGACAACTAATGAAACCATACATGAATAAGTGAAGTTATAACTTTTTGTATAGCTTTCACTCAAATATAGATGTATCTGGTACAGAGTATTCAGCTCTAGGAATCCCTTCAAGTCTAATGTGTTTTAATTTAGACACCCCAATATATGATAATTGATGCCCCATCTTATGCTATATAATACTTAATTATTACTATTTTTCAATAATGACTTAATATAAATCATAATAAGTTAGGAAAACTTTAGAAGTATACTATGTCTCAGATGATCTATTATTGAATCCATCTGTATGAATTCATTTGAATTTAATAATCGAAATGTTTCATATTATATCTTTATAAATAAGTATCTCCTGATAACTAACTAAGTATCATATATATACATATATTTATGTTTTCTTTCCGACAAACTGTTATAACTGTTTCCTAAAATAATCTTACTACTGTATGTCAAAATATGTTTAAAACCTATTATGTATTTTATGACAAAAAAACCTAGAATATATTAATAACGAAGATTTGAATTGAAAATAAGTTTCTCCAATATCCAAATCTTCAATTAAAAACTCTTATATCCACTAATAATATTTTGATTTAAATTATATAATAATACTAGTTGCATTAAGAATTTATTATGAGTTTTAGGTCATTTCTTCATATTATTGCAAATATTTCATGAATATGTTTAGGTCCAGACACTTTGTTACGAAATGCACATCTCATTCCTGTATTGCAAAAACCAATCTCAATCAGGTAATTTTTATGAATTGGATTTACCTTCTTTGACTTGGTAAACCTTTTCATGTTTAATTTTTTTTAAATTGATTTTGCTACATTTCTATTCAGCTTTGGTTCTTACAGAAAGTAATAAGTCACCAAAATGATATTTCTTAAACCACTTCAATAAGTAGTAAAATATTAAGTTTTGATATATAATATAATTAAAAACTTATAGATAATTTATTACTGGAAACTCTGAAGGTTAAGATTACTTTGATGGAATATAGGAAATTTATTAAGTTATTTAGAAATAAAGACGAAACGTATATCTAATTATAATAATTCATCAAATGCTGTATACATACATAAAGTCTTCGAATTTTATAGTACAAATTAAAACGTAATTATAGCTTTAACTGAAGACCTCTAAATTAGTCCAACAAATGAGACAACAGCAGCAGCTAATGTCAATATACCTTGGAAAGATAAACGATCTGCAGTATTTTCATTAATAACTACGCTGTATAAAGATGATGATGATGATGATGATGCTTGAGATGGAATACCAGTGGTAACTTGTAAAACAGCTGGAATAGATATGGAGGAAACATGGGAAATCTCAGACACATCGTTAGAAGACATCGTAGAAGATTTGGTAGAAGACTTGGTAGAAGAAGCAGCTTGAGAAGTGACTTGAACTTCAGTTGTGACCTTAGCACCAGAAGAAATACCAGCAGAGGCCATAGCATCCATCTCCTCACATTCTGTACATACTTCTGTAGTTGTAGTCCAGGATGATACAGTTGTATATTTGTGTGTATCAGATTCGGTTGCTTCATCTCCTTCACATGATACAGTTGTAACAACTTCTGTAAACCCACCTTCACATTCCTGACATTCTTTTGTTATAGTGGTGTAAGTAACGGTTGGGGAAGCAGTGCTTTGTTCACATTCATGACATGTGATTGTGGTGGAAGTTTCGAAATGGATTGTACTCAATTCCCCAGAGTTCATGGTAGATAGAATGGTTGTGTAATCGGCACTGTCTGTAGTGGTAGTAGTAGTAGTAGTAGAGCTATTGCTTACTGTAGATGATATATTTGTAGTGTTTTTAATGTCATCCTTGGTAGAACCATCCCAACAGTAATTAGTGAAACATTGTTGACATTCTTCTGGCCACTCCAAACCAAGCTTTTCTTGTTTACGTCTCATCACAGCACAACCAACACAACCTAGGAAATCTGGATCTTCAGTGAAATTACCCATGGTGGCAGATTCGAACCCATTTCTAATTAAATCTAAACGTTCTTCGGCAGTGAATGATAATTGAAGAGTACTAATATTAGAGGCAAATGAGTGGGCAACGTTAGGTAGATATACCATCAATGGGGGGACATAACTTAGATCTGTCAAGTTAGAGGCGTCACAACCAAAGAAAACTGGTTTCTTATTTAGACCTAACTCAACAAAACTTTCAATATCTGGAACATATGGGAAGGCATCGAACTTACCTGCTTCAGTGAATTGACGTTCGTAGGTGTAAACAAGAGAATCACCGTTAGGGAATAGATCATCAGCATCTGCAGTTTGATCTAACGCAAACACAACATCGACGCCACGCTCTTCCTTCATAACTGGAATAAATGGAATGACTTGACCATCAATACCACCATCAACTAACAATAATTTATCTTCTGTGACAAATGTAGTATCTGAACCTGATTCATAATTAGTGGTACCTTTGAATGGATTTGGAGAGTAAATAGCAAGTGTACGGTCTGAATTACTACTGGAGTTGCCTAAGAACAATGTAGCTAATTGATCAATGACAGCGTTGTAATAAGCAGAGTTAGCTTGCTCAACATATTCAATCAAATTGGTACAGGTACCAATCAAAAAGTTGACGTTATCGAACCCTTCGACACATTGCCCTGGAGTAACAGGGGAACCATTTGAAACTTCAGTACCTAGATATTTGATTTCAGCAAAACTCTTAATGGATGGTTCCCATGAACCAAAATCATATGGGGTAACTTCGATAGTAGGAGAACTGAAATCAACACCCACAGCGCCTGGTAATTGAGCCTTACCCAATTGAATTAAATATGGCATTTCAGCGTTTTGGAAGACATCTGTCTCTTGAATAGTTGACCATGTGTAACCTACACCACCTTCTGGGAGAGATGGGAAGAAGTAATAAGAGAATGCTAAACCCCACACGTCAGCCAATGAAGTTGGGAAACCAGCAGCTGCTTTTTCATTAAGAGCTCCGGATATATTTTCGAATCTTTGATTAGTAAATGCGGTGTCAGTACCACCTGGACTTAAAGCAGATTGTTCAATATCCCAAATAGAGCCATCGTTGTCACCCATTTGGTTAATGATATCTTGAACAGATGTCCAATTGTTGAAAACAACAGTACTGGTAAACCAGGAACCACCAGAAATAGCAGCTAAGTATGTAGTCCCCTGTAATAAACCACCTAAACCATGGTCGTTTGCACCGTCTGTTCTGTCATCCATAGCTGCGACCATACCGGCATCACCGAAAGTAGCACGATAACCACCTCCAGAAGCAGCAATGGCAACTCTAGGAACATTCGAAGATTCACTAAATAATGAATTTAGAATAGACTTGTCACCAAAGTTGGAAGTAGCACGGGTTAAGAACGTCTTCAGAGCAGCTTGAGTGACGGCATCTCTCTTAGCTACCCAACTGGATTCTGAATCTGATAGACCGTCAGCGGCTCTAATAATATTTAGATCATCAGCACAGTCAACAGTAGCTGGAGCATAACTGTTGGTTGGGGACCATGCATGAGCAATGCTCAAAATCGAAGAAGATAACAATACAGCCTTTAGTTGCATGCTTGATGAAGCTCAGTCGTTTTCTATATTAGATTTGTTAAAATCTGTTCAAACCTTAAGAAGAAGTAACAATAACAATGTAAAGATCCGATCATTTGGAACAAAAAAGAGTTCGAAAATGCTAGAGGGACTTATATATACTTCCATGTTCCATAATTTGTAAAGAAACTCAATAATGCTCAAAGCTCTATTTATCAACCATTATGTTCCAAACAGTAAACGATTCTCCAAATATGGTCATGACTTTTCCTTTAATCAAAGTTAAATTCCCAATTAGTACAGAGAGAACGTTAATATATCAAGTATAAACGGTTAATGGAACACCTTGCGGGGTGTATGAACTCTTATCGTTTGATCTATGTCAATTAAGTAGTTTATCTGCCGTTTATTGATGGGACCTGTATAGGAATTGAATCATGCCAAGACTCATCGCTCAACTGTCTTGAAATGAAAAAATCGCGTTTTGCGAAGAAAATGTTGTACAGGAACGAAGGTGACACGACTCCATGAGAAAATAAAAAGATCAGCACTGAAAATATATAAAGATGAATTTTTAGAGAAAGTTGAACAATTTGTTGCATTCCTCAAGATCTATGATCAGCGCGCCAGAACTATTACACGGGTTTTCATTGTTCTCGGTTACAGTTGTGGGAGTAATACTATCTACTACACGAATGTATATTATGTATAACTAATGGAATCTATAGAAATATTCTGTTGACCTTATTACTTGACTCTAACCCAACACTGAAACTTCAAGTCTTGGCAAACAAACCTTTGTGGTGCAAGAATTTTAATAAGTAGTTCATATGGTATTCGTACGTGGTTCAAGAGAAAACATAACTAGTAAATAAATGCTAGACAGTTTCGCGATCTGTTATTCGTTCCGGTTATTATTAATTAGGTCTTGTACCCATTTTTAATGATACTTGAAGTAAATATGTACTTGATATACTATTTTGTTTGATTTGCAAAGTGGAGAATTATGATGTTCTTAATAAATATCATCTCTCATTTAATCAAACTAATCTTTCTTGTAACACGTCCAAAGCCAATTGTCTACGTCTATCCTTAACGTCATCTGTCACCTTCTTAGCACCTCTTTGTTCTGCAATATCGTTACCTTTGTCTATGTCTGTCTCCCCAAATGATTTTATTATTCCAAATTTTTCATTTAATATGCTATATGTTTTATTAAATATTGGTCTTAATATCGGCTTAATGATATCTGGAAAGAAATAGATCAATTGGAACGTATCAGATGCATCGCCTTGAACAGAATTATAATAATCTGTGGATACACCTATTGTACTTGCAGGTAAAATTTGATAAAATCGTAAATATACCCAACATGAGAAAAAAGTAATCCATATAGAAAGTAAATTGGACAGATGACAGAAAATAAACAATTGGCTTAAAGTCATTAATGTTAAAACTAAGATAGGTAACAACTTGAACCTAAAATTCTTACTAACAAATGATGGGCTCTTAATGTTAATGATTGTTGTCTCCGGTAATAATTGTCTATATATTATTGAGAACCCAATCAACACTGTATAATTCCCATCTAGAACGGTATCTAGACTTACCCATGTTGGGATAATATAATGTGCAATAACAGTTATCAATAAGACAACCAAATTTGTTATCGAACCAATCCCTAAAATAAATTTTATCATTTCATTAGAGCTATTCCAATTACGTTCTATAAAGGAGCCTCCAATTAATAAATTAATCAAATTAACAATGAATCTCCAAGGATTTGTATCCACCAAATTCGACAAAACAATAGAATAAGGAAATTTTAAAATTTGACTTGGTACCAACTGTAATGCAGGGACATTTATGTCTCTAAACTTGACGGCAGAGGATTGATCCGGCTTACTATTGAAATATATGAAACATCTCAATCCAAATAGAGTTAGAGTGAACGCAGTGTACGCAATAGTTAGACATTTGGTAGCTATTGGGATTTTAGTCCGATCCAATATTGTATTAGGAACCGAAAAGTCAAAGAATCGGCAATGATATTCCATTTTCTAATGGTAAGGATACAATGCAAACTTCAGTTTCTCAAAACAAAACAAAAGAGAAATGAACAGCAAAACAAGTACTTTTCCAATTGACGCAAAATATATCTATTCAATATTTAATGCAGCTTTTCTTGGTTATTGTTATTACTCACCTTTGTTATCGTACTTTAAATGGTTTCTTCTTTGTATAGAATTCCTCATTTTTTTGATTGAAATAGTAATTACGAGAAGGGAGTTCGTTGGCCCTTTTTACTGCTCGTATAATGTGATATATTGTCCAAATTCAAAATATCTTTCAAAGGAAGTTTTCTTTGCTAACCACCAAAGGTTTAAACATAATATTGTAAATAAATATAATCCAAGTATAAACCCGAAATCTCATTGGATCGTCATAATTATAACAGCCCTTTTTCATAGTTAACCAATATTCTCATTAAATTTTGGTTTCTCTCTGATCAGCATTTCGAAACTCACAACGCGCCTTAATTGACATCCATCTCACCCATGTGAAAAATTATGTGGATCTTAAATTGTTTGATAATAACTTTTTTCAAAAATATTTCAATATTTACATATGTTATTAAACAAAAGAGGTACTGGTTTGGAAGTTTAAATAAGGTAATAACCTGAACAATCAGTCTTTAGGAAGTGCCACTTTTACATATATCAATAATATATCCAAGATAAATCACAATAAGTGAACTGAGGTTGATAAACATTCATTCGAAATATAAATTATACAGTTTAGCAAGAACGATGGATCAAACAAATAGTACTAATATTATGCAGGTGAATAATATAAAGAATGAAATAGAATCTGTAATGCTAGAACATAATTCTAATACTCCTACTAATAATTCTGACGTAGTGATGACACCCCCTGCACTTTTAATACCTGCGAACACAGAGAACCGTATAAAGAAGGTAAGGACTAAAAAGATGAAGAAGCTATCGGATGATCAAATTAGAATGAATCATGTAAGTTCTGAGAAGAGAAGACGGGAACTAGTAAGGGAAATATACGATGAACTTGTGACGTTAGTACCTGATCTGCAGAAAAATGAAAATAGATCAGAATTAATAATATATCTAAAGACAATAAATTATCTTTCATGGCTCTATAGGAAGAACAGAATGCTAAGAACTAAAATTATGGAAGAACATCCAAGCGAAATAAATAAAATAACTCAAAATTTGATATGGAAATTAAAGGAGAAAAATTAACAATTACCTATTAAATTTTCCAAGATTATTTTGAGAAAAATGGGTCCATATAGAATGAACAAAATGCATGCATGGAAATTACATCGTGTTCATTTAAATGTGTAACAAAATTAGACAGACCTAATACTATTTTCTATTTTAGTTATTGGTTGTGAAGATCATGCTCAGCTAAGGTAAATAAAGATAATTCTAACGAATGTTGAGTACACCACAAACTCTAAAAAAAATATATTCATAACATTTTTTTGAAAACGTGTCTGTCACAATACTTGAAAACTTGTTCTAAACCTTGTCATTATCCATTCACCATTTTGTAAATGAAATACTTTAACAATGGCAATGAATCAAAATAAAATGACCTACCTGATAGGTGAGAAAAAACAAGTTCCCAAATCTATTTGTACTATGATATAAAAAATAGAGTGCGACAGATCAATGGGTAGGGTATAAATACGATATTGCAAAAAACAACAACAAAAGAAGATATATCATGAACCTTTATAAAATATTTTTATTTCATTTTAGGTATTAAAATTAGAATAAATATACAATTGTATAAAAGAAATTACAATTGCACCTTTTATAATATAGAGCATCGAAAACTACACAATATAAATTTAGTAACTGTACTTAAAATTGAGAATTAATTTGAGGTTTCACATCAAACTCTCACATTCATCGAAGCAAGATGTATAAAGTAGATTCATTTTGACAGCTTACGGTTAGAATATTTTAAATAGTCACGTGATGTTAAAATAATATATTAAAAAATAACGACCTCGGTGAGGATTGAACTCACGATCTTGCGATTAACAGTCGCACGCCTTAACCAGCTTGGCCACGAAGTCTACTAATTGTGTTTCTGTTGTCTTGGTAATCTCAGATGATTGAAGACAAAAATATAACAGACTGTTATATTTTGATAGAAATTATGTTAGAACTGTTATAATATAGAAAGTAGCAATACTTGGTTATTACAATTTTATGTTTAGTAAGAAATTATTACTAACTGTTCAATATGATTCTAGAACATTCTTTAAGAATGATTAGTAAGCAAGTATTACTAATTGTTTCATAAGTGTCTAGAACATGTTTCTAGAATGTTTAGTAAGAATACTATCAATATTTGGTAGACTGTTTTCCTTTTCCAAAAGTATAAAAGGACCACATATTCTAACTTTATATATATACAATCTTCCTTATATAGACTTACTTTATATAACATAAAATAAATTACAAGATTATACATTTGAATATCTATAACTATGTCCGATAATTTCAACTCGAATACTAATCGTATATTCTCGATTTCAAACTTACGTTTACAGTCTGATTTTCTTTATCTTATATAAAATATATATAAAGTAAACTATGGAAACAATTATATTCATAAATGAAATATTTGTAGAGAATCTGTGACAGAAATTATGTGGAATTGAGATATCTAAAATGTCCAAATAAGAATGAAGAATTACGTAATAATTAGGTAATAATGGTTTTTACTTAATAATTCATTAGGTAATATTTTATTAAGAAAGAATTAGAGAAACAGTTTTGAGAAAATAAATAATATATAAAGACAGAGAATTCTGAACTTACATTCTGAGTTAGATTCTATTCGTTCTATAAATTATATATAATATAAAAAAAAATTACTTACAAATAAAAGAAAAGTATAACAATTATATTTTGCTTACCTAACATTAAAACTTAAGCTACACCATTCACCTCTATACCTAACACCTTTAATAATGAACGAATATAAGTCTAACCACAGTATGTCTGCTTCAGCTCATGATTCCAGATATTTTCTGTCATAAAGGTATTTCTTTACCTATTGAAATTAAGTGTTGTGCATATTACTCTTAATTTCTGACAATTTCCCTTAGAAATTGCATGATCCTTACCTATTGATGTATGTTTTCTAATGACTAAAAAGTGACACCGCCTACTAGACTATTAAAAAAAAAAAGAATTCAGGTCTGTAAATCTAGAGATGTGACGCCAATTCTTGCAAGGCAGGGTTTCAATTCGTTATATAGATATTAAATTTTGCATAGTTTAAAATTTCACATTATTCTGTTTCAGAAAATTTTAACTGATATAAGGTTATATTACTGAATTAATAACCAAAATGGTTATCCAACTAATAAGTGTCACTAAAAGAAAAATAAAGACACTAAGAGAAACTCATTGTTGTTGATATAGCGTCCACAATACCAAAAAAAAATAAAATTTAAAATTGTAGGTCAATCGCCCTTCATAATAATGGATGACAGTTCTGACTCAGTTCACCCCTGAATAATTATAGTAGAAAATGTTTCTTTACCGAAACAAGAATTGCCTGTCACACGCATATTTATCTAAACAATGTACGAACCTTTCAATAATTGGAATAAACAAAAGAAAATAAGGAAATCGTCTATTTAAATCATGAGCAGCATGTGTAATTCAATATCAGATCTATGAGCATGTACAAATACAATGATGATGATAAAAATAAAAGGTACCTTCTCTAATCCCTAATATAATTGTTTAACCAGAGAATAATATATAGTCATGCATATATAATAATTTGTGACATTTGCGAATATAAAGTCTACTATATTACGAAAAGACCAATCCAGGAACCCTAACCTTTGACATCCCAGTCCGAACCCTAATCAAACTCTTGGTAAAATCACGCAGGCATTTAATGAAAAAAGAACATCACGCAACTTTGCCAACGACCAGCCAGAGAAAAAAAAGGAGAAACTCAACAAAATCATGTGAAAATTTATAGACAGTGCAAGATCGAATTTTTTCACATGCAAAAAATCGAACAGAAAAAAAAGCTTCCTCATTTCTCTTTCTACGGAGCGACCCCTGCCTACGGACCAATTTCAACTATCCCCGGCCAGTACATTAAGCAAAAATTCCTTTCACATTTATTAGTTGTAGACGCCCCACCCGCCCCCACGCAGAAAAACTGAACTCTCTCCTTACAATAAATTTTATTTTTTCACATTCCACCATCACCGTGTACGATTGGCGCAAACAATTTTTCGCCCTCACTCACCCTCTCACAACAAAAGGACAAAAGAAAAGCAGTTGTACGACATTTTTTATATCTCAACCACCAATAATCTATTAACAGCCTCATTTACAGACACGCGAAGATCGTCAATAGAAGTCAATAGTAACGATGAATATACACTAGCAACTGCTTCACTTTCTTCGGAAAATATTTTCACACTCTCATTTTCATTGAAAAATCGATCAATCAATAAATCAAACCAATCTATTTATCCATCAATAAATAAATAAATAAAATTTCAACAGCTAATAGAATAATTGATCGATTGGATTACTTGAACGTTACTAAATTTGCTTGCTTACGTGAATGTGAAACTTTTATTTTTTAGTATTATTCTTAAAATAAGAACTCCTTTCGTGTGCTTTCAATTACATTTGAAGAAATAAGACATTTATATATATAAAGCTAACGTTACTTTTTTTTTTACTATTTTTTTATTTTATTTTATTAATCATATTTCTGAACCTGGAATATTCAATAACAGCAACAACATCAATATTATTATCCATTCTTTCGTTTTATATTTATAGTTTATCCATATTAAGGTACTAAAATATACATTTTTGCTAATTTTTTTCTTTGATCAAAAAAAGAAAAAAAGATGCACGGAAGTGATATGTCTGGTGTAGATGATATACCTGACACTAATGATCATGGTATACCTAATAATATAAATAATAATTACAATAACAATAATAATAACAACAACAACAACAACAATAATAATATTCCACAATTTAGAGACGATAATTCATTAGTTAGTAGTGAAAACCAATTCGAAGCTCATATTACTAAACCTTTTACAGTTAAAAATAAAAATAATCAAAATAATGGAAATTTGGTAGAAATTAGTACTTTATCAAATACTCCTTCATTTACTGATATTACACCATCTTCAGTCAACAGTAATAATAACACTAATAATAAAAAAATGGAAAATATTCAATATGATGAAGTTAAAATAAATTCTCACGATGATGATGAGTACGAAGGGAAAGATACAAATGATCGTATTGACAACGATAGAATCATTATCAAACCAGTGAATGACGAAGATGATACTTCTGTTATCATTACATTCAATCAAAAAATGTCTCCATTTATTATTATCTTGACATTTGTTGCATCTTTATCTGGTTTCTTATTCGGTTATGATACTGGTTATATTTCATCTGCTTTAGTCTCTATCAATAAAGACTTAGATAATAAAATACTAACATATGGTGATAAAGAAATTATTACTGCTGCTACTTCATTAGGTGCTTTGATATCAAGTATCTTTGCGGGTACTGCAGCTGATATATTTGGTAGAAAACCTTGCATTATGTTCTCAAACGTTATGTTTGTCATTGGTACAATTATTCAAATATCGGCGCATACATTTTGGCAAATGGCTGCAGGTAGATTGGTTATGGGGTTCGGTGTTGGTATCGGTTCTTTAATTTCTCCTTTATTTATCAGTGAAATTGCTCCAAAGATGGTTAGAGGTAGATTGACCGTGATTAACTCCTTATGGTTGACAGGTGGTCAATTGATTGCTTATGGTTGTGGTGCAGGGTTGAATCATGTACATAACGGTTGGAGAATCCTTGTGGGTTTATCTTTGATTCCAACTTGTTTACAATTTGTATTTTTCCTATTCTTACCAGATACTCCAAGATATTACGTTATGAAAGGTAGATATGAAGAAGCTAAAGGAGTGCTACGTAAAAGTTATATTGATACAACAGATGAAATTATTGAACAAAAGATTCATGAATTAAGAGAATTGAATAAATCGATTCCAGGTAAAAATAAAGCTGTGCAAGTATTGAATACTATCAAAGAATTACACACTGTTCCATCGAATCTAAGAGCTTTAATCATTGCTTGTGGGTTACAAGCTATTCAACAATTCACTGGTTGGAATTCGTTAATGTATTTCTCTGGTACCATTTTTGAAACTGTGGGTTTCAGTAACTCGAGTGCCGTTTCGATCATTGTCTCAGGTACTAATTTCATCTTCACTTTAATTGCATTCTTTGCAATCGATAAGATTGGTCGTCGTGTGATTCTATTGATTGGTTTACCAGGCATGACTGTTGCATTGGCCATTTGTGCTATTGCTTTCCATTTCATCGGTATCAAATTCGATGGTAATGATGCAGTGGTGTCCAATGGTGGGTTTTCATCATGGGGTATTGTTATTATTATCTTCATCATTGTATTTGCAGCATTCTATGCCCTAGGTATTGGTACTGTTCCATGGCAACAATCTGAACTATTCCCTCAAAACGTTAGAGGTATTGGTACCTCGTATGCAACTGCTACAAACTGGGCTGGTTCTCTTGTTATTGCATCTACATTTTTAACTATGTTACAAAATATTACACCAACAGGTACATTTGCATTCTTTGCCGCTTTATCATTCCTATCGGCAATTTTCTGTTATTTCTGTTATCCTGAATTATCAGGTCTAGAATTAGAAGAAGTTCAAACTATATTGACTGATGGGTTTAATATCAAGGCTTCAAAGGCTCTTGCTAAGAAGAGAAAGAGACAAGCAAGAATGGTTCAAGAACATTTGAAATATGAACCGACTCAAGAAATCATCGAGGAATAGAGTAATATTTTTAATTTATAAAATATATTTGTGTAAAATAATAATAATATCAACAACAATCAAAATAATATTAATATCAATAATTGAAAATGAAACTTCTTTTTATTATATATGCGTATAATTACAACTAGATATGTTATATTATTTCATATGGAATATTCTTATTCTTCAATAATTGAATCAATTTCGTTATATCGTCATTTTCACTCAATTGTTTCTTATTGTTTTTAATTTCAATTTTTTCAAAACATTTTAAATCGATATCATTTTCACATAGGTATACATCATTCAAGGATTTGAATAATTTTAATTGTGATAAAGTTTCGGGATCTTTTTTGAGATATATGTAAATGGTAGAATTTTTCCTCATGCCGCTCACCACATTCGTATCTTTCCCTACAATACCAATCGATAAATGTATATGATTTCTTTTCATCTTTGATAAATTCCCACTCTCCACAATCGCCAAACAATTTTTCACATTTGTGCCGTGAACTAATTTTGCTGGCAATGAATCAACGTTTGTAATTGGCATTAATATTTTATCGTCAGGTTTCAATTGAATAGAATGACCTTGAGTGGCAGCAATCATGTCGTTCTTCTCGTCAATAATAAACCGTTTCTTCTCATTATTATCAACCACTCTAATCAAATCCTGCCTAGTACATTTATGAGTTTTTAATCTGTTGTGTTGTAATATCGTATCGACCGCAATATATCCATTATTATCTATAACTAATTTTTCTTTTTCAGCACCATGGCGTAACAAGTACGATAATGCTTTAGATATTTGTATATCTCTCTTAGAATCCATCGTTTCTACCATAAACCTATAGAAGCAAACGTAGACTCCTTTTTCTAATTGCTTTTAGGTCTAAATCGTAAGTGTTAATTTTGTATATCTCACTAAATTCTTTTTTCACTGTCTTTCTTCTAGGAATCAAAATTTATTAAAGTTGGCTTATTTAAGCCGATGCGCATCATGACGAAAGAATTCAACAATACTTTAAAATGAATAAAACTTGTAATTATAATAACAGTATAATAACCTGTAATTGTAAATGATCTCGATAGACCTAATTTCTCTGGGATTCGATTAATATATAGAATACCACTAATGATATATCCAATTATTTCCATTAATAATAATGGCAAATCGATCTTGCTTTGAATCTTTTGGAGACCAAATTGCCAATATGAAACAGATAATGGCATTACAATTAATATTGTTATAAAAATTACTAAAAATAAACGATATGATTGTGTTTGATGTTTATCATCATGTAAATTAATTAAGATGACCATAATTAAATTTAACAGAAATGTCATAATCGTTAATAATTTGAAATAGAACACATTATCATAAAATCCATAATACAACAAACTAATGGCGGATGAAACTAGATAAGTTACCATACCATACAGATTAATATTTTTCCATTGTGTAGCCTTTAAGGAAGAATGTGATTTAAACATATGATAGATCCAATTAAGAAAACTTGCTTGAAATGCAGAGGCTAAATAAAGATTTAAAATAATATAATCTGTCATTGTAGTTGAATGATATTTGGGAATTAAATATAAATCCGTAAAACTTATCAATAGAAAAAAATACACAACAGCCGCTAGTGCAGTTAGGCATATCACAATTGTATCATCTGTACGTATGGTCAAACTTCTTTGTAAAGATTTTAAGTATGAGTTTGTGTATTGCGTAACACATCTATTTGTTTTTAATTCTATACTCATGATGGTGGTTATGTTTTACTTTTTCGTAGTGGTGGTTGATTATGATAATTCAAATACATTAAGAAACATATTCTTTAAAAAGGCAAGAAAGTAGGAAATTATTTCACTCCAAACTAAATACACACACATACATACATATATATACTTTTAATGTTCGATAAAAACATATTATGTTATAATACATTCTGTTGAGTTGTACATAGATTATGTATATATATACAGTTTAGTTTTTATAATAATAAGAGTGACAGGTTAAGAAATTCAACCATTTTTTTGTCTATTAAATATCCGTGCGCAAAGTGGAATGGAGAATAGTCAACAATTTCTATTAAGTGGTGATTAATGGTGAGGATGAAAATAAAATATTGAGAACATTTGTTGAATGTGTCGTTGTGGTTGTTCTTGTTGCCATTGTCCTGCCGGAACGATGAAGGTAGTCGTTCTGGGATGACAACAAGGATGAAAATGATACTGTTGATACTGTTGATGAGGATGAAGATGAGGTAGAAGTACTAGAAATAGTTCGTTTGACGGAGTATCGTATTGGAGGCTCATGATATCTCGGTACTCTTCTTAATGACAACAATCTTTCTCGTCTACTTCCAGATCTTCTACTGGTTTGCTTCTTGTGGATATGGAACCGAAACGGAGTATTTATTACTCCGTTGGTGAATTTGTTCTTGAGTCGTTTACAGATAGATTTCAGCCCTTCCTTGGATGCAGGTGCTTCCTTTCTTGTTTTACACTGTATATCAATTATTTTGTTGTTGGGTAATTGTTTTGTTGTTGTAGATTGTATGGTCATATCGACTAACTGCTCCAACAAAACTGTATCTAACGAAACGGGGAGTCTATTGAATGAATATAATAAATAACGGACAGTCGATAGAGGTACCGGTGGATATTCTTCTCTTAATAAACAAGTCTGACATCTTTGAGTATCTTGTGATAATTGAATATGTTGCTCACAGAGACAAGGTAAAAAATGATTATATTTGAGACCACGACGGAATCTATAAAACCGTTTGTTTTGAATGTAATTTGTTATTTGATGTGTGCTGAGTTGAATCCTCGAAGCTAGCATTTATTATATTTTGTTATATCGTTTTTGTAATAGTTGGTGTATTTTACTCTAGTTCAGAGTGTATTGACAATGTTCATGACGTTGTGTGACATTTATATTTAGACGTATTTATGTAAACAAAGAAATAGATTTATTTATATTGATCTACATAATTTTTTTAAATTAGTAAATATTTTTATAAAATATGGGGTAAGAAGGGTTTGACGTATATACAAATCTCCTGATAGGTATACAGAGTGGAAGTAGACACTTTCATTACTATTGGCAATGTTTATTACCCTCTCTACTTATATATATATGTGTAAATTTTTTAATTTTTATTCTTTCCGCTTGAGGACAAATTTGATAGATTTAATAAAATTTATCCATGGCGGCTAAAAAGTATAATGCTACTTAATTTCATAAAGACAAAAAACAAGACAGAATAATGTACTTTACTCTTTCAGTATTCTACTGATACTCTATATAACTTACCAAGTAACTATAGATATTTAAGAGAACCCTTTTTACTTTATATTGACTTTAAGAAACTTGTTCAATAAAGAGACTAGAGCACTTATAACGGCGCATCGAATAATTTAAATTTGATAAATCATTTATTACTTTTAAAGAACATGAATTCACAACATATATTTTTCACAAATGTTGATACTAGAGTTTAAAGTTACCTGCATTATGTAAGTATTATAATTGGCTATCATTTGTCGTATGGATATAGAAATACAATGATTTGACTCGTTAACTGAATGAACTCCTACATGCAACTGACCCCAAAGGACCAGGCTGAGTTACATACATTCTAACCACTTCGCAATATCTCGTTCAAATGGTTCAATTTCATATATATATTTAACAATTTCCTCTGTCGAGTCAATCATCGACCTTGCAATGGACCCGTCCTTTGCTCCTCTCAAAATACACTCCCAATCCTCCTCCTTCAAAGTCACAAACATTTTGGCTGAAAGATTCGGGGTGGGACCCCCGCCGTTGGTAGAAACACAAACACGCACAATATACATAAATTGGCCGACATAATTTCTAGCACGAACTCCCCTTTTTCTTTGTTAGTACAAACAGTACACCTCGGGTTGACAACAATTAGAAATTATATCTCCCTCATACGCTCTTCAGATAAATATTAATAATAAAACACTTACACTATTATTCTACAAAGTTTTCAGATACAAGAGAATCAATCAATAATTAAGGGTTAGATTGTCATAGGGTATTTATATTTGTTACCAAATCTCTCCTACTTTATATTTAATTGTTGCATGCAATTTTTTTTGGTTCTGTATTTCTCTGTATTAATATATCCCATACCCAAAACGAAACAAGAAAATAAACAAACGAACACATCGTGGAAGAATTTTCAAGAAATCTAACATTTTCATGCAGTTAAAGAGTTTGACATAATTAATATAATTCATTTCAAGTTCTTTCTTTCTTTCTTTATTCTTTTATTCTTTGTGATATATTATAACTATACATTATACACATGCCGCTGTTCAAGGATGACTTATCGCCTGACTCCAGGCCATTACTCCCTTCAGACGAAGACCAACTAAACGTCCAACTATCTAGAAATAGTCACAGAACTCAAACTGATCGTCCTAATCATCATGACATTTCATTGGGAAAAGAATTATCTATGGGCCAACGAAGCACCTCCAATAGGAATATGACTAATATGTTTTTAGCTAAATCTGAAGTATCACAATCACAGAAAGCTTTGACGGATACGAATAACTTTATAGAGATATTTAATAGAAATGAATCTGCAAATAAGGTTGCAAGGGGATCAAAAGATAACGAACACACACTGAAAGAAAATTATGCATTAGAACAAGTAGATGAAACTGTTACTAGTAACAATAATGATGACCAAATATCTCTGGGAAGTGTCGATAATGTAATGGATGATTATGTGGAAGAACCACAAAAACATGATACAAATGCATCAGAGACAAATGGTAATAATAACGATGGTCCAGAACTATCAGATGGATTAACAATGGATCAATCATCCAAGAAACGATATGATGAATGGGCTGACAGAGGTGCTGCCAAGATTGTACAAGAAATGACAAACCCTAAAACAGGGGAGAAATATAAAAAACTAATTAAGAAAGGTATAAAGGATTTCAAATTTGGTGAAATGATTGGTGATGGTGCATACTCAACTGTCATGTTGGCAACTTCAATAGACACAGGGAAAAAGTATGCTGTTAAAGTATTGAACAAGACTTATTTGATTAAGCAAAAAAAAGTAAAATATGTGAATATAGAAAAAAATGCATTACAAAGAGTTAATAATTCCAGAAGTATAATCAAATTATACTTCACATTTCAAGATGAAGCAAGTTTATATTTTCTTCTGGAATATGCCCCAAATGGGGATCTTTTATCCTTAATGAAAAAATTTGGTTCTTTAAATGAATCTGCAACTTGTTATTACTCTGCTCAAATTATTGACGCCATTGATTACCTCCACAATAATGGTATTATCCATAGAGATATTAAACCTGAAAATATCTTACTAGATAAAGATTGGAAAATTAAATTAACAGATTTTGGTACAGCAAAGATATTAGAGCAAAGTCCGACAACTAAAAAATTTGACCTATTGACTAGATCCAAATCGTTTGTTGGGACTGCGGAGTATGTTTCACCTGAATTACTCAATGATAGTTTCGTTGATTACAGATGTGATATCTGGGCATTTGGTTGCATCTTATTTCAGATGATTGCTGGTAAACCACCTTTTAAGGCAACCAATGAATATTTAACGTTCCAAAAAGTTATGAAAGTTCAATATGCTTTTACTGCGGGATTCCCCACAATTGTGCGTGATTTAGTAAAGAGGATCCTAGTTAAACAAATGAATAATAGATTGAGTATAGCGGAGATCGAAAAACATCCATTCTATAAGGATAAATCTTTCAAAGATGGTGCCATTTGGTCAGATACTGTTCCGGAGTTATCTGCATATAAAGTTAACGCAAAATCTATGCTACCAGTTCCAGATTTGAAAGATATTTATCCGAACAGAAGATTAGATATAAATTATGCAAAAAGATCAGTTTCTTCAGCCGCCATTTCAAGTACCTCAGTAGCCACATCATCATCATCAGCACCACATTCCCCACAATTACCGAGATCAAATAGTTCGTATGCAATCTCATCGCAAAAGGATACTATTCCAGAAAATTCTGATAAAAATGAACCTGTTGGTAGGAAATCAACAGATGGGAGAACCACTGCTATTTTAGAAAGCGCTAGACGCAGTGTGAGTAGCAGAAAGACTTCAAAGAGTAAACATCCTGTAAGTGGGGCTGCATTAGCAGCAAGTTTAGCTTTCAATAAGACAACAAATACGGGTACTACTGATAATGTTGTGTCTAGTACACAAGCTAGTTCTCAAAGCACCATAGGGACAGAGGAAGTAGATAAGAAATACCCTCATCCAAATATAGGCTCTCAGCATCATAGTCATACAGCTAATCACAATAATAATAAATATACAACTACCGAAGTTTCCCGTGCACCAATACCAGGTGCTAAGATAGCAAGATCAAACACTCCTAACACAAATGTCGTAACAGGCACAGATAATTTGAAACCCAATAATGATTCAGAAATATCATCTAAAAGCATAACATCTCCTATTGTCAACAAGCATTCGGCTCCTTACAAGTCCAGTCCTAAACCTAGTGAAAATTCTCTAGCGTCTGCTCAATCTATATCATACGCAACTCAAATCATTACTAAATCAGCTCATGCGAGTGTCAACAAGCTTGATATTCCATGGTCATTTTTCTTGAGAGATATTGGGGAACATATTATCCGAATTAACGAATTTAATATAGCTATAACTGATACTGGTATTTTAGAGAAACAACTTGCAAGATTTCATAAAGCTACATCTGATCCATATAATTTTAATTCTAGCACAAGATCTACATTATTGTCCCAAGTGGCTAGAAGTGGTGGTGAAATCACAGGGTTAAGAAATGGATTTCGTATACCCGAAGAAAAATATTATGAATCAAATCATATCGATTTCGATAATGTTGTGGATAATTATAAAACGATTGGTATCGATATGCAAATGTTTTTAGCTAGTGATTCACAATTGAATAATACCGATGACATAATTTCTGTTATGCCACACGAAAAAAAATCGACCTCGAACACTCAAGACACTAAATCAACCACCCAATCTAATTTTCCACAAAATACAACTGAAGAAGATACAGGTCACCTGCTATTCCCAGGTAAAGTTAAAAAATTGTTCTACCATAATCGTTTATCAACACCCCCTCAAACTACCATGATATCCATAGATCACGAACAGTTTATGAGAAGGACTGTGGTTATCACAAATTACGGTAGAATATTGACGTTTGTTAAACGTAAACTTGTCTCAGAAAAAACTGGACTAATGAATAGCCTATGCTATGATATTGACTTGTGCCAGATGGGATTAATAGTGAAGGAAATTGCATTTCAAAACCCTGCGAACAATTTAATAGTTCTACAAACGCCTTATAAATCATTTATTTTAAGTTCTATCGATGGAGGTAATCCCAAAAAACGGGAGCATTTTAATACAGTGTGGTTTAAGACACTGAAAAAGGCTTTGAAGCTGGGAACAGACCATAAAAAGCGTACACATTCTAAGCATTCTACAGGAACTCCTCATACAATACATGCATCCCCTAGTAGAGCTTCTAGTTCAATTAAAAACACCGATACATCCAACATTAAAGGAGTGACCAAACATAGTCCTAATGCATCACCAATATCATCACCGGTGCTTGGTAAACACACCATTTCCTCAAATTCACTAGGATCTAGATCAAATTCTAGTGAAAGTAAACGTTCTTCACTTTTACCAACTATCACTGATTCAAGTGGAAACAGAAAGAGTAGAATATTCAATTCATATGTTAGTTCAAGAGAAAAAGGTGGAAGAAGATCTAGTAAATTAGGTATCCCAACGAGTTCAAAGCTAGTTAACGGTTTACCAACAACATCTAGTAGCGGAATTTTAGGTCTTGGAATTTCAAATAATAACGATAAAAATAACTCAACTAATTCTAACTCATCTGGGTTATCAAAAATAAGTTTCAGATATAAGTAACGTACAATAATTAATATTATATTCTTTATTATTTAGAAAATTAACATCCAAGAGATGTCGTTTATATTTATATAAAAATATCTAGTTTTTACAACGACATAATATTTTTGAATCAGTCGTCTTCGCCTTCAGAATCCTCGTCTTCGTCCAATTCCTCAATCTCGACTTCGAACCCTTGTTGTTCTAAGAATCCATTAATAGACTCGACTTTGGTTGGATGACAGCTGACAAATACTGCACTCTTCTCCTTATCAAATAGGTTGACAAAGTATTTCTGCATCACCCGTTGTAAATCTTTGACAGTCACATCATTTAATCTTGTAAGGAATTTTTGGTTAAATTCGGGACCTCTTCTCAACAAAATATCATCTACAAATTTTGACATTGCTACTGCTACATAGCCACTCTCTACAGTAGCGATTCTATTAATAATGCTGCTAATAGCACCAAGAATTAGTTGCTCCTCAAATTTAACAGTACCATTGGCATACCCTTCCACAATTTGCTTCCCTGTTTCATAACATTTGATGATATCAGATCCTCTGTAAATGTTAAATCCCCAACAATTAATCTGGACCATTTTCACCATATTGGCACCGTAAGCAAGTCCTGACCCACGAATTCCTTTCCAAAATGGTCCCTCCACACATTGTAAGTACTCAGAAGCCAGAGAAACAACAGCATAGTCAGGATGATCAAAGTTCAAATTAAATGGCACAGAGGTAATGATATTCATGTAGGATGATTCAGAAGCTGGTGTAGATATGACAAAAGATTTCCCACCTGGAGAACGACATAATTCTGTAATTGTATCAAGTGATCTTGGGATACTTGGCACTTTATTTAGCAATCCATGACCTTGAGGTGAACCCTTCTGTATGCAATCAACCAAAGTTGTCCATGGGGCAAATAACTTTGAACCAATCGTATTCATGTCACCTAACACTATGATTTGGAATTTATCCAGTTTCTGAACTAATTGGACCCTTAATGATTCCAATTTTGGTAAAACATCTTTTTCGAAATGACCATCTTCAATGGTATTTAATATTTGTTCCAGTGTTTCCTCCACGAACAAAGGGTCAACAGATTTCTTGACACTTCTATCTGAGTACAACTTTCTATTCATCAAAGAGTCCAACATAATATCACCTTCTCTTTTCAACTCAACAATAGAGTTAACATAATTTTCTAGTAGAATGCTTACACGATTTTCATCGAATACCATATCAAAAAGACAATGTTTAATCCATGCAACAGCCTCCTCGTATTTGTCGACTTTGCATCTCAATCTAAAATCAATTAGATCTGAAGCTGTACCCTGAACCCCAAGAGATATATGATAATCAACTGTATCTGTTTTCAATTGCGTAACTACATCTTCATATGATAGCAGTTTATTTGGGATAACATCACTATCATTCATGGGCATAGAAAATAATTCATTAAAAATATGATACAATGGTAAAAGCGATTGATCTTCAATTAAGGTAGAATCTAATACACAGTGGAATTCGATAAATTGAGATGGGAAATGCTGAGCATATACATATAGAGGAAAATCTTTAGGTTTATTTTTGAATACAGACTCATTCCAACTAGTATAATTACCTGATGATTTATTCATTACCTCAACTGTTTCAGTGCTGATGAAATCGACACTTTGAGCTGGATTTTCTATATGAAACTTTGATAAGAGTGATTCAGGGATAGTCTTTTCATTCTTCAACGATGCTTTCTTCAGATCATCTTTCATCTTGTTAATATTATCAGGAGAATTTTCAGCCTTTCTTTTGCTAATGAATTCCTTTGTAGATGTTTCATTTTTTTCATAAAGTGAAGAACTTGGCCTACCCAGAACGATCACTGGCTTATTTTTAATAAATACACGATCCAACAAATTTTGCCATTTTTCAACAGACCATTCAGCTAATGCTGTGAAGTCAGAAATGTCCTTCAAACTCTCAGATAGGGAAGAACCGTCCTGATTCCCATACAAGAAATCGGTAATGACAGCCTGCGATAATGCACTATCACCATTCTTTTCACATCTCAATATATATTCCCATTTATTGTTATCAACCACTTGTTTCATTCTTTCGATATCAATCTTATGTGTCTTTAGAATATATATGACCTTTTCCTTGGCTTCTTGTAATCTCTCTGTAGGGACACCATGTATACCAATATTAACGATTGATCTCATAAAATCATCAGTCCAATAATCGGCTGAGTTTGCTAAGGGGTCTTCAATTTCAACCAATTCTTTAATGAAAGGTGCTAAAGCAGATTCTGTGAAATATTCTAACAAGATGGAGACAGCTAAATCATTTTCATAATCTCTATATCTTTCACCAATCCATGCCATAAGAATTTCACTTTGACTTTCATCTAATTCAGGAAACTCTACTTCTGATTCAACGGTCTCTGTTCTTTTCTCTGGAATTTGTGATATTTCAGTATCCATAAATGGTCTCTTCACGTTACTGTTATCAATTTCTGGCAAAGTTGCATCCCATTCATTTACGATATTTAACAGTTCATCTTCTGGAACGTTACCACAAATAATTAAACATAGGTTACTTGAAGAATATAAATCATGGTGGAATTTTTTGATTTCCTCATTAGTTAAATCTCTCAAATTTTCTGTCAAACCACCTGTCTCCGATCTATAACCACTCCCCTCAGGGAATAACATTCTCTGTTTCTCCAGCATTGTTACGAACCAACTTTGTGACTCGATAGCGTCCATTTCACTATAGACAACACCTTTATCAGTAAGATCTTCTGGGTCGACATGATGAACTTCTGTTAAACAAGCTTCATCAGTCAGAGTAGGATTCAAGATATGATCCAAATATACAGGTAACAATTTCTTAAAACCCTTCCAACCAGCAGTAGTCAATGTATATACAGTTTGATCTGTAGCTGTCCATGCATTAGTTGATGACATACATAAATTACCTGCTGTGTCTAGAAACCCTTTATATGGATAGTTCTTTGAACCCATAAATATTAGATGTTCCAAGGTATGTGGCGTACCAGAATCAGTAGGACATTCTGTAGCAACAGCGAAGTAACCTTGTACTAAAGGAGAAGATTTGTGGTTTATATGAACCAATTGTAATTTAGTCCTTGGAGATATATATTTTGTAATGTGGTATTGTGGAGCGTAGTCCAATTTAAAAGAAGTTAATCGCTTAAATTCCATATTTAATACTTGTATAGTTGGCCAGTTGTTACTTTACTTAATTGAGGTCTGATAATTAAATAACAGATTAAGGTAAATGCTAGTCTGAGGTTGAAATACTTTTGAAATAGAATGTGTATGTTGGCATCCCATAAATTAGAAAATGGCAAATCAGAAAAAAATTAAATAAATGAAAATAGCTCTATAGATGAGGGCGAAATTATTTGCGTTGTATAAGAAAACCATTGAAGTTTCAAAAGACAATAAGATAAGGGTAAAAATTCACCAATACAGAATTACTACAAACATCATTACATTACATTACGCCTAAACGTTCAAGAACTGGAAATAATAACTACGTATATAATAGATAGATTAGGTAATTGGGCTAAAAATCAGATATCTGTACGGTTTTCTTCCTTGGGCTACCTTACGGTAACACATCAGAAGTCTAACGTCTAAAAATTCGTAGTTTATATCATCATTTTCTAATGTCTTGTATAATTCAATACAATGTACATCGGATGTCTACTGACTATCCTAGCCTTGCTTCCCCTATCTAAAGACATCTATTCTAACAAAAAAATTGTTGTTTTAAACTATTGAAATGCCATCAACTTCCATCGCTTCTGCTTTAAATACGACAAATTTTTTTTTGAATTCGTGAAATTTTTTTCCAGCGGTGTCTGGGTTTGGAAGGCCCTAATATCAGACCCTAATACAATTATGGTTAATATTCACTGTTAGGGTTCATACATCTTCGTCTTACTGTCACGTTCTGATCGTAACAACGATGTATAAAATAGAGTTGCAACGCTGTGTATGTTGATGATATGTTGATGAATAGTTGCTTTAAATATAGTAGTAACCACTGAGTTACTGGGTTTGTGGTTTCTCATTCACTGTGATAGTAGAATTAGTCGTTAGCGGAGATAACATCGCCGGCGTTTAGCAGTCTGCTAATGGAAATAAAAATGACAGACAGAGAGACTCTCGTCGACAAATCGGACATAAGGTCTATAAATTTTTTGAAGAAGCTATCTTAAATTCCTTCCTCAGTATATTAAAATAATATCATCCACTCGCCTCCCCCACATACATTATTTTAGTACCTACAAGGTTACTACTAGGGATCCTTTTTGGTAACGATTAATTAATAGTTCATGTTGCCTTGGGAACATGAACCAAAGTCTCATTATTTCTTTGTAATAGATAGTATATAAACACTAAATAAACAATCTTTATTGTGTAAAAACTCAGTTTTCTTTATTAGCTTAATTTACTCGGAATCACTGCTGCCCTTGTCCAAACGGTCACACTTAACAAACATATTACAATCATCAATTATAAAATGTCCTTTACACCAATTGAAGATGTTATTAATCATTTTAAACAAAATAAATTTGTCATTGTTATGGATGATGACTCAAGAGAAAATGAAGGTGACTTAATCGTAGCAGCTAAAAATATTACCACTAACCAAATGGCTTTCTTAGTACGTTATTCATCAGGTTACATCTGCGCACCGATGTCCAATGAATTCGCTGATCGATTAGACCTACCTTTAATGAGAAAAAATATTAAATGTGAATCTAATGCAGATGATAGACATGGCACAGCATATACTATCACTTGCGATGTTGTCGAAGGTACTACTACTGGTATCTCAGCTCACGACAGAGCACTAACCTGTAAAGCATTAGCCAACCCAGTGAACAAACCTACGAATTTCTTAAAACCTGGTCATATTTGTCCTCTGAGAAGTGCAGAGAAAGGTCTCTTGCAGAGGAGAGGACATACTGAGGCTGCAGTGTATCTATGCCAATTAAGTGGATTACCACCGGTGGCAGCCATTGGAGAACTGGTCAAGGATGAAGATGGCTCCATGATGAGATTAAATGATTGTCAAGAGTTTAGTAAGAAACATAACATCCCATTAGTATCAATCGAAGATCTTGCAAAATATCTTTCCTCAAACTAAACCCTTCTATAGCACATACGTCTGTATATATCTATAGTTGTATTATATTATAATTTACATAAAAAGATATATCTATATCTTATTAATTTCTTTATTTTTTAGCCTTAGGTTCCTTTGGCTTAACTGGAACTAATCTTTCCTTTTGGCCACCGACAAGTTTGTGTGGTGTCATAAACTGAGCCAAAGTTTCATCATCAACCTTAGATCTACGTTCTTGGAATCCCTTGACGAACTCTTGTAGCACATCAATACAGAGCTTTTTCATTTCACCTGACAATAATTCACCAGATTTATATTTGTTGTAACAATCCTTTAGGAATTCATCATCATCTTTAAAGAAATTCAAATATTGGTAAGCAACATCGATATCTGGATCACCACCGTATTTTCTATGTTCTTCCAAAGTAACCTTACCACCACTGAAAGCATACTTGTTAATTTTCTTTTGTATTTGTTTTGGAGTATCAGTGACAAAAATAGCAGATGTATCATCAGATGCAGACATCTTGGTAGAAGAACCTTGCAAAGCTGGGAAAAATTTGGAATGGATCAAAGCTGGCTTGCTGTACTTCAATTTTTCAGCGACATCTCTACAGACTCTGAAATATGGATCTTGATCAATGGCACATGGAATCAAACATGGAGTTTTTGGAGGTAGACCTAACACTTCAGGGAATGAACTTGGGAATGCAGTAGCAATTTGAATGGAGGCAAAATGGAACTTCCCAATACAATCTGAATCAGTGAAACCAAATACAGCCTTGGCAGTAGACCCAGTAATTTGTCTAGAGACACGGACAACAGTTTCATAGAAGCCACCACCCATGTATTGTAAATCTGAGAAAATAAAAGTATTCTCTGGCTTGAAACCAACAGCAACAATATCTTTGGCGTTTTCTTTGGCAAACTTCTTAACGTCTTCAATGGTCAATTTATGCTTAAACAAAAATTTTTCATCATCGGTCAATTCAATAACTAAAGGCACGTCAAATACTTCTTGTAACCATTTGGTAAATAAGAAAGGAACCATATGTCCCATATGCATAGAACCACTGGATGGACCTCTACCAGTGTATAAGAAAAATGGTTTACCTTGTTCATATAAATCTAGAATCTTGTTGAAATCACGTTCACTGAAAAAATAACCTTTACGTAGAAAATGGTGTGGTTTATGACCAGTGACTCTTTCAAATCTGTCCAAAGTTTCTTGATTGACAGATCTAGTACCAAATTGGGAAATCAATTTGTCGTAGTCGATAGATTGGGCGACACCTTTGTCATTGACAGCACCTTCAACATCCCATGGAGTAATAACTTGGTCCTTTTTAACGTTAGGATCAACCTTAGCGAGTTGCTCGGTAATTTGTTTCACAGATTCTTCAACCATAATGTGTTTCGTATCTTTCTCTAGTGGGTATTAGTTATAAAATACAGTAAATAGCCATTTAAATGACGAACCTTCTGAAATCAAAACAACTGTCATCATCATTATTTTATAGGAATAATGAGAGAGAGCTGAAAGATGAAAAGTTTCTGTAGTTTTCGTTTTTTTTTTGCTTCTCGCTTAAAAAATTCAGTCGATAGATTTGATTGTCCTGCAGTGGTTTCGTAGTGATCCGTCGAAAATTTTTCAATATTTTGTTGCTGCCTACCAATATCTTAAAAAGCCATTCCTGAGCTGACACTTCTGAAGACTTGAAAGGAATGACTAATAACTGGGATGGCAAGAACAACAAATATAATCTGTTTGTTAACGATTGATATTAGGGATGTTATAGCTATGAGATTGGTGGAATTAATTACTATGTAATGATTCTATATACAGGGTAATAGGGTGCCTTCTGTTCTTTCTTCGACCGTTAAGGCCTCTAATGTAGTTTCTTGACAGCCATGAAGTAATTACCGATCTTAGTACAGTCATGTTCTACCCAACCTTGTGTAGGGATATACATTGTACCTTTTAGGCTTAATACTTTGTGGTCACGAGGGTGTTTCTTTTCGAACCATTCTTCTATCTCTGAGGCGTCGATATACTTACTCAAGTGATGAGTTCCTGGAGGTACAATTTTTAGTACTGTCTCACCCATAAATATGGTGGTGAACCAGGAGATAGGGTTTCTATTGATCGTACTCACGAACAATAGACCGTTTGGTTTCAATCTTTTCCAGGCCTGTTCGAGAATATCACCAGGTTTGTCTACATGTTCTAACATTTCAAAACATGTTATGATATCGTAGTCCTTCTGTTTCAGATCCTCTAATGCAATTTCATCATATTCAACTTTCCCTTCTAATTTGGGATCTAACCTAGCATGTAGTTTTGCAACAGATATACACTCTGGAGTTAAATCAATTCCAAGCACTTGTTTCACAAATGGTTGTCTTGCCATCGATTCTGAAAGAATACCTCCACCACAACCGATATCTAGCACATTATACTGTCTTTTAGTCAACTCCTTGCTAAGACCTTCATTCAAGTCGTTCTCAATGGAATGAGACACACTCTCTGGCAAGAACTCTTTGTAGTTATAACCAGGAATAAACGTATTAGGGTCCTTGATTCTAACGGTTTTGTTTAATGTGTTCCTTATAAAATCTAACCTTGCTAAATTCATCTTGTGAAGTATTCTTTGTGATCCGTTGGTATCCCACCAAGTAGGAGCTAGCTCCTGAAAATGTTTGATTTCATCAGGTGAGGCAGCTGTGGATTTGAATCTAACGAAAGAGCGAGCCCGTCTCCCTAGAAATTGGTAGAACGGTTTATCTAGAAGCTGTTTTTGTACTATTAATTTATTCATTGTCGATTCAATTTGATTCCAGACACTCTAATAATCGGTTGTAAAACCATATCATTATCCATTCAATTGATTGGTTTATTCTATTTATTGTCGTCAATGTTATTTTATGGTGTTTCGTTCATTATAGAAACGTCCCTTTTTTTTGTGGGTGGGGAGTCCCCACCGCCCATCGAAATCTCTTTCCGGAGACGAAGACGTGAATGGGTTATATCAGAATTGTCACATTTTATTTTTATTTATTTTTTATATAAAGAACATCTTAATACTTTATATAGGGATTTATTAATATAACTGGAAGATGTACTATAATTTCTCAATCCATATTTGTTATTCAAATGGAGGTATTTTGATGAATTTTGGGCTAATACGCCAGGAACATTCGTAGTTGGCCGGTTGAGATCATTATTATAATATTTCCAAAATTCCTGGTTCTTAAATAAGGTAGCATCCTTCCATTGTGTGTCAAATTGTTTGTGGTTGATATTGATCATATAGAGTAAGTTTCTTGCCCTTGTTACCCCCACATATAACGCATTGCGTTCCATGCTGAATGTATCACTAGCAGAGTTCAATAACATTACAACTGGATATTCTAAACCTTTAGAAGAATGAATTGTTGATAAATTGATCTTCCCCGAACCATGAGACTCTAATTGTATCTCTTTTTGATATAGATTTGTACATTTCTCAAAGAAGGATTCAATGAACCACTCCACCAATGTTAAATCACTTGGCTTATTCAATGAACAAAGCTTCATTATTTGCAACATATCTTCCAAATGACTTTTAAACACTTTACTATCAGTTATTGACATATTTTTCAATGGTGCGTAATCGAGATCCATGGCTGTAGAACTTATAATTTCCAAAATATCTAATGGTGATTGTGTATTCCATAAAGTATCATCATTGATCAATTTAGTTAACTGATTAGTGTAATCTATGATCTTATTTTTATTAGAAATTCCACTTGGCCATTGAGATTGAGGTATAGCCAAAATATAATCCCATAGAGATAATTTGGCCTTCATAGTAGCCGTATATAAACTTTGGATAGACTTTGAACCAATGCCTTTCAATGCACTCAAAGTTATTAGAACACTAAAGTCACTCTGTCTATGTAATATCGTATTTTGATCTTCAAGAGATTGAGAACTCTGACGTGCAAAGACAACGACTTTAATAAGATCAATTAAAAATTGTATACGAGTATCCATTAACCAATCTGGTTGGGTTAGCATTTTATCATATGGAATTTTATAGTGTTGAAAATATTCAGCAATTACATTCAAATGATTATTAGTTCTTGATAGGATTGCGATATCAGATAATTTTACATTCGAAGTTACTAATTTGGATATCTCGCTGACAATAAATTCCATCTGATCCATATCATCATTGAACTGATATATTTGAGGCTTTACAAAGCTAGGTGGCTTAATCACTAAGTCCTGTCGCTTTTCTTTATTTAAATTTCTGGGTGAAATGAGCTTCGAAGTAGCTATTATCTCAGGTGTGGATCTAAAATTATCATATAAATGTAAAGTCTTAGATACATCAAAATTATGCAAATTATCTAGTTGCCTCATTACTTCTTGATTGGACCCTAAGAAATTGTATATACTTTGATTGGTATCACCAAACATTATCAATTGTTTCCCAAAGGAGACATCTTTTATCAATGGGAGTAACATTGGGTAAAGATCCTGAAATTCATCAATTAATACCACTTTATACTTGTTTTTAATTTTATCTAAAAATTCACTTTGTTCATTTACAACCCCAGATAATGCAAGATACCCGGAGGCCTTTAAAATTAAGTCATCGTTGGTCAAAACTTTACAACTTTCCATAATATCTATAATATTCAATAGAGTACTACTTGATTGTTCCTCGGTGTTATTATTATTTTTGTATGCCTTCAACAACATTTCTAAGTTTTTGGTTGTTGGAGTTGAAATTTTACGACGACTCCAAAAATCAGAAGAAACTAACTTCAATAGTCCCCTCCAACCATTTTCTTCAATAATATTAATAATCCCTTCATGTTCAACGACTAATTTATTAGCTAATCCATGAATTGTAAAGATATCAATTTGGTCGACGATTGCTTGAAGATCATTTTGAGGGATTCCAGAGCTATTTTGTATTTCAAATATTCCTAATAATTTGGCTTTAATGTTATCGACAGCTTTGTTAGTCAGTGACAGTATCAAAATTTCGTCCTGTCTGATCTGTTGTTCTTTAATTAGGTGATGAACTTTCTGTAATAGCGTAAATGTCTTACCAGAACCTGGACCAGCAATAACCTTAACTGTATTAGCAGGAAAATAAGGATATTCTAAAACCGTACATTGTGACGGTGTCAATTCATTATTCATTCGGAGCTAACTCTGTACTTGGTGGTTACATACACTTTCTTTGATGCTTTAACTTTTTAGGAAACCTTGACTTTAATTAAATATTCGATATCCGAACGTGCTGATTTACGTCAATTTGAAATTTTTCTTATTTTATTTAAAGAAAAATGTGATAGATAGCAAAATTTTAATAAATTTCAAAAATGTCTTAGACATATACCCTGGGTTTCTCAGTTTACATGTATTTGAGCTATTTATTATATATATATATATAAACATATCATGCGTTAAGTTTGTGAATTTTGGCTAACATACTGGCCAATTGCAAATAAGTACCAACGCCTTCCAAGATTCTCATATGCGTTATACCTATCTCTTTTATCATCTCTAGTCTCTTTGGTTCTTTCAATTCATACAACGTTTTTGTTACTCTGAAGGATGTTGTTACTATATCCACAGCCGAGTAACCTTTCCCCCACAGGTCATCTCTTAGATGTGTGATAGATTGATCAAGAGTAGGAGCCATCAACATCTTCTTGACCACTAAAGGATGCGGTGAGTCTACAATCTTGAAAACGTTATCACCGTTTACTAAACCATGACCGGCAACACAACTTTGTAAATTGTTAAGAGCTTGTCTCATATCACCTTCAGCGGTGAAAATAATTGCCTCTAGACCATCATTTGTATATTTAACTTCTTCTGCTTTTATAATCTCTAGTAATCTTTTTAGGACTTGCTCATCTGATAATTTCGAGTAACGTAGAATTGCACACCTACTTTGTAATGGTTCAATAATCTTATTAGATTGATTACAAGCAAAAGCAAAACGTGTTGTATTCGAATATAATTCCATTGTTCTTCTTAGAGCCTGTTGTGCACCCGCAGTCATTGAATCAGCCTCATCCAAAATGACGATCTTATGTTTCCCTTGTGGTAAACTACATTTTTTCTGAGCGAAATGTTTGATTTGGTTTCTAACAACATCTATACCTCTGTCATCACTTGCATTCAATTCTAGAACCGCCTCTGAGTAAGATTCACCTAATAACTCGTGCGCAAGACAGAGCACGGATGTAGTCTTACCGATACCTGGCATACCAGATATAATCATGTTGGGCATGTTACCATCGACGGCGATCTGTTTCAATCTCTCGATGGTCTCGTCATTACCAACAATATCCTTTAACAACTTAGGACGGTATTTTTCAACCCACGGCAATTCCAATTTCAACGATGGTTTCGACATCAATTAAACTAAAAAAAAATCGAAATACCTTTTCTCTGAACAAATATGTACTGCTTTGGTACAACTCCAGTTTCTCGAAAGTTCTCAAAAGTAATTTGTTATATGCTTCCTTTTGATTCGCTTAATGAATGAATCAGATCACGAACTCAAGAAATTATAGCATCTTTATTGTTATAATGAAAAAAGAAAACGCCAAAATTGCTAAATTCACGGTTCGCACTGAAATTTGAATTCCACGCACGTGACCAGTACTGAAAAATTTCAATTTCAGTGAAAAATCAAAGAAATTTAAAAAAAAAAGTTTGAGATCAATTTGAAGCTCATCGATTTCATTTCTACTATGAATGAGCATTTCTAATGAGTTAGATTACTTGTTAAAACTGCTAATAGGGTGAATAAAATGTCGGAAGAGATAAATAAAGATATTATTGTTGAAAATCCAGCTGCGACGGAGCCCTCGAGTGAGGTAACTAATTTAGTTACAAAGGAATCAACAACAGTTGAGGATAGACCTAAATTCAAAAAGAGAATTGGTGATGATGCACCACCTCCACCTGAAGGGATATCGAAATCTAAATGGAAGAAAATATGGAGAAGACAACAATTTGTTGAACATAAGGAAGAATATTCACAAAAGCGTCGTGAAAAACGTAAGAGACAAAAACAGAACAGAAGAAGTATTATTCAAGGTTTCAAAGATCGTGGTGAAGAGATCCCTGCTGAATATGTTCGTCCTCCAAGGAAGAACGTGAACCAAAAACCGGCCGGATTCTCTATCCTCTTAGATTGCGGGTTTGATGATCTAATGAATGAGAAAGAGGTTTTAAGTTTATCTAATCAATTGACAAGAGCATATGCAGCTAACAGAAGAGCCGATCATTATGCGGATATGACCGTGACCAGTTTCAACAAGAGACTAGAAGAGAGATTCAAAGTCGGTTTAGTTGACAGTTTACATGAAACATGGCCTAATTTCAAATTCGTGGCAGATGAAACGTTGATCACTGAGGGTGACAAAGATAAGATGGTTTACTTGACAGCAGACACAGAAGAAACCTTGGACAAAATTGAAGCTGGAATGACATATGTCGTAGGCGGAATTGTCGACAAAAATAGACACAAAGAGCTATGTTTAAATAAAGCCAAAAGTCTGGGGATCCCCGTCAAGAAACTACCCATCGATGAATTTATTAAGATCGACGGTAGACAAGTGCTCACCACCACACACGTTGTCCAACTAATGTTGAAGTACTTTGACACAAAAGACTGGAAAGAAGCCTTCGAGAGTGTATTGCCTGCCAGAAAGATTGGGCTGCCATCCTTGAGTGAATTGCCAGTTAGTGACTCGGAGTCCGACGATGAACACAGAGAAATACCCGCTGCCGCCAGGATGGGGGAACCTTCCTTAAAGAAAGATATATAAGAAATAGCCACTTTGTGAAGCCTCTCACAGTCTCTAATTCAAATGTATAGTATAGCATAATAAAAGATATATTTAAAAGTATAGATTAATTACTCTAAGTACAGTGGATTTGATCACTGAAAGGAAGAAAAATAATCCAGCGGGAAATGTATTTTCACGGTGGGCGGTGCTGAGCTCAGCTCATCCCAGCGCAACTTTTCATTCGTCCGGTCTTTAATTCCGCTGGGAATTTTTCACTGAAAATTTATTTTTCATTTCAAAGGAATTGGAACGAAGTGAAACATCAAAAGAGGGCAAGTAAGGAAGTCCCTTGGATGAATGAGTCAAGGTTGGGTGGATGAAGTGGCTTCATAATTATAGTTGACTTGTGTTCGTGACTACTTTTGGGAAACTAGCAATACATTTTTATACGTACATATATATAAAGGGAACGGCTCATTATACTCACTAGTGTTTACTATTTATTACTTAGTTTCGTCCCCTTTTAGGAATAGTACAAAGAATAATAGATCTAACATAGACTATACACATCTATATATATATACACACAATGCAATTTGTACCCATAGAATTTAGTCCAGAAAACCTTAGTGGAATGTTTGGTTCCATATCGATTGCATGCTGGGTGATCGTTTTCGTACCACAAATATATGAAAATTTTTATAGAAAATCTGCAGAGGGTCTCTCTTTATTATTCGTGGTTCTGTGGTTAGCAGGTGATGTCTTTAACTTACTTGGTGCAATGATGCAACATTTACTGCCTACCATGATAGTATTAGCCGCATATTATACTGTTGCAGATATAATCCTATGGGCACAATGCCTATGGTATGATAATGAAAAAAAAGTCGATCCAATCCATTTATCTCCTGCAAATCCGATGAATGAAAATGTGTTACAAGATGTATTCAACGAGCGTCAACCACTATTGTCGAATGGTCAAGCCAGTAATCTTTTGGATGTCAATGAGGATTCAAGAACTAGAGCTATCGATACTTTAATAGAAATTGAAGAAGAACAAGACGAATTATCTCAATCTAACAACTTGTATAATTGTTTCATTGTGCTATGTGTTGTACTCGCTGGGTTTATATCATGGTACGTGACTTACTGTAGTAAGATGTCGAATGGTGGGAACGATCATAAGATACCAGTGAAACCACGTCCTGTCGAGGTTAATGTCCTCGCACAAATGTTTGGATATTTAAGTGCTGCATTATACTTAGGTTCAAGAATTCCTCAAATATTATTAAATTTTAAGAGAAAATCTTGTGAAGGTATTTCTTTCCTGTTCTTTTTATTCGCATGTATTGGTAACATTACTTTCATTCTATCTGTGCTTGTGATATCCTCGGATCCTACATACCTTATGGTGAATGCATCCTGGTTGTTAGGGAGTTCTGGTACATTAGTCATGGATTTTGTCATTTTTGGTCAGTTTTTCTCATATGGGGTAGGGAAATCTGTATCATTGGATTCTCAAGTATAAAAGAGAGAAAAGACAATTCGGTGGCAAATAAGGCATAATAGAGATGTAAACTCAAGTCATATAATCTAATTCAAGATTTATATAAGGATGAACTTCCAGGTATATATACATCATCGCCTTCATTTATATATTTATATTTATTCATTAATAACATAATCATCAACCCTTTATTATTAGTTGTTATTTTTCTTTGATTTTCCATTGTAAGTATTTTTGGTATGTTACTAGTCGGGCGTCAATTATTTGTGTCAGTAATTTTTAATTTCTTCAAACATTAATAAAGTTAATATAAATATTACTAAGCTAAGAAATAAAATTCAATATATGAAGTTTCGTATATAAGGAATTGACACATTTGACCAATATAATATAGTCTTTCCACCTCGAGAATATGACTTCACTTCAAGAGAAAACGGGGGACAATATCGCTTATCCGCATAAAGATAGCAACATTCAAGTTCCTGAAATATTCCTGCCTAAAGACCACGATTATAGTATCAACACTGATCATGAAGAATCATCATCGGATCAAGACGACAGTAAAAGTGTTACCACATCCATTGGGTCATCAATATATGGTGCATTGGATTTGAGTGACGTTTCTGGAACTAATTCTGAAAAGAAGCGCTCAATACGAAAACTATTGTCTGCTATGAAGGTAAAAATTAAAGCAATGAGACGCAATTCAAATAATGATACCTCAGATAGAAGTAACTTTTTAACAGAAGAAATTAAGGATGAAGATTTACAACTTGACAGAAATTCTTTGAAATCAAGTACTCCTATTCAATTTCCGACTGGAGATTTCCCTTACCTCGATATCCTTAGAGAGGATAGCCGTTTGGAAAATTCTATCATTGATAATAAATATCAAAAAATGTTTCCAAAATATGACAGAGAGAATAAATGGTTGGACTCCTTGAGCACACATGCCTCATTCAACATGGAAGACGATCATAGTGTTGTTAATAATAAAGAGAATAACCTAGATGAATCTCCATTGACACCAGAGGAGTATGAAATTGAGGGGAAAGTTTCTACAAATTTGAGGGATATGAATATATTACAATCAAATGACAAGGAAAAAATATGTGATAGGATTCAGAGTATTTGTCAAAAACTTGGGATTGAAAATGCTTCGTCACAAACTTCTAAAATAACGAAAATTGAAATAAATGCCAATACGAGCATTTTATTAGATAAAATCCTATTAAAATTAGACAACAACCTAGAAAACCTTAGCTCATTGAGAAATGATGTTTATAAAAGAAAAATTGAAAAGGAAGAAATTGCTGAGAAATTGCGTAAGGTTGAGAAAGAATTAATTGTTAAACAAGAAGGAATGAAAACAGAACTTCACAATAAAGAAAAAATATATGAAAAGTATAAGTCTCAAATGGATCAAATCAATGTTTTGTTTGAATTAACTGAGTCTTCTTCAAAAAAAGATTTATCTGAAACAGAAAAGATGAATGCTCTTTTCAACGTAGTGGAAACACATTCAATGTTAAAGACCAAGGTCACTTCGTTATATAATGAAAATACAAATTTGAAAGATATGTGTCGTACGCTAAAGATGGAAACTCAAAATGCAAAAGATGAGTTAGAAGATAAGACTTATGATGCAATTAAGTCACAGTTTCAGAAGGTTGTCCTAAAACTAGAGCAATGCATTGAAGAGCATAAGGAAAGAGGAGAATTACAGCAAGAGCGTATTATGGGGACAGTTCAAATGTATAATGAGGAAAGAGAAAAAGTGATAGGGTTGAGAAAAGAAAAGAAAATTTTAGGAAGTCAAATACAACTCCTGGATTGCCAGAAAAATGAATCATTACAATTTATGTCGCAATTCATGAATTCCTTTAGTAATTATGTCGACAAAAAAATACTGTTCGATTATAATATTCTTCTAGAATCCTTAACTAGTAAACTAAATATAGAATTTTTATCTGGTTTTACAGATTTTCAAACTAGTAATCACTTTGAGAAGATTGAAGCACAACTTAATGAGTTTTATCAGGAAATAGCAACAAATAAATTCATGGACCAATTAATATCTCAATTTGTACAGACAATTGGCACAAACAATATTCTCAATTCTCAGTTAGATAATTTGGAAAACAAATATGGCGAACAGGTAGAATATATCAATGAATTGACTCATTATATTAAGAAGTTAAAGAGGAGAAAAACACAACAGAAAAATTCACATTCTCTGCACCATAAGACTGACATCGACCAAAAAATAAAAGAGGACTAAATATTCTATATAGCAAGCTACAAAGAGTTATACAACTACAAATAATATCATACTGTTAACATCATAAAATTAAGCAGATGTAGGATGCCATTAAGTGGGGACCATCGAATTTTATTCTCTATTGAAATCTTATGATTCGATGAGCATCTCCTCTATTTTTCACTTTTAAATAGACGCGTCACTTACGAGTGAAGTTCATTGAAAGAAACGCGAAATTTAGTAAGATAGGAATTTCAAAAAGATCACTTATAGAGAGAACATAACGAAAACAGAACTATATTAGTGTTTCATTATCTGTTAGCAGGTCAAATTTAGATTATTTCATATTGCTTATTAGGTGAGAGTATATCCAACAGGCCACACTATATTATAAGCAAGTATGTCTGCAACTAGACCAGAGTTGAAATTCTCTGATGTGTCAGAGGAAAGAGGATTCTACAGAAAATTTGTTTCGTTACCAGATAAACCTCCATCTACAGTTCGTGTCGTAGATAGAGGAGATTATTTTACTGTAGTTGGAATCGATGCTATCTTTGTTGCCGAATCTATTTATCATACAAACTCTGTGTTAAAGAACTGCAACGTTGACCAATTGACCGCAAAGAGCTTTACCGAACCTTGTCAATATGTAACAATTTCACCACAAATTTTGGCTAATTTATTAAAACATTGTTTATTGGATATAGGTTACAAGGTAGAAATATATGATAAAAACTGGAAACTACTGAAAAATGCGTCCCCTGGTAATATCGAGCAGGTCAGTGATTTGCTAAATATTGCTATTAACACATCCATAGTCATTGCAAGTTTGAAGATACAATTGAATTCCAAGGACGGAAATAGTACACTTGGTATTGCATTCGTAGATACCACTACATTAAAGATCGGGATGTTGGATATTGTTGATAATGAAGTCTATTCCAATCTAGAGAGTTTTTTGATTCAACTAGGTGTTAAGGAATGCGTTGTACAAGACTTAACCAATATCGAATCCTCCAAGAATGAAATGAAAAAGATTACTGGAGTTATAGATCGTTGTGATTGTGTTGTCACATTTGTCAAGAGTTCTCAATTCCAAGAAAAAGATGTTGAACATGATCTAGCAAAATTAATCGATAATGAGCTGGCCCTATCTTTACCACAAAAGTATTCAAATTTAGCAATGGGTGCCTGTCATGCCCTTCTAAATTATTTGCAATTATTGAATAATCAGGAATATCTTGGGAATTTTGAATTAACAGAACATTCCTTGAAAGAATTTATGAAATTAGATGCAAGTGCTATTAAGGCGTTGAATATTTATTCTCAGGGACCAGTACAGCCATTTGGCCCATCTTCAGCATCCAATATTTTTAATTCATCATCTAAGGGCAAAATCACTTCATTATTTCAATTGCTTAATAATTGTAAAACAAATGCTGGTGTGAGATTATTGAATGAATGGTTGAAACAGCCTTTAACCAATATCGATAATATTCATAAAAGACATGATTTAGTAGAATGTATGGTGGATCAGTTAGAATTAAGACAAATTCTTCAGACAGATTTTCTCCCATTGATTCCGGATGTACGTAACTTAACCAAGAGATTAAATAAAAATGGTAATTTAGAAGATGTCCTGAAAATTTATCAATTTACTAGAAGGATACCCGATATTAGTCAGTTATTGCAATCCCACATAGATGACAATAGCGATATTAGTGATGAACTACGCCAATTAATAAATGAAAGTTGGGTTCAGCAATTAACTAACCATTTAGAACCATTATCCAAATTACAAGAGATGGTTGAAACGACTGTAGACCTTGATGCATATGAAGAGAATAATGAGTTCATGATTAGGGTTGAATTTAATGAGGATTTGGCCCATATTAAAACCAAACTTGACGAAGCTAAGGGTAAGATTAAAGAAATACACCTTGAAGCAGCTGATAATCTAGGATTTGACCCTGACAAGAAACTTAAGTTGGAGAACCACCATCTTCATGGCTGGTGTATGAGATTGACCCGAAATGATGCCAAAGAGTTACGTAAGCATAAGGAGTATGTTGAATTATCTACAGTTAAGGCAGGTATTTACTTTAGTACCAGGGAATTAAAAGAGATTGCCAAAAATACATCTGCATTGGAAAAGGAATATGAGAAACAACAATCATCTCTAGTTAAAGAAATTGTCAATATAACTGTTACATATACTCCAGTTATGGAAAAGTTGGCGCTAGTATTAGCTCATCTTGATGTTATAGTTTCATTCGCACACATATCATCATATGCTCCGATACCATACATCAGACCTACCATGCATTCACTGGATTCTGAAAGAAAAACAAAATTAGTTGGTTCGAGACATCCTGTTTTAGAGATGCAAGATGATCTTACTTTCATTTCAAATGATGTTCATCTTGAAAAGGGAAGTGCTGATTTCCTTATTATTACCGGGCCAAATATGGGTGGTAAATCTACTTATATTAGACAGGTGGGTGTAATATCTCTTCTAGCTCAAGTAGGTTGTTTTGTTCCGTGTGACGAAGCAGATATTGCAATTGTTGATGCCATTTTATGTAGAGTTGGAGCCGGCGACTCTCAATTGAAAGGTGTTTCAACATTCATGGTTGAGATGTTAGAGACTGCATCTATTCTAAAAAATGCCAGTAGAAACTCTCTGATAATTGTCGATGAATTAGGAAGAGGTACAAGTACATACGATGGGTTTGGGCTTGCTTGGTCAATTGCAGAACATATCGCCAAGAATATAGGTTGTTTTACCCTTTTTGCAACACATTTCCATGAGTTAACAACTTTGTCAGAAGAACTACCTAATGTTAAGAATTTACATGTGGTTGCACACATAGAAGATAAGGCTAAGGTTAACTTGGATAAGGATGAGATCACCTTATTATATAAAGTTGAGCCTGGTATTTCTGATCAGTCATTTGGTATCCATGTCGCAGAAGTAGTTAAATTTCCTCAAAAGATTATCAAAATGGCAAAACGGAAAGCCGTAGAGTTAGAGAGCTTAAAGGAAGATGAAATAAATTTAAAAAAGGCGAAGCTAAGTATTACAGAGATTAACGAGGGTAATATGGAACTGAGAAAAATACTGAAGACATGGGTTGCTGATGCGAAGAAAGACGGTCTAGACGATTTGTCAAAATTGACTGAGGAAGTTTGCAGAGATAAGGTGGAGGCATTGATGAAGACGATAATTGAAAATGATCAAAATGTTGACAGTAAGTACCTCAATTTCTTGAAGGAATTATTTTTATAAAAACATTAGCGTAGGTTAATATATTTTCATTCTAATTATATAAATTTATAACTACAAAAACATTTAAAAATTAAATTCATTTTGAACTATTTATGACTTTAAAGGCACTTTCAATAAGATATTTTTTCTTTTCTTTCTTTGTTCAAATATTTAATGAACATAAAATCCCTATCAAATAGTAATTTTCCAAGGGGTAATTGACTGCAGAAACTAAACGTATTTTTCATGTCACCCAATTTTTTTAACTGTTCTTGCTTGTACCCTTCATCTATATCACCCTTAGCATGAATAGAAAATAACAGAGTTGCTGGTAGTTTCAGAGATGTATATAATGATGGATCATTTAGAGCTTTTAGATCCCTTTCGTTAAATACCGACTCAAAGGCAGCAGGAGAATCTAATAATTCGAGCAGCTCCGGAGTAAAGTTACTGAACATTCCGAATATACCAACCTCAATAGGGGGTAAAGTAGGATCAATAACTGTACTGTTATCATGGAATTTAAACTGTGACCACCTATCATTTTTATCTTGATCAGTATCACGAACTTGTTCGACGATGGATTTTACTGTTTCTGTCTTTCTCTCCTGTATATTTTCTATGAGTTTTTTCATTAAGTCATCATATTTTAAATACTCGAACTTTTCTTCATCTACATTACGACCTTTATCGTTATAATGCTTAATTATGTACTTTAGTAAGAAAGTAAAATGAAAAATGGCCGCATTAACTTTAACGTTCGTAGATGGAACTTTAGAATAATTTTCTCCAACTACGTGATTATGTGCACTAATTAATAATGAAATTAACTTTGGAATATCTATTTCCTTGGGGTCATCCATATATTTAATGACGTGGAATAGTAGAGTATAAACACCCGTCAGAACATAACATAGAAGTTCTGGGTAAAGGTATGGTTTGAAAGGTACTTTTTGGAAAATTTTGCAAATTTGAATGCAATCCATTTTAATTTGCCTGCAAAATGAATGGAACGTTTCAGGCAACGATTGTGATGATGAAGTAAACAAGTCTGTATTATCTAAAAGAAAGGATATGGCAAAACAACTGAGTGTAAGGTCCAGGTATAGATAGTGTAAATGGCACTTTATAACTTGAAAGCAAGAAACTTCTAGACCAAGCTTGGAACTTTTCGAAGGTGACTGAGCGTATAACATTTTTAGATATTGATTGTAACTTTCTAACCTCATAGATGGGTGTAAACTTTCCCTCCAAGTTGTCAGATCTGTTCTGATATCCAAAATTTTCTGAACTATATCATCGAATGTATAATCGATGGTATTTCTAATAGAGAAACAAACGGATCCTATTTCGCTCTCAATTGTAATTAATTTTGTAGAATAGAAGGAAACAAAAAATGGGAAATGTTCACTGTAATTTATTATGGCTGATAGAGCGTCATTTAGGTTAGTAATCTTATCAATTTCGCCTGGGTTATTTTTGAAATGCTGTGGCAATTGATAATATTTGATGGTTTCGAAATACACATCATTAGCTAGTATATCCATGTCATTTTCTTTAATTAGCGGTGGTTTTGATAGCATCAAAGATACCATTTTATCGAAATAGAAACAATACCACCAAAGGGCTCTGTGCTTTATCACTTCATTTGGAGCCAACGATTTATAGTGGAAATTCATATTGAGATTCATGTCATATGCATATCTGATTGCCAGAGCTAATGCGTCGACGGCAAATTCGCAATTGTAATTGAAATTTAAATAATGGAATAACATTAATAAACCTGTGATTGCAGTTGCTCCTGCGGAAAACAAAACAAGTTTATGATAGTAGTACATTGCATTCTCAAATGTCATTTTTTCAATATTCTGATATTCTTGTAATGTTGGTTCATTTTCAGGATCTTCTCTAAAGAATTCGTGTGGATCACAGATACAGATGTTTGCACAAATTGCTAGGCATATATTTAATACCAGATGTTCTCCATAGGTCAATGAACTAGTGTCATTTTCATAATATTTCTCATACAACTTCATTATTTCATCTTGTGTCATGATACTAGAATGGTATTTGATGATAGTATTAAAATTTCCCAATAGTATCTTAGCATGTTCTTTTGAGGGCATGTCCAATCTATTCTCATCTCTAAAATTTAAAATCATTGGATATTCAATCATATGTTTACATTGTAAGATATACCATTTCAAATTAACCGTCATGAAATCTTTAATTGGTGCCAGAAATATACTATTCGATTCATCCTCTGCAACTACAGATTTTACCCATTCTAATTTCTGAGTGGTTAAAAGTTTTGAGAAATATTGCTTATGTTTTGCCTTTGGTAGGTTTGATGGCTTTGGTAGTCTATCATCCACTTTTTTGGAAAGTTTATCAACTAACCATTCGAATCTAGCCATAGTATCAATGACCATAGAGACCTTCCTATCAACCTGTTCCATCCTATTAATTACAGTTTCATCACCTCCTGGACCTTTGTTAGATGAAATTTGTCCATTTACACTTATATTTGCCCTTTGGTTTCCATAATTTGTGGTATTCTCTTGAGCAATATTTCCATTATCGGGTGACGGCGATGCTAAACTTGGGTACTCGTTGTTTATTTGTTTCATAATATTTGAACTAGTTCTTAAATGACTGTTATATGTCATGTGTTGAGCTAATGGTTCATTGGAATTACCCATCGCCTGAGTAGATATATTCTGATGACTATTGTTATTATGACTACTGTTATCAGGGAACATTCTTAACATATCTGGAGTGGCAACAAACGAATCTATACTTGATAAATTGTTAGAAGTATCTGCATTAGGATTCCCTTCATTCCTACCAACAGCGTTATTGTTATCATTTTTAGTTGCATTTTTCTTTTTCTTTTTCTTTGGAGGATTATCATGATGAATAAAAGTACACTCTGCATTATATTTCATACAATTAGAACATTTATTACTAGCTGGGTCTATATCATCACATTTGATCTTTCTCTTTCTACAATGATCACAAGCTTTTGATACTCTTCTCTTTGCTGGTACAATCGGATTCCGTTGTTTCCAATCTGCATTATTATTATTATTATTATTATTATTATGATTTGTCTCGGTATCATCATTTGAGAACGAATCCATCACTGCTGGCAATTGATTATTCTGGAAATTCGATTGATTTTGAGCATGGTTATTATTATTATTAGTGTCGTTATTACGATTCAAAATATCGGGGGTCCCATTAATTAACATATTTTGACGAGAATTGACTGGAGGTAAATTATTACCTTGAATATAACCCATGATATTAGGTAATTGTTGATTCCCTTTATTGGAGGGATCATTATTTGTATTCATGATGTCTAATGAATTTTATTTTTATTTATTTTCTTGGTTCTGTTGAGAAAGCAAATCTTTCAGTTATTTCATCGAAGCCTTACTAAAGGGGAGAAATATAGCTAGCAATTATCAATTTTTTCACTTTGTGTGGTGAATCAAATATATATATAGTTGTATATTTAGTAATCGTTATATATATGGAAGTAATCACACGTCCAGTCAAAAGAAGTAAAGAGAAATTTCCTCCCTCCCTCTCTCGTCGTCGTCGTCGTCTTCTTCTTCTACTTCTTCTTCCCAAGATAACGATATTTATTCTCTAACGGAACTTTTGGTTCTTCCTTTTCCACCGATCTGAGTTCCCGTCGGTCCCTTGCCCTTCAAAATTGCCGAGACCCGATCGGAACCGGTGGACATTTTGTCGCTGACCGCTTTTAGCCTGCCCATTTCTTTATATAAGCAGGGAATTTCAGTTGCAGCTTGTTAAATTCTCGTGCAAGGATTTTATTTGTACGAGAAAGAGCAACAGGAAGAAATTGGTTCCGTGGATAAAAGAAGGATATATCGATAAAGCTTGAGGTTGGAATGGTTGCCCCTTCTTCCAGGTTGTTTGTTTACTTGTTTGTTTGTTCGTTCGTTGGAGTGCAAGCTAGCTTTAGGTGTCGAGTGTAGTAGGCCCTCTCTACAGCTCATCGCGGACCTGACTTACCATGGAATCTTCTAAATGGTTCAATAACGCATAAAGAAACTTCAAATTTTTCACTCTTGAAATAGCCATTGCGTCCTCTGCACCAGCACCGCCAAGATCGATGTTTCTTTGAATGTTGTTTAATTTGGATCTCTCGGCATCGATACTATTGTTACTGCCAACCAGCTCGTAACCTTGAGTACCCCTCTTAAGTATGTTGTTTGCTTGTAACTCTTCAAGATACTTCTTTCCAAGCTGGCATAGTTCGTCCATCGAATCACAGGTGATCGTAGGATTCAACACTGTCTTGATAATGGCAACTTCATTATCCTTGGCGATTATCGTTCTAATGAAATTTTCAATAGTTGGAGCGTCTCTTCTGCCTTCGAATTGTACAACCCTTGTAGGTTCAATAAAAGTATTGCGATTTACCTTTGTAGCCCATACCTTATTTAATAATTTGTTCCATAAAGATTCCTCTTGTGAAGTAACCTTTTTGTTCTCTTCATCCTCATGAGACTCTATAGTATTATCACTGGGTTTAATGACGTGGATAATAGGAAATCCAGGTAAGCTCGAGCATAGATTGTTACCGAACACATCACAGTTTACTTCGATAAAATTGATCTTGGACACGCCAGCTAGATTCTCATCGTGGAAGTTTCCAGCGACTTCCTGGAACACAGGTTTCAAGATTTTGCAATGTGAACACCATGTAGTATAGAATTTGACAATCGTATAAGCATCTGGTCTGTTGGTAAAATTATAAAATTGGTTTGTATCCATAATATATGTAATGTCATCATCGTTACCACCTTGGTCTTTATCTGTTTGTAAGCTCTGTGCCAGCGTTTGCCCAACAATTAGATAGAACCAGTAAATAAATAGCATTGAATAAAATGAGACGTTCTTCAAGTAAGTGGTTTGATGTTTTTTAAACTTAATGTAGAGTCCTTTGTGTTATTGAATCGCAACATACTTCAGTAAATATGGTTCTGCCCCATATATATATATATATATATATCGCTGCCTCTCGTTTTAGGCCTCTTATTCTTTTTTCCCGATTTTAGCGATGGGCTTTATTTGCAGCATCGTATAACCGTGGTGAATTATATTACGTAATGAAGAAGAAGGTGTATATATATATATATGTATGTATGTAAGAGTGTTATTTATCTTTGTTCATCGTCAAAACCGAACCATCGACTTTTCTTCTGTAATTCAATATGATCTCTCCTTGTGATTTCCAATACAATGTACGAACCGTGCTCAACGTCATATCATTGTCAAGAACTTGACCTTTACAAAGGATCTCTAACCATTCACTTGGATCTGTCTTGGCCTTCATTTCGGCTGTCTTGGCCTCAAATCTATCAATTACATAAAATTTGATTTTTTTAACTTTGATCATCCCAGGTGCCGTTAAACGTGCATTCATGTCAGATATTTTTGGTAAGTCGGTCATACCAGTTCCCTTAGATTTACCAAATTTCAACATGTAATGCTTTTGTTCAGTCTTTACCGTCTCATCGGGATCTAATGAAGCTTGGTGGGCTTCCTGTTCTGCGTTCAGCCAGGGTTGTAAGACGAACGTTAATTTAGGTTGTTGATCATCCACCATTCTGATATCATTACATAATTTCTTAGCAAACCAATAAGGTAAGTCTCTCTCTAAATGTTCATATAGTTCTTTTTTCGATGGCGTCATATGAAGTTCATCATCTCCTATCTCGGGTTCATTAATAGTGAAGTCATTATAATAATCATGTCCATCGCTATTAGTATTGGTTCCTCCCCTTTTCATGGTTCCTTTCCCAGTCAAAGGATCTTGATTATCTGATTGTGATGACACAAGGGATGATTTACTAGAATTATTACCAGAATTTCGTCTTCTCTTGGAAGATGGTGGTAATATACTTGATGATAAAACACTACCCCCGGATACATCTTCTTCCCACGAATGAACAACTATCAAAGTAGCTAATCTGATATTAACAATTGGACTTGTTGGATCCCTCTTGATTAAAGTGTCGGGCATCTTTCTTGTTAACAACTTCAACGATGTTAAATTACTTGTATATTGTTCCACGTATGTATTATGGAATTCTGTTATCAAATCATCCATGAATTGTTGCTTCTTTTCCGTTCTAACGGGTACTGTTGTATTAGAGACAGTTGAAGGTAAATTTAATATAGATGTTGAGTGAGCGCGAGATTTAGCCTTTGATTCATCTGCAAGTTTCGTGTATACTGGATTTTGATATTCTGATGATTTATGGCTATTGAATGGACTTTCTCCTCTAATGTCTGCCGATGGATCATAACTTGTATTCCAAATTGTCTTTTCTTCTGGGATATCGCTATCGATAGATAAATTAGCCTGATCGATCATTTTTTCTTCTTCATCAGATGTGGCATGTTTAGAGTCACCTCCCGAACTTACATTTGAATCGTTCTTGGTCAATCTAAATGATTTGAATTTCCTACTTAGTAAAGACCCTGAACTTTGAGCACGCCCCGATGAGTTTTTAGATAAAACAGGCACAGGGTTGACGATTTCTTGTTTATCAGTTTCATCTCTACTATTGTTATTGTTATCATTCGTCATTGCAGCAGGTGCGGTCTTTGGTGGAAGATGTGATGTGGCATTATTGCTTTCATTTAAGAAGTATTGTTTTTCTTTATCCAATGGTGTGGTTGGTGCCGATACGAATGGCGTTTCATTATTCTTATTACCATTACCAATCGATATAGATGAACCTAATTTTCCAAATCCTGATATTTTCATGAATTTTTCTTTCGTCTTAGGGGTGTTGGACCCACCATTAGCAGAATTACCCTTTAGTGCAGAATTAGTTCCTGTATTTCCAGTAGTGGTGGCGGTGGTAGTGATGAATTTCTCATCATGGTCTTTCTTTTTATTTACCAAGGCTTTTCTAAAAATTTCATCCTTACGTTGTTCATATTCCATGAAATCATTAAATAATGAATTGACCACAATCTTCCCAATATTATATCTATCATCCGAATTCAATTTAATATCATTCGTCACATAATACTCCTGTAATGCGGATCCATACAGTTCTGTATTTGAAAATTTTGGTCCAATTTTAACAAACAACATTCCAACTTTAACTGTCACAGCACACCAATGTGACAATATCTCCTTTGAAGTATACTTGACCACGATCTCGTCGAACGTGCCCTCATCACGAGGAAACGTGTTGATCAACTCGCATGACACTATATCCCATCTCTGGATCTTCCCCTGGGTGTTTTCGGTGATGACATGTCTTCTGTTTGTTAAGAGCGAGCTTCTTGTGAGTGCGAAGCCACCTTTCTCTATCGACAACGTATTTTGTTTCAAATTGAGGCAGTTCAAGTTTGAGTCTGAACAATATGAGAAATATATATTTGATTCATTAAGTAATTTCAAATCCAGTATGCCTAGATGTTTGTCTTCCTCGTCATTTTGCATAATAGTAGAATCATATTTGACTAAATACTCTTTTGAATTAAAAATTGATTGTATTACAATATTGTTCAAATCTGTAAAATCGAATCTATTAATATTACCTAGGGAGTCACCTACCAATAAATTTGAAGAGAAATTACCATCGATACACCAAATTGAACAATTCCATTTCCACGATTTGATTCTATTCAATTGTGTAATATCATGAATATCCCACACGTGCACTACTCCATTTGAACAAGTGGATATCAATTTTGATTCGTCATCTATCAATTTTATCACTTTAATATTAGTTTCATGAGCTTCTTTAATTCTTCTAATTTCTCTTTTATCCACAGCGGAACAAAACCATAAATCTCCATTACAATCCCCTGCAACCAAATCAAATCCACTTTGATGACTCTGTCGTAATGTAGTCAACGTGTATATTGACCCAGCACCTGTTGTAAAAGTATGATACAGTTCGAAAGATGGTTCATGGTTGCCCATTGAATATATTACTTTCCAAACTTTCAACGTGCAATCCAATGAGCCTGTCACGAACAAATCGTGTTTTGGAATATAGCTAATGCATTTAATATAATCCTTGTGATTGCCAATGATTTTAATTGTGGATAGCCAATCTCCGTCATTATTAGGATCTTTATATACCGTGACATGAACGATACTAAAATCGTGCGAAGTAGTAATATAGCTATGTTGATTAATTTCAATAATGTCGCTCACCCAGTCTGAATGTATTTGAAATCTGGTTGGTGTTCTTCCATGAATCGAAGGATGTAGCACTATTGAGCCATCTCTAGACGTTGTTAGATAGTAGTCATCTGTTAATTTTGGATGTAATATTCTTGATATTGGCAAGATATGAGCATTTTTCTTATCAGGAGATTGGGGTGATATCAATCCGTAACTTACGGTAAGAGAAGTCATTATTGCGGGTGGTATTGATCTTGTTTGACAATTCCGTAAACTATCAATGAAACGATGAAATTGCTTATAGCTATATATAAATAAATGATATCTGCTTCGTTTAATATATTATTTGAAGGTATAAATGTGTGTATGCCCTCTCGCGCACTCAAAAAAGAGAGAGAATAATTTACCACTACAAATTTCCCCTTTTTTGAAAGTCAAGCAGAGCGAAGCTTAGCAAAGCAAAGCAAAGCGAAATATAACAACACCCACCACAACAGAAGATGAAGAGACAAGAGAGAGAGGGAGAGAGAGGGACAAACGCAATGAGTGACAACGACGAGACTCAGGTGTTAGCTCAGTTAAAGGGTAAGCTATGGTATCATTTAGAGATGATGCTACAGGACATCGAGTCACGAGACAGCAACACCGCACATGTGACACATTCCAAGAAGTACATCAACGCAATGGTAGAAGTGGTGTTAACTAAGCTACAGGACATGACAGCAGATTTGGAAGCATTCGCGAAACACGACACGGGACGTCAAACCAGAGAGATCAACACAGCTGACCTGTGTTTATATTTACGCAACTCACCCCAGTTGCAACAGACAATAACACCAAATAAGTAAGTAAGTAAGCAATAAGTAAGCAATGCCAAAAGTTTCAGTTTCAGTTTCAGTTTCCGGCAGCGAGAGGAGCAGTCGGCCCTGCCCCGTTCCCCTCAGCGCCGTGCACAACGACACGCTGCGCCACACACAGCGATGCACAGCCGCGCACGGGCACTGCGGACAATCTCCGCAGTGCCCGCAGAAGCAGGGGAGTGCTGTTGTCACGTGACACCCTTCTTTCCCTGTTGGTACCGATTAGCCCCATCTGCGACGCAACTGGCAACGTTTTTAATGGATGAAGGTATGCGTTACATAGCGGTTTTAAGGTTGAGGAGACATGTACCCTTAAGGGAGTTGACGTCTATATACATATGTATAGATAGATATCTCCCTGTATATATATAAGGATGTATAATGAACGGAAAATAATAGTATACTGGTCTGTCTTGTAATTATTAAACTATTATGTATTCATCTACACACAACTATATACAAATAATAACTATACACACACATTACTATTACTATTATGTCTGCAGATACAAGTTCTTCTACTTCTGCATTCGTGACAACTTTGATATTCAATGGTATCATTGGTGGGATCTTCCTGTTGGGATTTCTAACCTTACGACAAAGGTATAAACGTGTATATGAACCACGTACGCTAACTGACATCAGGACTCTATTCGATGAAGATAGAACCGATCCATGTCCTCCAGGCTATTTTCAATGGTTGCCGTATTTACTGAAAAAACCTCACTCCTTCATTATCCAACATGCTGGTATCGACGGTTATTTCTATTTACGATTCTTAGGTGTATTCGCTGCTTTCTCGCTGCTGTCGGCAATAATGTTATTCCCAATCTTACTACCTGTGAACATAACAAATGGGAACAATTTGAAAGGGTTTGAAATCATGTCCTTCGCTAATGTCAAGAATAAAAATAGATTCTACGCTCATGTGTTCCTGTCATGGCTGGTGTTTGGTCTGCTACTGTTTATTATCTATAAAGAACTATACTACTACACTTTGGTAAGGCACGCTGCAATGACAACTCCCTTGTACGATGGTCTGTTGTCATCGCACACTGTAATAGTCACGGAGTTGGACGATTCCTTGATGCAAGAAGGAGAGTTCGAAAGATTGTATCCATCTTTGAAGTCAATTAATTATGCTTACGACCTTAAAGAATTGAATGATTTGGTTGAGGAGAGACAGAAAGATGGCACAAAGTTGGAATCCGCTGTGAATAGTTGTGTTAACAAGGCAACAAAGAAATATTTGAAAAAAGATTACGTCGAGGGGAAACCTCAGGATAATTTGGATACTTATGTTCCGTATGAAAAGAGACCAAAACATAGATTGGGGAAATGGTTTATGCCACCATTGAAAAAATGGTTTGGAAGAGAAAAGGTTCAGACTATAACATATTGTGGCGAGCATATCTCAGAATTAAATGAGAAGATTCATCCCTTACAACAAAAATGGACACAGAATGAAAAATTCCCTTCGATTTTCATTCAATTTGGTTCTCAATTAAATGCACAAAAATGTTATCAATCCCTAGAGGCTGTGCTTGGTAAGAAAAAATTTGGGAAAAAATTTATTGGAGCTACGCCAAAGGATATTAATTGGACTAATATGAGTATGACTACAAAGGAACGTCATATTAAAAGAATTCTAGCTAATACATTTTTAACTCTATTGATCATATTTTGGGCTATTCCAGTCGCTGTGGTGGGTTGTATTTCAAATGTTAATTTCTTGACTGATAAAGTACATTTTTTGAGATTTATTAATAATTTACCAAATGTATTGATGGGATTGATCACAGGTATTCTACCAACTGTAGCACTGGCTGTGTTGATGTCATTAGTCGCGCCAATTATTACAAAGATTGGGAACATTTCAGGAGCTATCACTTTTGAAGAGACCTCTTTATATGTACAAAAATGGTATTATGCATTCCAAGTGGTAGATGTCTTCATCGTTGTGACTTTAGCATCCTCAGCTTCTGCAACAGTAGACGCTATCATTAAAGATCCAACATCTGCAATGACTCTCCTAGCTGCAAATTTACCAAAGGCTTCCAATTTCTACATTGTTTATTTCCTATTGTTAGGATTAACCACTCCAGCAGGTAATTTACTTCAAATAGTTACTTTTATTCTATCCAAAATTTTACATGTGTTAGATAATTCACCTCGTGCTAAATGGACTCGTTATAACGTTCTATCTGAACCAAATTATGGAGTGTTATACCCAGCCATTCAAATATTGACTGTGATCATGTTATCATACACTATCATTGCTCCGATCATTCTGGTGTTTACCACACTTGCCCTCATTACAACGTATGTTGCCAATCTGTACAATTTGGTTTACGTCACAGTTCCACCAAAACATGATCTGGTCGGTAAAAATTATCCATACGCTATATTTCAAGTATTTGTTGGTATATACCTTGCTCAGGTATGTTTGATTGGTTTGTTCATTATGGCTAAAGCTTGGGGTCCCCTGGTGCTGGAATGTTTCTTCCTTGTGGTTACTGCCTTAACAAACATCTATTTCAAACGGATGTTCTTACCGGTACTAAACATCGTTCCATTGAGTGCAATCAGATATGCACGCGGTCAACCTAATTGTCACTATCCTTATAAGGATTTAGGTCTCCAAGAAACTAAAGATTTTGCTGAAAAGATGAGATTACAACATGAAGGTGATGAAACTGGTGGGATTATTAGACAAGTAACTAGAAAAGAATTGGTTCGTGCCGACTTGCTTGAATCTCCTGAATATAATGAATCATCAAATTCAACTAATTCTCAGGATGAAAATGAAAAGAACAAGAATGCAAACATTGTTAGAGTCGATACAGGGGTCACTACAGAACCAAGTAGGAAAAATAGCACATTTGTTTCACCAGATGAAGAATTTCATAAATTGCATTACAGTGATATCGATCCATCTATATTGAACCCCAATAGGTTTGATGATGTACCTTTGCAACAGAACGGCGAACATGGTGTATGGTTAATTGGGGATGTTGGTGATACATACAGAGATATTGAAGCCATGAGAGATACCGACGCATCTCAGCCTGGTAATAGTCTCCGTGATTATCCTGCTTTACGGAGAGTGACACTTTTCTTCAAACCATGGGACTGTTATAAATTCCCGATCATTAGACAGAAAATGCCAGTGATTCTAAATAGTACTATTCAATATGATGTTGATTATTTGGAAAATGCTTACATCGACTCCTCTGTTAATGAGCAAGATCCAATTATATGGGTTGCAAAGGATCCTATGGGTGTCTCTGACCAATTGGTCAAAGAATGTAAGAATTATGGGGTAGATATTAGAAATGAAGGAACTACTTTTACTGAAAAAGGTAAATGTACATTCACTGATAATCCACCGGATTATGAACCAAAGACCAAATTATAAAACTCTCTCTCTTTTTTTTTTCCTCTCTCTCTCTCTCTCTTAATGATTAATAATCTACATTAACATGTAGTGCACTTTTTTACTCTCTATTCTCCTATATAATTATTAATCGTCGTGACGCTATCTAGTCATAACATTATTTAAATTGTTAATAAACATAACTTAAACTGTTTCTATTTAACTGAGACCAGAAACTTTATCATTAAAATTTCACTTGAAAATAATAATAGAAGATCATCGCTTAAACAGAGAGAATACCATGTGGGCGACGCTGCGCGATTATAAATAATGACAACCAAAGGAAAAAAATTGACATTAATGGACCAGAAGACAGAACGCTTATATAAAACATATTTGGTTCTCATTAATATCTATTAAAATTACCATTATGCATTATTACCTTTTGAACTTGCCATAACCTCACCAAGCCTAAATATGTCTCAAGCTACTTTATACGCTAATTTCAGAATTAGAACATTGGTTCCAAGAGCCCTAGTCAACTTCTTGAAGTTGGATGTTGCTGTTGTCGAACCGGAAAAAGCTCAAAAACAATTTGCTAAGGACTTCCCATTGAAGAAATTACCAGCTTTTGTCAATAACAAGGGATGGAAGTTAACTGAAGTCATGGCTGTCATGAACTATTTGGTCAATTTGTCCTCAGATGAAAAATTGAAAGCTCAATTATTAGGTGAAGATTTGAAAACTCAAAGTCAAGTATTGAGATGGGAATCTCTAGCTAACAGTGATCTATGTGGTGAAATTGTTAAGGCTTTCCAACCATTGAGAGGTGATATTCCTTACAACAAGAAGGCTGTCGACACCGCTTTGGCTCAACTTGCTAAGATTACTGATGTTTATGAGACTAGACTAAGAGATTATACTTATTTGGCCTCTGAACATATTACTCTTGCTGATTTGTTATCTAGTGCTATATTCACTAGAGGTTTCAATTACTTATTCGGTAAGGAATGGAGAGCTGAACATCCAGCTATTGTCAGATGGTACACTACCATGATTGCATCTCCCATTTTAAAGAACGAATTTGTTGATTTCAAGTTTATCGATGAGCCATTGGCACCACCAAAGAAGGAAAAGAAGGACAAGCCAAAGAAGGATGAACAACCAAAGAAGAAGGACGCCAAGAAGGAAGAAAAGCCAGCTGCTGAACCAACTGAAAAGAAGGCAAAGCACCCTCTAGAAGCTCTAGGTAAGTCTACTTTCGTTCTAGACGACTGGAAGAGGAAGTACTCTAACGAGGATACCAGACCTGTTGCTCTACCATGGTTCTGGGAAAACTACAACCCAGATGAGTATTCCATCTGGAAGGTTGGTTACAAGTATAACGATGAATTGACCCTAACCTTCATGTCTAACAACTTGGTTGGTGGTTTCTTCAACAGATTGTCTGCCTCTACCAAGTACATGTTCGGTTGTATGGTCATCTACGGTGAAAACAACAACAACGGTATCACCGGTGCCATCATGATCAGAGGTCAAGAATTCGCTCCAGCCTTCGATGTTGCTCCAGATTGGGAATCTTACGCTTACGCCAAGTTGGACCCAACCAACGAAGAAGACAAGGAATTCATCAACAACATGTGGGCATGGGATAAGCCAGTTGTTGTCAACGGTGAAAACAGAGAAATTGCTGACGGTAAGGTCTTGAAATAATGAGAATGTAATTCTATATACATATATATACCTTGCACGATGCTAATCTGTTTCATTTTATTATAACTTTATTTTCTTCTCTGTCACGTTCGCTGACTTATACAATGAAAAAGAGTGAAAAACTTGAAAAAAAATAAAGTTATGCTAATAGCATATTAACAAAGGTCTGCGAAGTTTCCTTAAGTGAACCTTGTAAACTATGAAAGATCGAAAGACTCGTCAGTAATATCTCTAACAGAGGGTGATCCAATATTGTAATTGAAGTGTGTTTGTGTGTTTTATAAAGGAAAAATAGGCTAGAGCAAATTGTGTTATTTTTTATATTATTTTTTAAGCACTAAGGAATATATTATATAGCAAACAAGACAGATGACTGATCCGGTTCCAGAAACAGTTGAAAATTTATCATCAGGTATATACAATAATCTGATTACATCGATAGTTCAAGATATCGTCGCAAGGGAGACTGCTAAACAGAGATTATTGAACTCTCGATATCCAAACTTGGTACCATATGTTCGTGATGATACGGGACAATTAGATATATCTGGTAATCCCAAGGCCCAAGAATCTTCGAAATATTTTACATGTAAAAATTGTGGTAGAGAGGTATCTGCCAACAGGTTTGCTGCCCATTTAGAACGTTGTTTGGGTAGAGGTGGTAGGCGATGATTATCGTGAACTCTGCTATTGTCATGTCAGTGAAGGAAAAGTCCGATCTGGCCATCATCATCATCATCGTCATATGTGCAGAATGAGGTTACCTCACTATGTCTCATTAAAACATGGTACATCATCATTATTATTGCCATAATAACGAAAACACTCATGTCATAAGAAAACCAATGAAATGGAAGGGTTATCTATACATTCAGTTTCTCCTTTCGATCTGGTCTTGGTAAGCAAATAGATAAGTATCAATATATTATTATAAATAGTATTTTCAATAATTCTAATCAGTAGTGTCATTAATTAATCTGAATAGTATAATGTTAAATAGTTATGAACTATCTATTGTTATATAATCCGGGGCAGTCCGTATGAGCCCTGTCCAAATATCTTTTCTTTGTTATTAATAGAATGTATGTGCGCTATAGCAGCATTTTCATGGATAGTACCCGTTTTGCACTATTATTATTGGTATCCTTCTTGAACTTTATTGGACGAATAAATTATATATTCAAATAATCAGCTGCTAATAGAACATCAAGGGAAAGTTCAGTAGGAATATTAAAGTTTTCAAATTTTTCAGCTGTTACTTCAGTGTTGTCTCCTTCTCTTCCCTCACGTAATAATTTCCCTTTAAAGTTCATGTACTCAATCACTTTTTCAATGACAGGTCCACTCATTGAAGGAAGTTCAATACTATCTTTACTATCAGCAAAATTTCCGCTTGCTATAGATTTGAGCGTGCTAGATAGCATAGCATCTTCCCTTAAAATGGAGTGCTTCACTTTATCTGATCCTATGAGGGATATTATATCCTGTTTACTGTCACTTGTATCGTTAGGTGAACTCATTGTTTAACTCCTGACTATATCTGAAGTAGTTCTTTACTTGTCTAAAACTGCGACCAAAGGCCCTATTAAAATGGTGAAAATATGTCGTACCGTTCAAACTGAGTCATCCGTTAAATGGTACCCACTTTTTAGTTAATCAATACCTTAAAAATGTACAATTTTTAATAGTTGGTTCCCTGATCATTGAATCTGAATAAATCTATTTCGAAGTTCTTCACGTATGGAGGGGCATATCATGTTCATCATTCTTAAAGGCGAGAACCACATCTTACAGTAGAAAAATGAAAAATAAAGGCAGAACAGCATGGATACGGTTTATTTACAGCAGAGTATCCTTTGATTGATTTATTAATTGCAAATTAAATAAAGGGGTGTCAGTAGTACAACATTGGTAGGACAACTTTCTTAGTTTAATTACTAAATAATCATACACAGATAATGGCACCCAATCCGAGTCTTAGCTGGGAAAGGCTTCAAAATGTCTTTTATCGTTCAAGAAAACTTCACAGCTTACAATGGTCTTCAAAGAAGGATCTTCGATATGCTGTTTCCCGAACTTTTATAGCCATCGAGACTGATACAGCAATTCAAATATTTAATTATATAGGCCGGTTGTTGACAGAGATAGATATCAATGTGTTTGATGTTATTAATTCATTTCATTTTGACAGAATAGATCAAAGAACCTTAATTATTATGGGGCTGCAAACATGTAAAATAGTGAAAAATTGGGCTCCCTTAGAGATCAAAACGATTAACTTACCATCTGAAATCGATGATACATTGTGGGATGTTAAAGGGAATGTTTATATTACAAAGGAAAATAAGGACATATTATATTTAGATATGGAAAAGGAAAAGTTCAAATTGTTGATAAGAAATGACGAAAAGTTTAATATATTGACTAAGAAACATTGGTATTGTAACGGGCATATAGTGCTAATTCTTGATACGGAGTCTGTGTATCAGCTAAATGTCTTGTCACGACGTCTTACGAAGTTCCAAGAAAATAACGAATGGCATCAGGTTACCATATCAAACGATGGATTTATATGCCTTTACAACGCAAAATACAATAAATTGGAAATATTTAAGGATTCAGGAAGCCTTCTTTTACAGCATGCACTGGATCTCCCTCCAAAAGATATAAAGTGGTGTGGTGATGACTCTATTGCATGCACATTTAATGACACTGTGAAGCTCTATGGACCAGATGGTGAATATGTTTCCTTTTGGTATCCATCAAATATATTTTGCGTAGAAACTGAACTTGATGGATTAAAAGTGTTTACAGATACAGAAATCTATTTGATATCAAAAGTTCCCAGATATACAGCAGATATTTATTGTATGGGTTCGACAGAAGCAGGTTCGATGTTATTAGATGCATGGCGTGTTTTATCTACCCATACTGCGAGAGCAATAGATTATTTGAAAGATTTTGATTTAGTTAATGGAATTAACGATTGCATTGCAGCTGCTCAAGAAGAAATGAACACTCAAGCTCAAAAAGAACTTTTAAATGCGGCATCATTTGGTAAGTCAATGCTGGCATATAACGAATTTGATTCTAATATATTTGTTCAAGCTTGTGATAATATAAAACTATTGAATATTTTTAGAGATCTTGGGCTTTTCTTAACCTATTTTGAATATCAGAGTATGGGATTTGAGGCCATTATCAAGATAATGTTACTCTGTCATAAATTTTATGAGAGTTTAAAAATCTGTAAAGAATTTAAAAGATATGAATTGATGGTCAGCGTGGTTCAATATTGGTCTGAAACTAAAATAAAATTGTCACAAGATATTGATGACGACAATCTCTTTAACATTATTAATAAACAGTTGGTGACCGTAGATGTCCAGGATAAAATCACGGCTGCACGGCTTTCGCAGGTATCTTTCAATGAAGGGAGATTTGTTCTTGCAAGACGGTTTGCTATAATTGAAAAATCTGCTGAGATGAAAATATTGTCTTTGATTAATTTGGACGACTACATGTTGGCAACAAAAGAAAGTTTAAACACTTCTTGCCCCGAATTTATTGTTGCAGTATTATTATTGTTGAAAAATACCGTGACAAACCTTCAATTTATGAAGATTCTTGTGATGATTTTACCAAATAATTCTGTATATCTATATTTTCAGAGAAATAATTTTGAATTTTTGTTTGATATTTATAGACAGACAGACAAATATACTGAACTGGCACACGTCATATTCCTTTTTAACAGAAAATTAGTTGCTCCATTCTTGCCCCAAATTAAGGATCTATATTCCAGTGTTGTTGATGATGCATTACTAAAGCAAGACACAGAATACTTAAAACGAAACGAAAATTTGTTAGAGTTCCAAGAGGAACTCACACATACTTTAGGCTTTGAATTTACAGGATTGACAGTAGTACAGACACTTGAAAGATTGATTTCCATGAAACAGGATAAGAAGATTAAAGCATTCGTTAAGAAGTTTAAAATTAATGATAGAAAATATTATCATGTAACGTGCCGAACCTTGATTAACGAAAAGCGATTTGATAGCCTTTATGAATTTGCAACGCAGAAAAAATCGCCCATAGGATACCAGCCGTTCTTCAAATACTTGACGAACTCAGGTAAGACTAAAGAATCGGCGAAATATGTCCCAATGATAACTGAGATGTCATACAAGGAGAAGGTTAAAACTCTGTATGAAATCAAGGGTTATTACGAGTTAGCACAACTCTTCACAAAAGAGAAGAATATATTAGCTTTAAAAGAGTTATATCAACAAGTACCTGTTAATGAGCCACAGTTAAGATCTTTCATAACTGAAACGATATCTAAGATGTGATGGTTAGACATTAGAAAGCGGTAATTTTACCCGGCTTTAAATAATTTTGTGTCACCTGACCTTCTTTTTTTTGACCTTCTTTTTTTTGACATTCTAAAAATTTTCACGACAAAGCAAATTTTCACTGTAAGCTCATCTCATCTCATCTTATCACGGTTCAAGAGTTTAGGTAATCAATTATAAACAAAAGTCATACTAGAGTCAAGCATGATCTTAGATATATATTAGTGGATTTGTAGTATTATATATTTTTAAGTAATCAAAGTACCAAGAAAACTGTTAAGAATGTCCGGACCTGTCAAAGACTCGAGAAAAATGTCTCTCTCAGACAAAAGTCTTGATTTACAGACATTATTTGTTAGATCTATTCCAGAAGGTGTAACTGACGAAACTTTGACTAGTTTTTTTTCCAATTTTGCACCATTGAAGCATGCGGTTGTAGTTAAGGATGTTAACAAGAAATCAAGAGGTTTTGGTTTTGTAAGTTTTGCTTCAGAAGCGGATGCTGAAGATGCCTTACATAAATCCAGGAAGGCTAAATTAGAAAATCATCTATTGAGAGTTGATTTTGCCAAAAGACGTGACCGTAACAAGAAGGAAGAATCTGCATCGGCACCAGTTCAAAAAGAACCATCGACCGCCGATGATGATGATGATGAAGCATTGAAGGGTAAGCCTAAATTGATTATTAGAAATATGCCTTGGAGTTGTCGTGATCCAAATGAATTAAAGAAGGTTTTCAGTAGATTTGGTACTGTTGTAGAGGCTACAATTCCAAGAAAGCGTGACGGTAAGTTATGTGGTTTTGCTTTTGTTACAATGAAGAAGATTAGTAATTGTAAAAATGTGCTTGATAATTGTAAAGATTTGAAAATTGATGGTAGATCTGTCGCTGTTGATTTCGCTGTCCAAAAGAGTAGATGGGAATCATATCAATCTAAAAATGAAAAGCCTGCCAAGGATGAAAGTTCAGATAATGATGAAGAGGAGAACGATAAAGATGATAATAACAACAAGAAAGATGACGCTGACAAGGATAATGTCGAAATGAACTCTGATGAAGAAGTTGATGAAGAAGAAGAAAAAAAGTACAAGCAACGTAATCAAAGAAATAGAAGGGATGATTTCTCTATCTTCGTTCGTAATGTTCCTTATGATGCAACTGCTGAATCATTGGTTGATCATTTCTCAAAATTTGGTAAGGTTAGATATGCTTTACCTGTTATAGATAGAGAGACTGGTCTGGCAAAGGGTACTGCTTTTGTCGCCTTTACTGATGAAAAGGTATATGATTACTGTGTTCAAAATGCTCCTGCTGCAGGTACTACTTCATTATTAATAGGTGATGATGTTCTGCCAGAATATGTTTATGAAGGTCGTGTTTTATCAGTTACGCCAACTTTAGTTAGGGAAGAAGCTAATATCAGGGCAGAAAGGAATGCTGAAAAGAGAAAGGAAGCCTTAGGTAAGGCACCTGGTGAACGTGATAAGCGTAATCTCTATTTATTGAATGAAGGTAAAGTCGTTGAAGGTTCTAAGATGGCTGAGCTACTTTCAACTAAGGATATGGAAATTAGAGATAAGTCCTCTGAATTAAGAGTCGAACAGTTGAAAAAGAATCCATCTTTGCATCTATCCATGACTAGATTGGCTATTAGAAATCTACCAAGAGCTATGACCGATAAAACATTGAAGGCACTTGCTCGTAAGGCAGTTGTGGAATTTGCCATAGAGGTTAAAGATGGAAAGAGACATCCTCTTTCTCAAGAAGAAATTGTTAGATCTACTAAGGAAAAATACAAATTTATGACTCCTGAGGAAATTGCCCACCAAAAGAAAAAAGACAAAAAGCACGGTATAGTTAAACAAGCAAAGGTTATTATGGAAGTTAAAGGTTCAAAAACTGGTAGAAGTAGAGGGTATGGTTTTGTCGAATACAAAGATCATAAACATGCTCTGATGGGTCTGAGATGGATGAATGTTCATTTGGTCTCTCAAGAAGAAGTCGTTGATGGACTTGACGAGGAAGAGAAGAAGATGATCGACATGGAATCTACTACATCTAGACGTTTATGTGTTGAATTTGCTATCGAAAATGCTAATGTTGTTAAAAGAAGAAGAGATAACGTTCATAATGCTAGAGAGAGTTCTAAGAGAAAGAGAGAAGAGAAAGAAGAGTATGATGAATCTGCCAAGAAGGCTAAAATAGAGGAATCATCTAAATCTGAGGAAACAAAAGATGGCATGAGCACAGATATCAAGAGATTGATAGGTTTCAAGAGAAGACAAAAGCATCATAGAAAGTAGTATTTCTGTATATATCCTTTAAATTTTATAAGAATTTTAATTCTTTTATGTACCATAGATGTAAAAATGCATTAAATTTAAAAATATTGTTATATATTGTCATTGAATCATATACAGAGAAGACTATCCCTTCGTACAAACCTAGTTCCGATGTAGTTTACCTTCTCTTCTTCCTTGTCGGTTCTTGGTTTCGAGTATTACCTTGAGAGTTATTTCCAGTAACAGCGGCTGCTGCGGCTGCTGCGGCTGCCAATATTCTCCGATTAACACCAAGACCACCTAGTGTATTGGCTGCAGAGTTGTTCACCACTGCTTGTTGTTGTGGATTCAAATTTTTACTCCTGTGTATTCCGAGATCCATAATATCGCTATCATTAGTGTGTATTCTTCTTGCCGGGTATTTATAATTCAGACCTTCGAACACATTTTCACAAACAGGATAATCACTATTCGTGAAATAATTATGATCTAGTGAATCGATGGCATCAATTCTTTTAATCGGATCATACTCTAGTAATTTGTATAATAGATCTAGGACATTTTTATCTCTACCACTTGTTGAATGGTACCATGCAGGTAGATTGTTCCTAAACTTTGGGAATTTTAGAAACTGTTCGTATTCTGGATACTTGTGTAAATTTGACCATGTCTTTGGCGTCGGTGTTCCTAGTACTTCTAAAATTCTTTGAAGTTGGTTTGATTGGAATGGAACTGTCTTTTTAGAATCCATTTTTGTTTCTTCACCTTTAAAAATTGGTTGAAGACCTATTAATTCGGCAAAAATACAACCAACTGCCCATACGTCAATAGATGGTGTATAGTGGCGAGCACCGAGTAATAATTCAGGGGCTCTGTACCATATTGTAACAACAACCTTATCACCAGTATACAATGTCTGTAGCAAGTTGGAGAATTTTCTTGCCAAACCTAAATCACCTATCTTAACACATCCATCCACTGTGACCATAATATTTGCCGGTTTAAGATCTCTATGAAGGATCCAATTCTGATGTAAATAAGAAACCCCATCTAATATCTGCCACATTATAGATCGTACCATTCTTGCAGGAATCATCCGTTTTTCTGGATGAGAGTGATAATGGATAATTTGTAGTAAATCATGTTCGGCATATTCATACACCAAATAAATACTCTTTCTTTCAAGAAATATCTCGGTTAATCTTGTTAAATGAACATTAGTTAACTCCCTACATAAAGCCATCTCTCTGCATGCACTCTGTGATATACCTGTATAATGGAGTTGTTCGACACCTTCCTTTTCTGTCTTAAACTTCTTAATGGCATAATAAATGGGTATATTCTTCTTTTTGGAAGGTGAATGTAAATTATTATTGACTGTTTCCATGCTGTTATGAGTACTTCCTATTACACCATTACTTATATTGTCGGATATGCTGTTTCTTTTGTTGATATCATTGTACTCCTTATTGTTCGAATCATTCTTGGCTAAAATGGTATCATTTCTAGAATTATTGTCAATATTAATTCTATTAGATTGGATTGTACCATTTGCAGTTCCGTTTTTAAAATTTTTGTTATTCATATCTCTTGAGAATTCGTTCTCTATTCCGGATTTTGGTATGTTAGAATCTTGTTTGTTATTGGGCCTCATGTCGGATGTATTGTCACTACTACTAGATGATAGGTTCCCATTTGGAGAAATTGTTGTTGCTCCTAATGGAGGTGTAGTCTGTATCAAGCTTTTGGCCTTGTATACCTTACCATATGTCCCTGCTGCAATATATCCAATGATTTCATATTTTTTCAGCACTGATATTCTTTGTCTGTCCTTCCTTGCCCTGTAAGGTCCTATTGTAAAAACATCATTGTTAGCCATCAACATGGGTGTCTTCCCATGAACAGCTCCCGACGTTTGCTTATTCATCATATGCTGTCTTTGTGAATATGCGTGATGGTTTTGAGAATAGTTTTGCCAAAGATTTCTACTCACTACATTTGGTTGCATCGGATTACGGCCATTGATATCTTGTCCTAGTTTCTGATCATATTGTTGGTATATATTCGGATTGTTTTGATGACCCCGTCCACGTACTTCTTTCATAGTTTGTTCGAAGCTACTAAATCTGAGTTAGGGTGTTTCTGTCTTTGTTGTTCTTTCCTTATACTAAGATGATCACAATTTTCTATGAGTTCAATAAGTAGAGTGGTGATTTCCTATTCCAACGAAAATTTCCGACAATTAAATATTAAAATAATTTATTTGCTAAGTAGCTCTAAGTTAAAAATGTTCAGTTTATTTTTGATGTAGTTGTTGTCTCTCTTTCAATAAACTTTCTTACCTTTACTTGTCTCATTTTTTAGCTCTTTCTTATACTAAAATGATTCAAGTTGAAAAATTATTGTTTCTTAGTGACTCCAAGATGATGACGCTCACGTGAAAACAAGTTCATACATTAGTTGAAGCATAAGACAAGATACTTCTACGTATAGATATTCGCTAACAGTGTTCTGTTTATTGGTATACATTCATAGTATCGTAGACTACATGAATATGTGTATGTATGTATATAATTTGGATATGTGTTCTAAATGTTTTATCTATTTTGTATCAGGGATGTCGCAGACAAGTATAACTCCTTTCTGTTGAACATATCAATATCTTATAATATTCATGATTAATTGGAAATCAGATTGCTGTTAGATCTCCTATCATTATAATTTTATTAGATTTGCTAGCTTCTTGAATGGCATTATTAACCATCGGCAAAAATAAGGAGCCCCCCAGAGACTTATAATAATTCTTACAGGGCCCATCACCTTAACAAGGGCATAAGACAGTGCACCACTTAAGATAAGTCTATGTTTATCATACTCTTGGTACTTATCTCCAACGAGCTTTTCTATTGCATTGCTACACTTTGTCATGAGCTCTCCAGAAAACTCTAAGTTCTCTAAAAGACTTAGATTGTAAAGAATATACCAGACCGTAAATAAAGGTACTATTGCAGTTAGCTCATGTAAAATAAAAAATGATGTTATCATAGGGATTGTTCCTGATGTGGTTATTTTCTTAAAGTAATGTGAGAATCTAGGATCAGCTTGGAGTTTAGAAAGCATTTTTGACTTTTTGATTAATTTCATGATTTGCTCATTTTGATATGGTTCAGCGCTGGTACTCTTACCTGGGTTAGTTTTCACTTCCGAATGTACATGACGTTTCAGGTCTGGTCCTCCAGTGTAATTATGACTACTGCTTAATGGTCTAATATATATTATTTGCGACCTTATTGAAATATTGGATTTCAAGAAAAAGGTTGTTCTTCTTAACCCAATTATTGAGATTTTACTTTTACCAATAAAATTCATGGTATTTTAATATATCTTGTTTAAAACTATTAGATTGAACTGCCAATTATTTATTTGGAACCCTTCTCTCTTTGAATTTAACTGTATATCAGGTGTAACAGAGGCGAGCATAGTTATTTAATAAATTAATGAATTTTCCAAACGGATTTCCAATTAAACGAAGTTAAACGTAAAATGGTAAATGTCGTGATTATGATATGATTGCGAAAAAGAATAATTATATAAGTATATGAAATGTTTTGTTGAGTTGTTAATTACAGGATTATTTTTAGAAATTTATATACAAGGTTTCATGTTCACATCTGCCACATAGATGATTTTCTTCGAGAGAATTATGTTTCCAGCATCTTGGGCATTTATTCATTGTGCTTTGCTCTATTGTAATAGCACATTTTAATTCATCTATTCTCCTAGCATCTTCAGGAAGATCGGACATGCTGTCAACCTTAATAAGTGTGACCTTGGACGTTTGTAAAAGTTCCATTAGGTCGTCTTCTTTTATTGGGAGCGTATTTGTAATAAAGATTTTCGTCAGTGTCTGACCGGGTTTCGTAATTGATGGATTAGTGATCTTCGTAAACTCCTTTTTAAATGCATTCATTATTGTGATTTCATTCGATTCAAATGATTCAATAATATTTTTTGATTGGGCTAAATCGTTGTTAAACTTAGGCCACGACTTAATAAAGGGAGATGTACCATTTTCTTTGTTATTGGCTAACCATTGTTCTGGAACACAGTTCCAAACTTCTTGAACTGTTATTGGTAGAATTGGGCTTAGTACTGCACGATATGTATCTATGATATGGAATAAAGTAGTCTGGATTTGTCTTCTTCTTAAAGATGATATTGAATTAGAGTAAAGAACATCCTTCGAAAAATCAAAATAAAATGCTGATAATTCATTGTTTAGATGGAATTGAAGATTAATCAATACTTTAGAGAAGTTGTATTCTAAATAATTTTTGTTTGTGTCATCTAGAAGTCCTTGTAGTTTTGAAATAGTGTATTTGTCAACTGGAGCTAACTGGTCATAAGGTAATAATGTATAATTAGAGCTCTTCTGTAGGTTCCCTAGCAAAAATTTGAAACATAATCTAATTTTCTTCAATGCATCAGATGTGTGTTGCATTATCGTTGGACCTACAGTGATATCACTTGTAAAATCAGATTGGGCCACCAAATATCTCAGACCATCTACACCAAGTGTTGGTAGGTTTCTTTCTTTGTTACCTTCGATTATATCATTAGGTGCAATTGTATTTCCAATAGATTTGGACATTTTAATGCCCTTTTCGTCAAGGGTAAACCCGTGTGTAATAACCGTTCCATATGGAGCATCAGGTTTTTCAGTATAAGAAACTCTGCATAACAATGAGCTTTGAAACCAGCCTCTATGTTGGTCACTACCTTCTAAGTAGACGTTTGCTAATGGGTTTGGTTGCTGGCTTTCTGTAATCCCCAATTTTTCAGAATAAAAGTCCATCAATGTTGACCATGACGAACCACTATCAAACCAAACATCCATTGTATCTTTTCCCTTTCTATATTGGTTTGCTATATCATGATACCTTTGAGGTAACCAATTCTTTATATTAGTTTTTTCATTGGTAGAATCTTCCTCAAGGAACCATGAATCCATCCCCCATTTCTTGATATTTTCTATTGCAATTGATATTATCTCTGCATCCATTAGAATCGAATCAGGTTTTTCACGATGTTGAAAGTATGGAATTGGTACACCCCATGAACGTTGTCTGGATATACACCACTCATTTCTATTCTTAACAAATGAGGTAAGTCTATGTTCACCCCGTTTCGGATAGAACTGGGTTTTTTTAAGACTCTTCACAGCTATTTTCTTTAAATTTTCCAAATTCGTAAACCATTGAGGGGTTGATCGTATGATCACTGGTTGTTTAGATCTCCAGTCGTAGGGATACGAATGTGTTATTACTTCAACGTTCATCAGCACATCCAGCTCTTTAAGTCTTTCTATAATGGAATCTGTGGTTTTAGAGTTCAGCACATTTCTTCCTTCATCCAGTCCACTATTAGGATCCTTTAAAAATTCTTGAACATCAGGATTATTTGAAAATTTAGTTAAGTCATAGTTACCTTTATGGTCAATTGGGGAAAAGATTGATAATCCATTTTTTAACCCAACTAGGTAATCATCTTGACCATGTCCTGGAGCAGTGTGTACCAACCCTGACCCTGCTGTGTTTGTCACGTGTAATCCATCTAAGAGAGGTTTCTCTACCATAGGTGTATCATTCATTAAAGGGTTAGAATATTTTAATCCTTTTAATTGAGAACCAGAAAATGAAGATAGGATTTTGTATGGCCCTGTGATCTTTAATGACTCGATTAAATCTTTTGCCACTATGAAGCATTTTTGATTTTCCTCTGATTTTACTAAACAATAGTCAAACCGTTCACTGTAACAAATTGCTTGATTCGAAAACAATGTCCAAGGTGTACTTGTCCAAATTAAACAATCAACCCTCCCCATTTTTTCGATCCCTAATCTATTTTGCAAAATAGAGACAGACTCTTCAGTTAAAGGGAAATAAACATAAGCTGATACTGATTTATGGTTTTCATTATATTCTAATTCACCTTCTGCTAATGCTGTTCTAGTCTCTGTGCCCCAATACACTGGCTTATTTTGTCTCTTTATCAAATCAAAATCAAATAGTTTTTGAAAGATTTTTAATTGGTTAACTTCGTAATTTGCATCCATGGTAATATAAGGTTGATTCCAATCAGTGAGTATACCGAATTTTTCAAATTGCGACCGTTGTTTCAACTGAGCAGCTTTAGCATATTGCGAGGCTATCTTTCTGATTTTCACTGGGGAAATATGTTCAATCTGATCACTATTCAACTTCTTCAAAGCTTTCATTTCAATAGGTAAACCATGACAATCCCAACCAGGTCTATAGTATATATATTTGCTATGAGATAATTGGTATCTATTAATGATATCCTTCAGGATTTTATTCAACGCATGACCCAAGTGTAAATCACCATTTGCATAAGGAGGACCATCATGAAGTATGAATAATTTTTTATTAATAAAATCTATTCTTTGGTCGATATTACTCTTGGGAATCTTGTTATATTCTTCAAAAAACTTGTTCAGTTGTTCATTGTAGACAATTTGAGATGATTGTGGTATCAAATCATTATATGTCTTTTGAATATTAGAACGTGGTGAAAACTTAGTTTTTGGTAAATTCAGAGTAGCTTGATAGCTATGAGAATTAGCATGTCGTTTTGAAATATGTAAACCACCCACTCTCAGACCTTTAAGCATAATTCATAGAAATATAAGGGGGAAAACAACGAATCAAATAAGCTCTTTTTCTGTTTTTTTTTCTCTCAAATTGCTTCTCGACTATCTGTAATATGCTTGTTTCTACTCATCGGTAAGGAGGTTACTACCTCTGCCTCTTCCCCTTAACCCAAATAAATGTAAAATTAGTGTCAACTTTCCCTCGAGATGGAAGGCCTTCATGATGGTTTGAATATTTCGCATAGTAAAGTGTCCCTTCGCGTAATAAACAACCTATTTTGCTTTGAATTTTGGTTTTTTTCACTTTTCTGTTAGTTGACAGCGAAAAATGAGTCAATTTCCACTCATCGAATGACATAGAAAAGTTGAATGGAATACATTTATGTTTGCACAACTGTTATAAGAACTGGTTTCTAATACTTTCTGAGGAGGATCCTGGTTACTGGAAGGTCTGTGTGATTGTTGTTGTTGTAGTTTGTACTTGCTTACTAGTTACAAGGGCCCGGTATCCAACTTATCTTTTGCGAAACAGTATTTCTAGATAGTCACATTCGTTTGATGTTGAATGACACGCTAGAGCTGGCTGCAAATTTTAATGGACATAGGAACGATCAGAGTATGAAACGAGACTATACTGGTGGTAACACGACAATGATGATGATGAATGATAATGGTGATTTAGACCAAAAAACTGTTTCGGGGAAGATCCCCCATAAGAAAACTTCTATTCAAACAAAATTGAGCATGGAACAGAGTAAGACATTGAACACGTTTATGATTAAAAATTTCATTAGAGGTATTATGTTGAAACATGTCTATCTTTTCATTCCCGATGATGTAAGTGGGATTGTGGATTTTAAGAAGAACAATATTTTGAAATTAACATTTAATCGGGGCAAGACACCTTATATTTTTGAGACCATTTTAAAGAGAGCACATTCTACAGTTTTACAATTTAAAAAAGTGTGTTGTATTATTATTAAATTTTTAGAATGTTGTAAGAACGAAACAAATTACATGAAATATTTGAAGTATGATCTTCATCGATTAATAGTTGTTGCATTTGTATTGAGTGTTCCTAATGTCAATAGTAACGAGGGTAACAAGATCATGAATAGAGAGACATGTTATAGACTCTATAGCAAAATCTCTGGGTTAACCATTGAAGAAATCACAAACTGTTGCTCAATAGTGAGACCAGTTCTTATTAGACGGAGTAGAAAACAAAGAGGACTTAGTCGGTCTCCAATAAATGATCAAATGAATGACAATAATAACAATGACAATAACGGTAATAACGTGACTGTTACATCTCCCCACAATGACGATCCTAGCAATATGATGGAAGGGGATGTGAATATGGCCCGTTTTAATAGCACTGATTCCCCTTATGATATAGACGAGAATTTGATGAGTTATAACCGATTTTTATCTGTAGCTCAAAGAAGTATCGATGTTCATAGTGCTAATTATAACATAGGTACAAATTTGCCACCTTTAAATGATGATGAAAGTGTACAAAGTCACAGTTCATATTCACACTCTTCAGAATCTCCTTCATTCCAACCTACATTAATTAACGATGTCCGATATAGCATCTCATCGTTGCATGAACTGAATCAAATTAATGGTTCAGGTAGAAGACTGCACCATAATGTTCATTTTCGGAAAAACGATAGTATTAAGGACAATTCTCCATTGAGTAATGGATATATTTTGAACACGGAAATTGAACAGTTTAATGAAATGGGTAAAAACCTAGTCTTGGAAAACTTCACAATAGTGTAATATTGAATACATAGATGAAGATATTACGTACGTTCTGATTGAAATTCCAAATTTCCATATATCAATAGGTGTCACATTCATAGTTTTTTTTATATACATATTTATACTTATATAGGCGTTAACAGGTTTTTATTTTTGATACAACTTCATAATAACGATCGACATTTCAATCAGGTTAATACATTAACTCTCACCAGACAGATAACCAAAGATATGATGATGGCAGTAGGATCCATCCATCTATCTATCATTGAGTCTTCCGAATCACGTGCACCTACACACTTTTTGCACCAAAATAATTTTTCGTTTCTCGGAAAACTTCAAGAATTTGTGAAAGTTGAACAGTCAGCCATATATAGATAGACTGAGGACCCAACTGGTGATGAGTAACGACAACAAACATCAACAATGGATTAGCAATAGAGGCTGACAAAAGTTATTCTTCTTAAGGCTATAACATAAGAAGATACAGGTTATTTTTTAATATATTTGGTAAGATAATAGGAAAGTAGGGAAAAGATCATTTAACCAATGAGTGAGGAAGCGACATTTTTCAAACAGGCTGCTGAAGCTATTGTTGCAACATCTTTAAATATATCTAATGTGGATCCGACGATAAAAGAACTCTTAAAGAGAATAAAGTATAATGAGATTGACTTTGGGAAGATTACACTTTCTGAGAGTCTCGGGAGAAATGTGATTACCCCGGAAAGCATATCTGCCCAGCACATCAATAATTCAACCAACAATAACAACAACAATAATAATAATAATAATATTCATAATTTAGGCGATTCCTTAGTTTCTTCAACGTATGGAGAATCTTTTGGTCAGTCTTTAGCATCTTCTCCAATCAATACTGAATCCATAACTCTTATTCCTAATCGAACTTCAGATGGAGATTATAATAAATTTGCTAAAGAAGATCTTTTATCGACTGAATCGGTGTTTTCATCATTTATGGATTCTCAAAATAAACAACAATATGATAAACCACCAACTATACATACACAACAAAAAGTTTCAAAACCACGAACGAAGAAGAAAACACTGGAAAAACCTGACAAAAAATACCCATGTTCACAATGTGATTTGATATTTTTCAGATCTTCAGATTTACGTAGACACGAAAAGGCACATTCATTAGTATTACCTCACATCTGTTCAAAATGTGGTAAAGGATTTGCAAGGAAGGACGCTTTAAAGAGGCATCAAGATACATTAACTTGTAGAAGAAATAGAAATAAATTGATAGAGATAACAAATGGGAAAGTTGAAGAGTTTTTAGAGAGAGCTAAAAAGGAAGGTATTAGTCTATAATATGATTTCAAACTTATGTATTTAGAATTAGTAAACAATTAGATATATATATGTATATGCATATTATTATTATTATTTCTACCTATGTAAAAAGACATTGGTTGAGACCATTATGAACTTATTTTGTTCAGATGAGAAATTCTTTAAATGGAAATGTGTGGTACTCATTTTAACATATATACGTATATGTTTATTTATATATTCGCAACCCCTTATAGAATAAGGTCCCTAATGAGACGTCATGGTAGAGAGTCTAGTTAGCATCTTCCACCTTGGCACCTTCGTCAACCTTTTTCTTTTCATCGAATTCCTTTAGTTGAGCCTCCAATTGAGCCAAAGCTTGATAAGCTTCAGCACCTAATTGTGGAAGAATTTGAGGGAACATTTCGTCAAGCTTTTTCTTTTCTGGAAGACCATATACGACACTGGTGTTATAATCCTTAGCCATTTGTAAACCAACTTTGTTGAAATGCAAAACGCTACCATCTTCATGGAAAAAATTGGCTTCTGCAACATTGTCAACAGTAACACCATTTAGTTTGGCAATAGTAGAATAAAGTTTGGAATCATCTCTGGCAACGGCAGTGGCAGAACCAGCGGTCTTTGAACCAGCCTTTCTTCTGGCACCACCAACTTTGTTCTTGTTAGTTAGGGCTTGTAACTTAGCTAATTTTTCTTGATCGATCGGCATTATTATTGTTATGTCTTGTGAATGTATATGTATAGGTATATAGACTGTGTTGCCTTTCACAAGAATGTAATCTAACTACATAATCAAAAGGATAAAATGTTATTAATTAGTTAAGAAGTGAATCTCTTTTTATTGTTCAATTGAAGGGACTTACTCATATTATGGAAACCACTGCGAAACTGTTCTTGTTGTCCATCACAAATTAGAGGGAACTCTGAAAAAAAATTAAAAAAAAAGAGAAGGAAGCTCCTTGAACCCAAAGGGAGAAAAATATCGTTCAACGTTTGTTTGTTTTTTGCACTAAAGTTGGCGTACAGCATGCATAATGAAAGGTATGGGGCTATTCAGAAAACATATAAGAGAAGTAGGCTACCAGATCTGATATGGCCAGTTCCTTATTCATACACATTGATGATTCCCAAGCTATCCCCTACCAAAAGATACAATTTGTCTTGTTTTTGGACGGTCTCAATAATGGTTACCATATTTTCCACATTTAACAAGTTATTCTTTGGACTAGACATCTCTCCAGTGTCAGAAGCATGCTGTATAGAAACAATAGTTGTATTTATGGTACCTTTTCTTCCACCGAATATATATCCAGATTTATTTGGACCGAGGAGAACCTTGGAATGATTTGTATTCGAAAGATCGAGCATGAATACATCAGAAGTTTTATTATTTGAAAAGATAATTGTAGTCCCTTGAGTATGTACAGTCGACACCGTAGTGCTAATATTATCTGTATTATATTTGAGACTTTCCAACTTCTTTGTAAAGGGTTGAAATCGTTCTATAGAGGGACTCCTTCCTGGAAGTGCTACAATTAAACGACACTGGGCCTTAGCATAATTCCACACAGATAATATACCATTAGATGAACCACCTAATATTAATATTATATTTTTACCAAGTTGAGGCATCAGATGGATCTCTTTTATGATGCAACTATTGTCGAAAGTCCATGAGTTCACCAAAATGTTCAATCTTAAATCCCATATATCGATGATACCCTTGGTTGTACCTATTATCAATATATTACTCTCCTTGTTTGTACAGAATGTGGTTATACCACCATGTGATACAGGAATGTCAATAAAATTCATGTTATCCAACCTACGAATATCAAAATAAAATATTCTTGAACGATTTGTCAAACATATTAAGTATGCCTTATCTTCTGTCATGTACTCTCCCATCTTTATAACATGTTCTTCTCCATCAGTAACTACTTTGGGGCCGCAATTATTTGGTTTACCACTCATATGGAATTTTCTAATTTCCTTGATGTATGTTGACTGTCTACTTTCATGCAACGGATCATACTGTAATATTCTGAAAAATCTCACAAAGCCATCGGTTGTAGCAACAACAAAAGTATCAAAACCTTGTAGCATGATCATATTTGTTAAAGTTGCTTTGCAATTAAAGAATAATTCAGGTTCATAAGTTTCTCTATTAACAATATTTCTCATTGAATAGACGCTGATTATACCTTGTAAAGAACTTGTCACCATGTAGGGGTTTCTACTTCCTGATGATACACATACAGATACAATTGAGTTTCTGATGTTTTTGGATATTGTGCAAATTGGTTTCCCCTGTAATGAAGTCATTGATTTTTCGTCTTTCTTAACAGTATTACTTATTATCCCAAATTCCTTATAATCAGAAAGGTTCGGGGATATGTCTATGCTTTTCAGAAAGCGTTCAATGGATTCAACATCACCCTCGTAACTATTAGAAACTACATATTCGGGTATTGTGAAACGACAATCATCAGATTTCAGATTTGAATATGGCTTGTGTACTTGATTATGTGTTCTATTAGGCTCTAATTGAACATAAATATTGCGAAGATTAGGTGTAGTTATTGCAGAAGGTTTATTCCTTAGAATTAAAGAACCGTTCATATTTACAATGGTTGGGATAGATTCTTTCGTTCGTAACGACTGCTCCATTAGTTGCTGTTGTGTATTATCACTTTCGGACAAAGGAAGTTCTATTGAATCATCCTCTTCTTGCTCAATAAATTTAATGTCGTAAAAGACATTGTGCGGCATTACATTAGTTATTCCGATGGATGAATACTTCTTATCTAGATTCTCATCAATGTCATGTAATCCTAATTGCGATTTTTCGTTGGGTTTGTTCTTAGTCCTTAATACGTACGATCTAAGACACAAAAGTTTCCACAAGTCCGTATCTTTCATTCCTAAAGTTTTAAATTTATCGATCCATAATTTATCTTCCGTCGTTAAAGGAATTTCTGAATTATCAAATGATTTTACAAAAATGTTTGGACGATCATCTGTATTCTTATCGTTTCTTAATGCACTGTTATTAAGACCATAATTCTTAGGAATATAGTCTTTCGTGATAAATGTGGAGGTCGGTTTTCCAAAAGCGTCAATTTCTTTGGACATAACTTGTTTCCAAAATAATGAGTTTGATGCACGTAATGACCAACTACAAAGTAGGTTAAATATCGTTCTTGATATTGGAGGTTTGCAACTGTCTAGCATCACATCCAGATCAAATTCAACTTCGAACCCGAAATAAGGCCTAATAATAGGATATAGATTACAATATAGATCAGGCTTCGAAAGTTGTTGTGATATTTCAAATAAAGTTAAGAGTGAAAACTGACGGATGGAATAATTTGGATGTAATAGTAAAGGAGAAATTTCATTTGCAACAGTAAAGGTATTAACTTGATTTACAAGCCCTGTCTTACAAAGGTCATGTAATGTTTCTAAAGTGGCAGTCATCACTAGCTCCTCTGAATCGGTTAGAGTCTGGATTAATAAAGGTAGAATGTATTGTTCAAATGTCACTGGTCCTAATAAAATAGCGATACCTGAAATTGCCTCGACAAGAGCCATACGGAGCATTGGGTTTCTATCATTTAGGTATGTAATTAGATGACTAAGTATTATGTCATTAGTCTTTTCTTTTCCTAAGTATTTGCACAAACTTAACACATTATCTAATAGGGATATCTTAACCCATACACTTGAATCAGTAAGTAACAATATAATAATATCTTCCATCTGTTGCATTAATCTCCCATTATACTTGTTGTTCATCAGAATATCCTCATCATTATCCTGTTCATTAGAGTTTAAACTGGACATTATGGATATCTCCCTAAATTTGGATACCAAACTCACGAAATTACCTATTAGATTTGCCAATACCATCCGGACATAAAGATGATCTTTACTCCTATTCAATAGACGTTTAATTCTTGGAAGTAAATAATCCACAAATACATTTTCGTTCAATTTGTTAACTTGTTCAACTTTAGTAAGAACTTGGTTGATACATTGCAGACTTAATGCTTGAATCATCTGGTTGTTTTCTTCTTCAAAACATGTCTCATAATATGGTATCACACGATCAATCTTATTATCATCAGATATAAACTGAGAAAATGCTGCTAATAATTCTAAACACTTAATCTTATTGCTATTAGAAGTCAAGTTTCGTAGTGTTCGAGAAAGGTATGAAACGAAGAGTAAGGCACATTCCTCGTGCACTGGTTGTATATTTCTGTAACTGTCGAAACTCTTCAATTGAACATATATATGACACCCAATCTTAATATACTGCGAGGAAAACACATTGGATTGGAGTTTCTTTTTTGATAGTTTAGATTCATCTGTAATGATTGGGAAATCGAGTGAAGTACATATTGTACCGAAGTCATTATAAACCTTCAGTAACGAATTATTATATACATTTTGTTTGTCCTCCAAAAGACACATCTCTGTCAAACTTCCTGTACTTGGAATACTCGTTACCATAGATGCCAGTGTTCTAAAGTAATCATATGTGAATGTATAAAAATAGTCCGGAAAGAAGGTACCTCTATACTTCGCTAGTAGTTGTATAGTAGACAACCTCTTCGATGGATCTAATTGAATCATATCCATTATCAGTTCCTTTAATTGTTCGTTTTGGGGGAAATGTTCATTTAAATACTCAGATACATTATATTCCTGAGTCTTGTATTTGAATAATTGCGATAAGTTAAAAATGGGAATCCCCTCTGAAAATAGTTCAGCTATACAACAACCTGCACTAAAAATATCCATTTCTTTAGAGGGTTGGTATCGTTTTTCGGAATCATTGTATAATTGGGTATTGAATCTTTCAGGTGCAATATAACAATTCCTTCTCTTAGAAGTATCGAAATAAAACGAAAATTCTCCAGGATTGTCTTCTGGTAAATAGATTGGTTTCACATGAGCTGCAAAATCTGTTAATGCTATCCAATTCCAACTATTCACCATAATATTTTCAGTTTTAATATCAGTATGTACAATGTTAAGTTTGTGTATATCATTCAACGCCTGCAATAACTGGAATGCAATAAATTTGGATTCTATCTCGTGAAGGTACGGTCTTGAACTTAGTCTGTCATATAGATTCCTTCTCAAGTGTTGCCGTATAAGGTAACCTGCCCTATTTGATTCTATTATCTTACTATAATTTAAAACATTTGGTAATTGACCCAATAACATGGATTCATTATTTAGGGTCTCTACTGTTGATGTCAAAGAATAGCCTTCTCTTGGTTTAACAAACACCTTGATAATAATTTCACCATTGGGATCAACAGCTTTACAAGTCTTCAAAAAACGAGAAGAATTTAGTTGTGCAATATAATGGACATCTTCAAGGACATCAATATAGGAAAAGATACCAATGGATGGCGACGATTGCGCTAGGATTGATAGTTGTACACCCATATTCCCTCCTCTATTTGAAAGTCTACGATGGTACTAGGTTGGTTTTGAGTCCCTGGAAGATTCGTAGTTCGGGAAAAGTGTGCAATATATCAATGTATTTACTAGTCAGTATATTCTTTCCTTATATGATGTATTACTTGTATGTTTTGCTTTGCCGAGTTTTGTTTCTTAATATCGCTGGAAGTATTTTATATTTTATAGTCGGTAACTGTATAAAAGGTAATAAGGTCCTCAAAGCAGACTTTAAAAGAAAAAGGCTATATAAGAAAATAAGTATATATATATATATATATATATACGTATGTACGAATTTTTATATGTGTATAATTATTCTATAAATTCGTCATGAATAGTTAAACCAATATGTTTCATTTTAAAAAAAGGGGGAGAGCAAAGTCTGTTCAGATTGCTGTTGACTCTTTCTATAATGCTAAATAATCATATTTTAATTGTTCCAATAGCGTAGTATCATGGAAACCTGAACTTTCAGACAAAATCTTATAATTATCTTGCGCAATCTTTTCGACCTTTTCATTATAGATACCACAGTACTCAAATACTTCCTTTGGTGGGATAGTCTTTCTCCCATCTTTGACTACATATTTAGTTAAAGAAAATGAACATAATATTGTATCATTCTTCTTCATGAATCTACTGGCGACGTAGATCCATTTTTTATCCCAACATAAGATGTTAGATGATACAGTGTATGATTCGAAAGGTTTAATTTCTTTTAAGAAATTTGTGAATACACTAGCCACAGGAAAATATGGATATTTAACAGATTCCACAAATAATTTTTGTAATATCTTTGTCATCAATTCACCTCTAGAGACATCTAATTCTACGAAATAAGTAGCATTATTCTTATGCAAATAGAAATCACATTCCATTGGGGATGCGTATGTCTTATACTTGACATAACCTAAAACAGCCATTTCATTGCTTTGTAATCTCTTAATATTTTTAGTATTCTTGTTACCTGTAATTAAAGGACCTAGTACTATAGGAAAGATAGCAGCATAGAATCTTACAAAATATGCACCAGGGACACTTTTGTAAGAACTAACTAGGTATAGTCCTAGAAACCATTTCAAAATTGTCCAAGTAAGACCCATAACGTTATTGAAAAGAGAGAAACGATTGGTATTTTTATTTATTCTTAGGTGTAAATTGAACTGATGTAACTCCTATTTATGATCCTCTCATTTACTCTTGAAGGAAAGCAATTGGTTATTAGAGATGAATCTGTTCGTTTCAAGATATGTAGCAGTGGTGTCTCGAACGGAAACAATGGAGAGTACTTACAATTATTCTGTTTGAATACGGAAGAATCGTCATCTTCGTTGTCGTTGTCGTCTCTCGGCCTGAGGGACTTGCCGTTATTGGTTCATTTGCATTTTAAGTATAAAATATGTGTTCAACATTGAACTAAGATGGATATATATATGTATATGTATATGTATATGTAAGAAACCACTGATAATAAATGTGTTCATTGTGTGAGAAATCGATAATTTTGAAAGTATCCAAAAGACACTAAATTATCAACTAGACTGATCCAGTGAATTGACCACATTAGTATATATAAATGTAATTTTTTTTTGTCGACCCATGTCGACCCTGGTACTATTTGTCATCGTTGCATATACAGATACCAATGTCTATATATATGTATATAGTATAACTTGTTATTATATATATTGCAGTAAACAGTATAGAAGTGATAATCCTCCCTTAATTTTATTTTTCATTTCGCTGTAATAACAACCGACGGAAAGATTGAAAAGGCAGAAAAATAACAAAGAAGGAAAAATTGAAAATGTTTAGAATATTTCAATTGATATTTTCATTATAAACGATTGACTTATACAACAAATAAGAGGTTCCTTGCGAAGGTTTATGGAGTCAGGACGGATTTGTTTACATTTTTACCTGTTTTAATATATCCATATATATATATATATCTTTTATTTGTTAGAAGTATATTTTGCCACATATTTTGAAGAGCTAAGAAATCTTTAACATGACTACTGATAACGTAACTGAGCTCTCTCCTTCGGAGGAACAAGCATACATAAGGAGATTTGCTCAACGGATCATCAAGGAACGTAGTGGGAACTACAGACCTTTGAAACGGTCAAATGACGGAAGACTAGTGTATCCGGATGCAGCCGGTGTGGTCTCTAACAGAGGCAACAAATTGCTGCAAGGGAGTGAAATCGTCACTAGAGCCAACTTGAATCCTCATTCTGTGAAAGAAGATGTCGTATATTATAACGGTTCAGAACATAAGTTGTTACAACGGATGCATAAACGTATGAAGTTTTTCCCTGAAGAAAAATCTTCAAAGAATGGTCTTGGTGATGAAGACGAGGATGAGGTTGAAGAAATCGATTTAAATGACTTGGTTAACGTTAGAGAAATTTTAACTCCGATTGCATCATTAAGTGATATTTCCAATAGACCTACTGTGGCAAGGACTTTTAATAATTCTATATTACAGAATTTATCCCAACAAACTGTTCTTATGGTTGAAAAAGAACAGAATTCTATAATAAGATATAATAGAATATTGGAAGTATTTCTAGGTGATTTCCCTGAACCACTATACGAGAAAAACTTGAAATTGAAAAAATATAATCATAATTTAACATTACCAGATGAAGAAGAGGATGGCGAGACTAATAATCAAGGATCGAGAAGTACAACACCACCTATTACTTCGGGAACTAATCCAGATGCTGATACTACAGATAATACCATAGACAATGAACAGAGTGACAAGACCGCTGAAGATGAGAATAACGACAAGTCTGACGATAAAGATCATGATCATGAACAAGATAGTAGCAATGGTAGTGGAGAAATGGATCATGATAATGATCCATTCTTTGCGTTGCCCGAAGTTAAAGACGTCGATGGTCTCAATATACTTCTAAAGGATCTTGAATCATCCGAAGCCATCGAACAAATGGAAACCACACGACAAATGGCACAGATAGCTTTACAAAGAAATCAAGAATTTATAAGGAATCTAAAGACAATAAGGAATTATATGGACAAAGCTTGCAGGATACGAGAAAGGATATTGGCCTGGAGTAAAGAATACTCTGGAGTGCAAGAAGATGGTGTGACTGTTCCAAACGCCCTTCGAGTTGTTAAAAGAGGACTTATTAGTGCAACAACTAATAGATCTGTTGGTAAAAATGAGGAAGAAGAAGGAGCGGATGAGGCCGGTGCAGATAATGAATAAATTTCTCGATAGGGTCCAGTGCAATTGACATTTTTTGTTTTCAATATTTTTTCTCTTTCATTACATTTATTTTATGGCGTAATAGAAAGAGAGATAAGGGAATGTAATTATATTATTGTGTATATGTATAGATTAACGTATATGTGCATTAAATAACAATGCTGTTATTACTGTTGATATTTAAAAAAGAATTCTTTCTTTTCTAATTCCATTCATTAGATTTATGTTCTAGTACCTTTGTGAATATTTCTGCATCACAATCTTCGGTTTGGTCGGAATCTAATAATGGGCGTATGACACTCTTTGTGATATTTAGGAAAAGCTCATCGATTAATGATTTCAATTCATCACCAGTTTGTTTGAAATCTGGATATGCATTGATTTCAAGCAATTTGACCTCATAATTAGAATCAACCAAGAAATCAACACCGTATGTTTCAAACGCATTAGGCAATGGTTGAAAGTTCATTCTGTTGACTGTTACAGCAGCCAGAAAAACATCATGTGAAATCTCATGGATTTGTTTTATTATCTTTCTCTTATTATCATTGGAGATATCATTAAGATTATCAAATTCCATAACCGACAATTCTTTAGTTTCGTTCTTCGACTGAAGACAAGTATTAGTTAAGTGACTTTGTAATTTCTTTAAATCTGTTGGATCAAACTCTGTCTCCTTAGTGACATCATTATATTTAGTTGGAGCAAACAATGCAAGCATTCTGTTATAAACGAATACTTCCAAATCTCCCTTGCATGTAATGTAACAACGAATATGGAATTTTTTATTATCCATAGATGGTAACAATAGAGGAGTAGTTAAATATTCTTGAACAATGAAATGACGCAATTGGGAGATGATAATCTTATTATCGTCCATGAATTCAGCAGAATCATCATTTGCTTCATCATCAAATGAATCAAAGATTTTTTGTAAATCATCAATGGTTTTAAACACTCTAATACCTTGACCTTTGTCACTCATGCTTGGTTTAACTATCCACCATTTCTTTTCGTTTTCCAATTCTTGTCTTAGTTCCCAGTTTTCATCTAATGAATCGTCTAAGAATTCGGCGTAATCTAGATCCAAAGTATGTGACTCCAACACAGCTTTGTTTAGTATTGATTCAGGGTGTTTCACAGTATAACTATGGATAGTATGAGCCAAGTAATGTTTCCTAATGAGAGCCTTTCTATAGATATACGAATTAGCAAAATATTTTGAATTTTCTAGCATTAATTTATCGACATCTAATTGTTCATAATCACCATATTGAATAAGTTTCTTCATTGATGAAAAATTATCTGGTAATCTTGATTGAATGGTATACAGTGGAAGATATTTCTTAAATGCATTTTTAATTGGTTCATAGATGTATTCATCTCTAGAGATTGTCAATGCAGCAACAAAATCGTTGGTTGAATTGTCAATAGCCACAGTTTCCTCATCTACAATTGTATTATTTGATTTCGTAATCAATTCTCCATTTAAATGTTCCATTGATCTAAAAGTAGCTCTCAATGGCGTCACACTAATATTTCTCCTTTCAATGATATCCATATCAGTTCCAGGAGCGATCTGATCACTGTCGACCAAACCATCATAATGTGATGAATTCTTATGATTTTTAAAATCGGGACACCAATTGAAAGAAATTTGATCAGTATCATTCCCATCTTCAATTAAGTTACCCTTGATTGGTTCTCTAACATGAGGTCCATTGAAGATCGCAGTCCATCTATTTTCCCATATTGGGGCATAAAAGATCTTTGTAGAGCCCGACAATTCATCAACTAAAGGTACATTTATACTATAAATATCCGTTTGAGGATCCCAATTTTCCCATAGATGTGATATGATTTGAGTGGTTCTTATAGAGGCCATCTTCATCAGCTTCGACGGCACAATCTTCCTGTTATCATAATATGCCCACGATACAGCAATTGCTTTCGTATCGCCAGTGATGACCGATTCCATAGCGGCACCCACAGTTGCACTTGAAGTAATATACGCAGCAGATGAGTTTCTACCGACATTTGGACCCGAAATCACCAAATCAAACTTCGTATCTTTCAAAAGATGCAATGCAATGTTTGCACACGATGCGGGGGTACCATTGACCAGGATCCATTCGATTGAATCGGAGGGAATTTCAGGGTTAATAATGTAAGGTAATTTTGAGTCCTTGGATTGTAATAATTGTGGTTTATTGAATGGACCCCAAAAGGAATTGTCATCTTTCTCTATATCTGAATAGATGAATGTTGCTGTCAGATCTTTACCGGCCAAGTGAGCTTTCCCATTCCATGATCTTTGAACGTGTGGAACACAGACGGTAATTTTCCAATGGGGATGAGCTCTTCTAATATGTTGAATAAAGGGTCTAATGTATGGAGAGCAATCGTCATTTAAAGGACCGTCATCATTAGTAATAAGAATTCTCATAGTCGAATTGATTGATTGGTTATTGTGTGTATGTGTATGTAGAGTATAGTGTTAATTTATTCCTCCTTCAACTATCTAAATCTATAACTATATAAATATAAAATTTTCCTTTTATATTAAAAATAATGGTACTTCAATAGAAATTACAGCAAAAAAAAGAAAGAAAGAGAGAGAAAAAAATGAAGATATATATATATATATATATATATATATAGAAAGAGAGATGGACACACACAAACACATACAAAGGCATCCATATAGAAAATACAAGAGAATCAGAGAATCAGATATATAGTGGAAGATGTCTATGTTTATGGGATCCTTTCCTGGACAAGAAGTGTCACAAGAGAAATTAGATATAGCAGAAGTTCAATTTGATGCTATGAATGCGACATTTAATAATATATTAAAGAGTTGTCTTGAGAAATGTATCTCAAGGGATGGCTATAGTGAAGGAGATTTAGCAAAAGGTGAGATGTGTTGCATAGATAGATGTGTTGCCAAAATTCATTATGGGAATAGATTAGTTGGTGGATATGTACAAAGTAAAGGGTTTGGACCTGAACAATATTTACGACATTACAATGAATTCAAGTCGTCGTCATCGTCATCGTCATCTTCAAACAATTGATAGTTGATAAACACTAGAATACGCATCCCTCCTCCATTAGCATATATATCTGAAGATGCATTGTAAATAAGACATTAGCCCAATAATTATAAAACAGGTAGATATTAACGTATACATATACATATATATATACTAGTATAGTAATTATTGAAAAAGAAGAAACCCTAATTCAAAGTTATTGCAAGATCATTAACCCTAAAAGATATATTTATTTATATAATTCCAGATCACATGACTCTACCGTACAGCATGATATCACAGCCACGGGGTTAGGTCTCCCGAAAAAGAAACGAGCCAGAATACGTCAGAAACGTCAAGCAAGCAACAGCCACCCACACACCCCAAACAAACCAGTTATACATGTGCTACAACGAATTCTGTGCATTCTGCCTCCCTCCCCCTGTCCATTCCCAGAATGTATAAAAACATAAGTAAACTCAGACAACACCCCGCACAGACGAAAACAACCACTGCGAATTCCAGGAGACGAAGCCCAAAGGACAGTTCTTCCTAACAAAATTCAATAAAACATAGATAGTTTGTGACATTTGACGGTTTAATGCTGATATTAATATTACAATGCTAATAATAAATAACAATAATATATGTGGTCCATAGTGCATATATGTACTAACTTAATGGGTTATATCTAATATATATAACTATATAACTGTATATTAGTTTAACATGTAATAGTAGTCGATTGAGGTTAGTTTATACCGCGAAGTTAGAAAAACTAATTTTATTTTTTGTTCTTTTAAAAAAATAGAATATATATATATAGGGAAAGAGATAAAGGATAAATGAACATGTATTTTAAGTTCCTGTTACTGTAAGATAGAAAATACTATTATTTTCTGTTAGTCTTTGTATTTGCTTTGTATGTATTATACTGCTACATATATATATGTGCATAGCGCAATTGCATACAAGATAAGGTAATAATATTATTGTTATTATTGTATTCAAAGAACCATACTGATATTATACTCTTTATGGAGCTATAATTCTGTACTATAAGAAAATGAATATATTAATAAAGTTATTGCAATAATGAACAAGTCACTATTCATAATAAAATTGATTGAAAGACATAAGTTTTTACAGTAATTTAATATTAATATACTCAATTGAATTGAATAACGTACCCTGTATTATGAATATTAATGGTTAGTTGATTTCTCTCTCTCTCTCTCCCTTAAGCAAGATTCTCTCTATCTTTTAACCCACGCATAAACAAAATTCAGTACTATCTTATAGTATGCACACTGCCATACAAACTACCATACAAATGAACTATGTATACAGAGTAATAAATAGCATGAAGCGTGCCATATTATACTCACTTAATATGCGAAAAAACAGACACGGGTAGACCCATAATATACAACACCTCTCCCGCTCTCTTTCTTTCTGTACTCTCTTTTCTTACTATAAAATATATGTTCACCCGTCGACTTTCGTTTTAGTGAGACGATACACGAAGCGAAGCGAAGTCGACAAAACAAGAAAAAGCGATGAATTTTGCATAATGGAGACAACACAACGCACGCACCATAGATAAATAATATTACTACACGCCATTACATTACACACGGTAAGAACTCTTTGCTATATTGTGTGGGTGGGTGTGTATTGTCAATGGCACTAGTGCTGAACAGTACTGGCTATTCTTTTATCTGGTTCTTTTCCCGCTGGCTATTTTATTACCATATTTACTATACCTATCGGCGTGTATGAGTTATTATAGCACGCTTAGTTATTAGGGAATACTGCTAGTACCACTCTTATTTCTTAATTATGTACGCGTTAGTTTGTGTGTGGAAGTAAGAATTTATTGGGATGCTAATTATTATTTGAATGTCTCTCTCTCTACCAGTACACTCATTAAAATTAGTTAGTGTTGTGTTGTGTTGGTGCTTATAATGGGGCATTTGTATTTGTTTATTATTTGTTTTATTTTATTTTTTCTTACGTTTGGTCATTTACCCATTATAGATTTAAGAGTATAAATATAACTAATAGTTTACACTATTAATTTAACTTATTATACAAATGTTCTCCTTTTCTTTAAATTTATTTCACTTATTATTTATTTTATTTTATTTCGTTTATTACCAGTATTTCTTGTAATCTTTTTTTTTCTTTGCCTTGTTTTTTCTCGTGTTCCCTTATTTTTTGTCTTTTTCTCATTTTATTTTTTTTGTAATACCAACACATACCCACACACATATACATATATATACAAAATGGCTCCAAGAGAAACTAAGAAGAGAACTACCAGAAAGAAGAAGGACCCAAATGCTCCAAAGAGAGCTTTGTCCGCCTACATGTTTTTCGCTAATGAAAACAGAGATATCGTAAGATCTGAAAACCCAGATGTCACTTTCGGTCAAATTGGTAGATTACTAGGTGAAAGATGGAAGGCTTTAACCCCAGAAGGTAAAATACCTTATGAAGCTAAGGCTGCCGCTGACAAGAAAAGATATGAATCTGAAAAGGAATTATATATGGCTACTCGTGCCGAATAAACTAATTAATTAGTTTATTTATAAAAATTTTGTCTTCTTTATCTATCTTTTTACTTTCAATTTTTCTATTGTTATTACTCTTTGTCTTACAAAGATGAAAAGTAGTAATATCGAGAAATAATTAAAATATTCTGGAATATATATACTATTATTATTATTATTAAATTTTATAATAAAATAAAAAATTAAATTAAATTAAATTAAAAAATTTGTTACGTTATATCTTGTAGTTTTAAGGGTTATGTATTAGACGGTTGTGATGGACCCTACTTTCATGACCTAATATATATATATATATATATGTATGAGATTATTAATTAATTAATGTGAAACGCGACGCGTAACATTTTTTTATTTTATTTTATTTTGTTTCCTTGGACTGAAATTTTTCACTTTCTCGAAAATATTGGGCTCTTTTGCTTTTTAATATATTATAAGAGAATATCTCTTCTCTTTTTTTGGTGTTGTTGATCCTTACCCTTTCTCTCTTATTTATCTCATATCCTTCTTAAAGTATCAACAAGGTTCAGATACTCAATCAACTTATAAATATATATATATATTCAAATCAAACCACTATGCTAGAAGCTAAATTTGAAGAAGCATCTCTTTTCAAAAGAATCATCGACGGGTTCAAGGACTGTGTCCAACTAGTAAACTTCCAATGTAAATCAGACGGTATCATCGCTCAAGCCGTCGATGACTCTCGTGTCCTATTGGTGTCTTTGGAGATCGGTGTCGAAGCATTCCAAGAATACAGATGTGATCGTCCAGTCACATTAGGCCTGGATCTAAGCTCTCTAAGTAAGATCCTACGTTGTGGTAACAATTCCGATACTCTGACTTTGATCGCAGATGACACTCCAGATCACATCGGTTTGGTCTTTGAAGATAATAAAAAGGGACGTGTCGCAGAATATGTTTTGAAATTAATGGATATCGACGCAGATTTCTTAAAGATCGAAGAATTGGAATATGAAACTACTATTAGCTTGCCATCTTCTGAGTTCTCTAAGAACGTTCGTGATTTATCGCAATTAGGTGATTCGCTGTCCATCGCCGTGACAAAGGATAACATTAAATTCAGCACAGAAGGTGATATCGGTTCAGGTTCTGTCCTATTACAACCGTTCGTCGATATGGAAAAACCACAGGAATCTATTAAATTAGAGATGGAATCTCCCGTAGATTTGACCTTCGGTGCTAAATATCTATTGGATATCGTCAAGGGGTCCGTATTGTCGGAAAATATTGGAATTAGATTGTCTAGTGAGGCTCCTGCTTTATTCCAATACGATTTGGCTAGTGGGTTCCTACAATTCTTCTTGGCTCCTAAGTTCAATGAAGAAGAATGATTGTACACTCATTGTTGTTGCTTTCCCCCTTCTTCTCCTTTTATATATATATTATTATTTACTATTACTATTACTACTACTATAATCAGGCATAGGTTTTTTTTTCCCTCTCGTTAGATTTTGTTTGTTTTTTATTCATGTAACTTTATACACATATTTACACAAAACATATAATCAATCTGACAATTATTATTATCTAGCATCTACTACAAACGTGATACTGTTTTTCTACCACGTCTCTTGTAAATATCTATCCTCTCTTTCCATCTCTTTCAAATAACTGGTAGCCGCTTCATCATTAGTAAAACCACCCCATTTTTTTAACATCTCAATCACCGTCAATCTCACCTGGATAGGCATCTTCCCTGAGGCACCACATAGCACAAACAATGCTTTCTTCTCCACCAACAGGTTCGTCACAAACTCTCCAAGCTTCCAAAGAACATCCTGCACATACTTCGTATCCGGAGAATTCTCTCTGTCTCTAGAGAACACAGGATGCAATTCAATACGACCCTCCTTCCCCCATTTCTCTAGGGTCTCCTGATAGATATAGTCCTTATCCTTGAATCGACATCCGAAGAACAATTGTAAGTTGTCACATAGTTGAGGTTCCTCCTTGATGACGGACATCAACGGCGCAATGCCTACACCGGGACTCACTAGTACCATTGGGTTTTGCTTGTATTGCTCCCGGATTAAATGATTATTATAGATGTTGTAACGAATCACTTCACCTTCTTGTAAGTGGGCAATGAAATTAGTACAGATACCCGTTCTTATCTTTCGTAACATTGTCTTATATTTGACAATTGCTACAGTCAATTGGATGTTAGGGTCGTTGGGAGCACTGGAGATAGAATAATAACGAGGCTTGATCAATGGAAGGTAGTCCAGGCAATACTCCCAAGGTAGTCTTAACGACAAGAAATCCTCGATGACCTCGAGAATGGATCTCCGAGGCCTATTGCAATAGTCGTATAGTTCTTGCATATCTTGATCGGTGGCGAACTCTTTCAACTTGTCACGTTGTTGTTCTAATTGGCCCTCACCACGTTCCATCCTGGAGACATCAGTTGCAAACATCCAGATCTTCATAAATAGACTGGTCCTTGGAATACATGTAATATCACAATGATATTTTAGAATGTTGCGTAATGTCAACGGCTCTATAACACCTCCAGATTTTAAAGCATCCGGAATCCCATTGGTGAACTTCAGTGGTTTGTCAGCGATAGGTAACCAATGGTCCTGTGTATCAAGAAATTGTTGCACTGCTTTATCAGAATTACATGGGAAGATCGATGCTGTGTCACCAGCTTCATAGCGATCCTTATGATCCACATTATTGACATTTGTGAAAACAAATTCTCTAACATCTTGGAAATGATCCGGAGCAGTTATCATTTTATTTTTTTTTACTTTACCATATCTTATCGCTGAATCGTTAGTAAACTTTAATGGTGTTGTCACCTTCACATCGGTGTTATCACTTTTGGAATCTTGATCCAAACATAAATGACTCTTAGGTTGTAAATAGATGGAATCATCAATAGCAACTCTTTCAACCATTTGGCCATCCACTTTTCTTTTTGGGAACTTCTTCTCTACGTATTCTAATACTCTCTTCTCATATTCAAAATATACTGACTCAACACCACTACCAGTACCTTTATTACTCCCAGCCATAGCTTGTTCATCAGCCTCTAATCTATCAAAAATCTCAGTGGCTCCTAATTGTTCGACCATTCTAGCATGTAATTTTCTAATGGCATAATTAAATTTAGGATATGATGAATCACCAAGACCAAAAAAAGCAACATTAATATGAGATAAGAAATTCTCAGGTAAGTTCTTCCTCTTAAGGAACGACCACAACGTCTTCTTGTTCTTGTCTAAGAATGAATGTTCATGGCAATTTCTAGGTAATTCACCTTGACCAGTAGTCGCACATAGAACAAAAAGATATCGCACATTGATAATATCAGTTGGATTAAAATCACCAACAGTTGACAGAGTATGTGGATAATGAAGCCTTTGTAATTTATAGGAAAGGATCTTGGCAAAATCTTCCGTATTACCGGTTTCAGAGCCATATAGAATAACAATCTTATTCGGAGCCATTTCTTTCAAAGGTGTGTGCAAAATCTTCGTTCTTTAGTTTTAAATGTAGAATATAAAATAAGAGACAATTGTTACTAAGAAAACATATAAAAAATGTCTCCATCGATTTTTATTTACTTGTTTATTATATAAACAAGTCCATAATATATGCTTATTAATACAAATATTAAAGTGAAATGAAATGAACTGGCGATGACATATATCTCTCTTTCAAGTCATCACGGCTTTCATTTCCTTAAAATTTCAAATTTTTCAGTGCCGCGATACCACAACTACTACATCTTTTTATCACTATAAAATGCTCATTCATAGATGAAGAGGACTCAGAAAAGAAAAGTTTTCGCAGCTAAAGGTCAGAGAAATTTTGAATATAAGCTTGCAAAAATATTGAATAAGGAATACTCTCAAAATACTAAACCTTTCCTTTTATAGATTACGGGACATAATGAGTCAACGGGTAAGTGCTTTAGACTATAATCTTACAATGCTTTAATTTCTTATGCTTGTCTTCTTATCGAGAAATAAAATTACTTCGAGGATGAACGACATTGTCAACCTTTAAAATCAAAGGTCTCGTCTTGTGTAATTTAAAGTTCGAACTTCAAATTGTCTTGTATCAACTAAAATGCAAGATATCTATGTATAAATGTTTTAAAAAGAGATTATCACTTTTGTTTTTTTATTTACGTTTAGTAACCAATTTCCAATTTCTTTGATTCATTACAAATTCATAAAAATATAATAATTTTTCAAAAACATAAAGAAATATTTAAATGCAATAAAAGATCTTTTTAAAAATATCATTCATTAATTAATTGTTTGTGTATATAAAATACTTATAAAATTTTGGCTTGATCCTTTGGTGGTCTAACACCAAAGATATCTGTACCAATTCTTACCTCTGAAGTTCCTTGCTTTATAGCCTGCTTAAAATCGGCACTCATACCCATTGATAATCTTACCTTTGAACCAAATTTCTCATCAATCTTTTGTTTCCATTGAACTAAAGTTGAAAAATCTTTATTTTCTTCCCCCTCAGTATGAGATACATCCCAGGACCCAATAGTCATTAACCCACTCAGCGTAACATATTTATTCTCATCAGATACTAAATATTGTACCATTTCAAAGATTTCATTTTCATCCTGTAGACCAGATTTTTGGTTCTCATCGGACGTGTTAATTTGAATGTCACATTTAATGGCTGGTTGATCCGGTTGATAGTTACCTCTAGCTTCATTCAATTTCTTGGCCTTCTTTAAGGAATCCAGGGTTTCAATATATGCTAAATTAGGTACTTTTGCCAAATCTTTACATTTATTTGTTTGCAAACCACCAATGAAATGCCATTTGATATCTGATGGTAACAATTCAGCTTTCTCTACTAATTCTTGTACGTAATTCTCACCGAATTCTCTGACACCATGATCGTAAAGGATCTGTATATCGCTAGCCGGTTTCAATTTAGAGACCGCTAGTAAAGACACAGGTTCGGTTGCCCTAGCATTGGACTCAGTGTCAATCATGGCCTTAACATGGTCGAATTGTTGTGACAGTGAAGCTTGTCTCTGCGAATCGTAAGAGATCTTCTTACTCATTGTGGTGTAATTAAAAATAGTAGTATATAATGTGGGCAGTGTTTTATAACGAATGCTTTTTATTGATCTAGTTAGCATTCCACTACTTAATAGAAAAATAATTATTCAAAAAAACAAAAACACGGTAAGATTTAGTTAACAAACACTGACTCACAAGTCGATTATGAAATATATCTATATCTATATATATCAGATGTAGTAAACAGGGACAAGGTTATAATACTTACAACAAACGAAGTAAAACAAGTTATGTACAAGATTCCTTCTTTATTGCTCTTCTCAGAAAAAAAAATTTACGATCTTGAAATTGTTCCTCTCCTTATCCCCTTTCCTTCCCATTACAATCACCGCAGTGCAAAACAACTCAATACTAAAATATATGATTATATAAACAATGCTGAAAAATTTTGTAACTTTTTTTTTCAAGTTTTCTTACAATTCTGATAATTGTAAGGAAGACAAGAGTTACTAGCAGATACGAATGGTTGATTATGTAAATCTTTCTATATATATATGCTCGTTCAAGATATGTGACGTGAAGAGTCGAGTAATCGGTTATTGTCAGGATGAGTGCACGAAACGGCAGTCTATCTGATTTTCAAGATGATATTAGCAGATCGCTTTCCATATCGTATTCTATTCTTTATCATGTTAGTTCTTCACCAATTGCCCTACTTCCGAATTCGGGAAGGGATCAGTAGCCATCCTTCAAAGATGCTTCTACGGGGGTATCATTCACTTGAATAGACGGAACGGTATTACAACTTGCAACAGACCTTAAACAATTCAGAAAACTTGTAAAAAAAACAAACAAAACAAAACAAAACATTGGATGTGAAGAAATGAATAGATAAACAAAGACAGCCACTGCCCTCTTGTTGTTTCTTCCCCTGTCTCTTGTTTAATAGAAGACAGGCAGAAACACTGACCGAATATTGAGTAGATCTTGCATTGCTTACGGTAATACGTTGTCCCTTTTACTTAGAGGGGGCCCGAAAGACTGCGGAACAGCCAAAACTTCTCCACGATATTGACAACAACAACATCGAATAAGTTTAAACAGTTAAATATGTAACTAATAGTTTAGGTGTTTTTCTAATTTATCGATATACAAACAGGTAATTGGGCATCTAATTTAACTTCTGTGATTTTCTCTTTCTCTCTCTCTGTCCCTTGTTTTCTTCTATAACTTTAAGAAACCAAAAATGATAAAACAAAGAATAAAGTGAAAGAAACCTTCGTAACGTTCGTTATTATATAATTAAAAAGGCAATAGAAAAGAAATATTGAAGGTACTGTCAGAAATCATATACCTATACTTATATATATATATACATAACGATACTTGCTATTATACCATTGACAAATTATTTTTTGTCTTCTCGAAGTACTCTATAGTTTATAGTTATAAGTGCGAATATATATTTATAAAAACTTCGCCATTAATAGGAGAAAACTATTGCTGGAACGAATTTTTTTTTTTTTTTTTTGTAAAAGCCCTTAAAGAAGTACAACATTTTATTTTCAAAATAGAAGTGAATTGATAAAGATAAGCAAAACTGAGAATCATAGAAGTTAACCACTCTTCAACCTAATTATATTTCTTTCAACCATTTTTTATCTAAATAAAGGATGAAAAAATATACTACGTTGGAGGAATTAGATCCAAATTGTGCGGTTGTCTTCAGCAATGAACATCACAACAAGAAAAATTTATTAGCATTGTGTGAAGCATTCACTAATGAGAATAATGTTTCGATAAACATGAGATTTGAACATGGTTATCAACCAACGGCTGATTATTTGTTCTTACGTGTAGATAGCCCAGATATTGATGTTTTTTTAACTACTAGTATTAAAGAATTAAGTTTTGTTCAGGATATTATACCATTATATGATACGGAAAGATCCAAGAAATTAAATTGGTTGTTCGATAAAACATTCAAGAAAAATATAAAAGCTTTACCAAGTGATGATGATTTAAAAATTCTAACCAATTTAACCAATTATCCAAAAATATCCTTATATTTTGCATTTTTCAAATATTATAATAAATGGTTAGGATATTTAGCTATACCAGGTATTTTCGTTTATTACTATTCTAATGGTAATTCATGGGAATTCAATAGAGGATTTACCATTTTGAACGTCCTTTGGTCTATTGCATTTATTACCTCATGGATTTATAACAAACAATTATCATATGAATCCCTGTTCGGTTCATTTAAATCAGTTTATTCCATAATTGGGTTACCGGATGGTTCAACTCCAGCTAATTCTGTGACTTCAAGAACATTCATGAATTTATTGTTTGTCCCTATCGTTGTTTTGTTTGGGGTTCTACTTGTAGCGTCCCAGTTTGCATGTTTTCTATTGGAAATATATTTGACTCAAATATACAATGGTCCAATGGTACCACTATTATCATTATTGCCAACCATATTGATCTCTGTATTTGTTCCAGTCATATCCGTAATTTATAATAAGGTATTTGTTGAACCATTTATTACTTTAGAAAAACCAACTAATAGAGAAAAATCACGTATTGAAAAAAATTTCATGATTAAATTCTGTTCAAGTTATATGCCTTTACTAATCACTTTGTTTATTTATCTTCCATTAAGTTATCTTTTCACACCAGAGACGAAATTAGAATTGGGTTTAAGAGGATTCCCAGTGAAGGCTGCAGATTATATTGTAAACACTGATCGTCATCAATCTCAGTTTTTCTATTTTATAGTCACGAACTCATTCATCCTCTTTGCCACGGATAATATTGTTCCTATAATCTTGAACCGCCTAACTGCGAAGGCAGTCGCAAGAAAAGAAGGGATGAAACAACATCAAGCCACCGTCGAGGCCAAATTGACCCGCCATGGCAGTAGAGACATGGACATCTGGAGCATCGTTAAGGGTTATCAAACCAGCGCCTGGGGTGAATTCGATGCAGACCTCAACTTCCAGAAACTTGTCCTTCAATTTGGGTATGTAGCCATGTTCACCACCATTTGGCCAATTGCACCAGCTATCCTATTTGTATTCAATGTCATTGTATTGAAAGTAGACTACTGGAAGGTAACCAATGCTAGCAAACCTAAACTAATTCCTGGTGTGCTTGATATGGTCAGTACCATGCCATCGACAACTACTAGAGGGATCGACATCACTAGGACAAACACAGAGATGGCTCCATGGAATGGTCTATTACGTATCATCGTTTGGCTAAGTACACTAGTGGCTCCTACATTGACAATAATGTATCGTTCATGTTATTTACCAGGTGTTGGTGGGACACCAACTTTGAATATCAACAAGGACATGGAAAGTAAATGGTATAATCATAATCCAATAGTTTACAAATGGTCCACCATTCTTCTTACTGCGGTAATTACTGAGCATATCGGTATTGCCATATACTTTACCTTGAGAAATAGATATATGTCAATACTTCAACCAGTTATAATGGGAGGTTTTGTTCCTACCATGAAAGGGGAAATCAATTATGCCAATGAGAAACAAGTAGAAATTGAAACTGTAGATGAATTAGCGCCAAGAACCCAAATCAATGAGTTTATCAATGAGACTAATGAACTAATCCATAGAGAGATCAAACGTACAGAGCAAGAACATCCTAATGATATAAAGGAGAAATCTCCATCTGTTGGGGTCTCATCATCTGATTCTAGTTCTGATACAACGTTACCTCCAACCTCCACTACACCACAACTTTTGAAAAGTACTCCAAATTTAGATTTACATAAAGTATCATCTGTTGATTTAAGAGCACCAATTCAGGATACCAGTAAACTTGGTAGTTCTGATTCTGAAATTGCTGGTGCTACTGTCCCAAAGACGATCCCTACATCTAAAAACTTCGACTTTAGAAACCTTTCTGAACAAGCCACTGTAATACCATCAACGTCATCAACGTCAACGTCAGTATCGTCAGCATCCCAATCTTCAACGCCACAGAAACAGCCACCACCACCAGAACAACCTAAGGCATCTACACCATTGAAGAATATCATTGCAACAGCGAAAAGCAATAAGCCTCTGGAGGACACCACTAAGACAAACACTGATAAAATTACCGTTCCACATAGAAGTAATACGAAGAAATCAGTCAAGAATCAGTCATCCTCTTCCAGTAAGCCTGCTACTATAGTGGTTACCGAGAGTAAAAAGGGAACCAAAGATGCATTACCACAACCACCGAATGTCCATAAGACTGCGCAGCAAACTACAGCGTCATCCATCCAGTCGTCGACCAAGGATACTCAAAGTAACAACTCCGGTGCTAGACGTAAGCAAGATGTTACCGTAGCCAGACCGACCAGCAAGAAAACAAGACCTAAATCCATGGTGATTGCAGATCCGCAACATCAAACCGACATAGAAAAGACAAAGAAGAAGAAACGTGGTATCCTGGGTAAGATTAAGAATGTTCTATAATAGATTCTGTCATAAATATTATAAAAAATGTAAAGTACTGACCATAACACCGTAAACTAGCTTATTAATATTACTAATATAGATATATAGATATATAGATATATAGATATATAGATATATAGATATATAGATATATTAGCATATCACGTAGTACGACAGCGAGGGTAACTTCTGCGAGGGTAACTTCCGCGTGAAATAAACGAATAAAAAAATCCGCAATTCGAACCGCTTCCATTTCCATTTCCGCTTAATTTTCTGGTTTTTCTTACTAATAGAAATCGAGCTGGTGGACCTTTAATTTAAGGGATGTCACCAGCAATAGAGCGATGGGGCAGAAACAAAAGACAGAGGAGGATTCTCTATTCTCCATTTTATTTGGGGAAAAGGGCTCAATTAATATATAAATAAGAGATCAAATGAATCTCAAGAAATTTTTACTTCTTTGTTAATAATAATATTTTTTGGGCAAATACTACTATCAGTGTACAAAGAAAGAAACATATCAACCAATAAATATATACATCACACGCATACTATTACCTAATGAGCAATACAAATATACTATACAAACAATCTGACAATATGTCTAAATCTACAAATTCTTTCTTAAAGAGTGCTCCAGTGGAGCTTACTACGGTGACTGGGTATAAAGATTTTGTCAAACGTTACTCCCATACTTCTTTCACCACGGTGTTAAAGGAGGATCAAACAGAAGGGTATGTGATCAAAGACGGAGACGTGATTGCTACTGTTCTCGGAGATGCTTTAAAACATCTAATTGAAGAGTCACACTGTTAATATTAGCAATAACAAATTGAATTCCTTTGTTGTTGTTATTGTTAATAGATAGCTATCTCTGTGTACTTTCCTAAATATAAACAAGAAACCAACTTACATACACATATACTCATTTACATACATATATATGCATACATAGATAAGAATAATACACAGTTCATTTGCCTTGTATTCAACTTCAACGTACGACCTTCTCCTTTGAAATAATATTTGATCTCATCTCATCTCATCTCATCTGTTGACTATATCAGTATAGTAATAATGATCTGGTAGTGAGAGATTAATGCACCGCACTCACGCTCCCTCTTCAGATTTAAAGAGCGAAGACAGAGAAATACAGAATTTTTTATTCGCAAAACAAAAAAAATGCAGAGCGGGAAAGTTTTACAAGAAAAGGAAAATCAACAAACAAAGAGAAAGAAGAGCATTAGACCATCAACCACCACCACAGGAACTGAATATCTATATATAATACTGTTTATTCAGTGTTGAGAAAGAATAGTACCTACACAGAGTCTGTAAGTTGCTATTTGGAAAAGTGTACATTCAGAATACACGTTCACAGAGGCAAAGCTCATTACTTTTAATATATATATATATATTTTTTTTTTTGATCAACCACAATGTCTGACTCAAATACTAATGAGTTTGAAAGTGAAACAGCTAGTGAAAACGGAAACTCAGAATATGAATTCAATACTAGTTATAATGAAGGATCCAATAATACGTTTAATGAGATAGATAAAGTCTCTGACGATTTACCGACATATCAAAGATTTATGTTATCATTAGATGAATGTGGTAGAATATTCGGTCCCCAAGGTCAATACTTAAGAAAAATTAAACAGGATAATCATGTTAAGATAGATGTCACCGAAAAACAAGTTGGTTGTTCCGATAGAATTTTAACTTGTGCAGGTACTATTCAAAATATTAGTCAAGCAATGACTGATATTGTATCATTATTAATAAGTAATCAACCAATTGAAATTAAAAAATATCCATTTTATTTCTTAAATTCATTCTTACCACCACCTGAGTTATCAGATTTTAATACAATTTCATCATTAAATGAAATTTATAATATTAGAGTCATTTTAACTAATACACAGATTTCTTCAATTATTGGGAAACAAGGCCGTACTATTAGACATTTGATTGATGTTAACGATGTTAAGATTGTTGCATCTCGTAATTTTTTACCTGATTCAGATGAAAGAATCCTTCAAATACAAGGTCCAGCAGAGGCAATTGGTTCTACAATTGATGATATTGCAAAGACTTTGAATGCAGAGATTAATATTGATCAAATCACGGAAAGACATTATTTCCCACATGTATTAGCTAATAGTGAACAAAAGATTGTAACATTCCGTTCATCCAATAACAACAATAATAATACTGCTAGTAATAATTCTGCTGCTAGTAATGGTAATAGTAATAATCATAATAGTAACAACAATCAAAGAAGATCTTCAAGATCTTATGAAGGTCAATTTCAAGCTACTGTATTGATTCCAGATACTTTGGTTGGTGCTATGATGGGTACTAGAGGTAATAGAATTTCAAATTTAAGAAAATTCACACATACAAGGATTGATACAGGTAAGATGGATGATGTAGAATCAAATTATGTTGATACCGCTAATGAAACATTTAGAAAGTTTATAATTAGTGGTGATAATATGGACAATGTTAAAAAAGCTGAAGCGTTATTAAATTCCAATTTGGAAAGTGAAATTAAAAGACGTGAAGAAGCTGAAATTAATGATAATTAAAACCAATATAAAAAAAAAATAATACTTAAACTTAAATCCAAATTTTTTTTTATTTATTAAAACAATATTTTGTAACAGTATACTTATCCAGATATATATATTTGAATATATATGTATAAATTTTTTTCCATTTTGCATTTAACTATATATATATATATATATAGTTAAATATTTAAGCAAATTTATAATAAAGATGAAGAAGTAGTAATAAGAAAAAAAGTTTATAAAAATCAACTAGATCAAAAAGAAAAAAAAAAGAAAAAACAAGAAATTCAAATCAAATCAAATCAAAAAAAAAAAGTTAACGAGTTTATACAATTGAATATGATAAATATTCCATCTTATCTCAATGGTAGTATCTCATTAACTTTCTTTTCATGATTTTTAAAATGAGGATTATTTTCTAAAGAAAGTGTACTTGAAGTTCTTCTCTTTCTATTATTCGTGTGATTGTTATGATTGTAATGATTTATTGATAAGTTTTCAATCCCTACGGCAGATGAGGACGATGAAACAATTGTTGAACCATTTGAAGAAGAAGGGATATGAGAAAATGTGAATTTCTTAGGTCTTAAGAAATTCCCTGTTATTGAGTTGATATTAGCAGAAGAAGAAGAAGACGACGACGACGAGGATGCAGGTGTATGTATTGGGAAAATAGTATTTGAATTAACGTTACTTGGTCTACGTGATGAAATTGGAGTTGTATACGTGCTTCCATTATTAAATGATCTTCTTGGGGTCAATGGCAAAAGTTCTTCCATATTATTATTGGTATCATCATCGTCAATTATTACTTCATCATCAATGTTATTAGTAGAGGCAGACGATGTGCCCGTTGAATGGCGACGAAATTTCCTACGATTATTATTTAGTTGATTTCTTAATTTAGTATTTTCCTGTTTCAGGTAATTAATTTCTCTTAATAGACGAACCACTATAGCATCTTGTTCATTTTCCATTTTATTTATTATTTCTTCGCATGATAGTTTAGAATTTGTATAATATTGAGAAGATTGAGATAATGATCTCTTATTCTTTGTAGTGTAGTTAGTTTGATCCATTATTGAATGATAAGGGGTTGCAGTGGTTATTTCTGAGATTAATATCGTTCAAGAAAAAAAAACAACAAACAAATAAAAGAAAAAAACAAATAAAGATTATTAATCAAGAAATTACCTCATCAAGGTTCCTTTATATATATATATATAATATATATTTAATAATCATATTGTATGATTATTAAATTAGCAGAGGAGGGGAAAGGAGAAACAAAAAAGAGGGAAGAAGAAAGGTCATACCCGAGAAAGAATTACAGACAATTGCACATGTCGGAACAAGTCGTATATGTCTTTACAGTATGGTAAGTTACGAAAAAGCGCAGAGATGCAAACAGATTGCGAATTTAGGAATTACAGATAAGACAAATTCAAGAGTTGTACAGTTGATGAGATAACCTTGAGTTCTCCTCAACTAACCCGATCTTAACATGTTCAGAAGTGTGTGTCTTCTTCTTCATATCACAACAGAATACAGGAAATGTAACTAGTAGTAGATCATCTCATCTCTGTCTGTGTGATCCAACCTTCTTTCCTCGCCTCAGTTCGCTATCTTACCCATTTTTGTTGGCCCTTCTGTGGGTGTATGACACACACCCACCCACCTCTCTGTATTACTATCTATCTAGCTATCTATCTGTGATTCACACGTATTAATATCCCGTCCCATGCCATGCCATCCCGTATATATTCCTGATTTGGATGCGGCAGTAAAGTATGACGCACCCACACAACACAACAGATTGAGACTGGGAATGGCATCGAATGGCACCCACCCCACCCGCCTACCCGTGGCAAGCATCCCGTGGCAAGCAAAGACTCCTCTCTCTCTCCGCTTGCTCGGCTTGTCTCGGCTTATCAGATACGAACTGATAAGCCCCCTCTCCTCTCTCTTTCTCGCCCTCTCGCCCCTTTTTATTGCTGTTGTTGTCACTTTGGGATTGTGGAAATTGACAGCGAAATTCAAAGGAGGAACAAGCGAAGCTGAAAGAACCCAAACGAATCTGGTCGAATCCATTTACTTTGCTATACGTTATTTTGCTGACACAACAGAATATACATTACATACACAAGCCACAACAACATCGTTCATGGTTTGTTGTGGTTGAGGCGGCTTTTTCTTGGCGTTCATTGCGAGATGCATTGTTATTTAATCTCTTGACATGATACTGTTCCGCCTATATAATTGTCTTCAACAGATATTCCGTTTATTTTGTTGAATACTCCGAAGTCTCATTGCTTGTGGTGTATGGCTGATAACACGACTGCTAATTACATGTGGCTTATCGGTGGTCTCATTACCAAGAAACATTATTATACTGCTCATATACGTAGATTAACTTGACGTAGCATATGTACATACACACACTATTTCAACTTATTATTGATCAATTGAGTGGGCCCCAGTAGTAGAAGACTGGCAAAAACAACTAATCCGGTAATATCTACGACTGTGCATAAATTGGAGAGAACCAGTTCTGTGGTTGTTTTTTCTCACTCAGACACGCTACACTACTCTTGGCTTGCCAGTGGCTCCATCCACTCCTGCTCGAACGGGGTTTATGTTACAACGCCGTCTTGCGAATCTTTTCACCGGCTCTCAAATCTGTATACGCTCCTTAGAAAACATATTGGTGATAAGAAATAAATTAGAAACATATTGGAAACATAACCATTTTTATCTTGGGTATAACTTCCACCCAAGAAAGAACTTGCTTATAACAACACTTACCAGATGAGAATCGAAATGACGCTATTCTTTATTAACCTTGCTTATCACCCCCCCATGAATACTCGAATTTATAAACCTAATCAGCACAGGCGGTAATGGGAAGGAGCTCCACATTATTTGTTAACGAATGTGTTGGTGCGGGTTAGATATGTCGAATTTACGAGGTAACTCTTTATTGAAAGTATCAGCTAAACAAATAGTATACGTGTATCAATTATATAATATTCTGTTTCCTAACATAACATATTTTATGTCACGGTTTAAAAAAATGATCTTACTATTTATCCGGGAATGGCTAGTAGTATCTTTCCAATTTGTAACAGTCTTTGGAATATAATAAAACACTATCAGACTGATTATTTTCTAATATGACGATATGGTTCTCGTTCGCAGTTGTGCCTACTTCCCTACATTTCGTTGTGAAACTGCAAAATCTATCACAATTTTTTCTGTAATAGATAATCAGAATTGAGAACTGAGAATTGTTTTGTTTCACCACTTGTACTAACCGTAGTACGACGTACCACATAACATATTTACGCCATTACCGGAACCAAATTCAAAAATGTTTCGCCACCTTCCTTGTAGAGAACCTGAGATAGAGGTTTTTCCTTCTATTAGTCTCTTCAAGTTTTGGGTGCTTTAATTCGGACATTTTATAACATGATAATCAATCGGTAACTTTATATTATACATATTAGACATATTGTAGAACATTTAATGTTCTGTATATATTATATTTACTGCTTCTTTTTATGTCTTGTATTGTGATGATACTTAGTGATGACACATATGGGTAAATGTGCATAAAGGTATTTATTTACCTATGTTAAAATTAAGTGTGATATATATCACTCTTAATTTCTGACAGGAACAACGAATAATAATCATTCAAGTGTACTTGACAGATATTAAGTGGGAACAAGATATCTAAAATGTCCTAATAAGAACTAAACATTTCATTAGGTAATAATAGTTTACGTATTAAGAGAAACAGAGTTTCAAGAAAACAAATAATATATAAAGACAAAATTCTGAGCTTACATTCTAAGTTAGATTCGATTTGTTCTATAAATTATATATAATAATAAAAATACATCTACAATTAAAAGAAAAGAATAACAAGTGTATTTTGCTTTCTTAAGATTAGATCCCAAGATACATCT